GATTCGATTGAACGTGTCAATTTTACTGTGTGATAGCTCGTTGTGGAGGAAAACGAGGTTGAAGTGATTAAATTGCTCTCATACAAACGATCTCGACTCAGGCCGAAAATCAATGACAGGATCCTCAGGCTATTTGGTCGAGGACCATACCAATTAGGTATAGCGCGGTTCGTTGCCTCAGGCACTACCACAATGGCCTGAGCTTGCTGAGGTAACTGTCTTCTCTACCCAAACTTAAATCACATGATTGATGATTTTCACGTGTTGGTTTTGTAAACTTCGTATCGAACTCCCCGCCTTCGGCCGATCCGTTTCAAGACTACCCGCTTCCGGCCTAGAGCCGCCGAGGCTCCCTTGACGATTGGTTCTTGCCTCTGCCCCGGAAAAGAACAATATATTACGTATTGTTGACCTCTTGGTTCAGTGCACTAGCGCAAGGGTTTGTGAGTCACGTGACAGATTGTATTTAAATCCCGTTTAGACCCCAATCCCGTCTGGACCCCAATCCCGTCTATATTTCCCTATGTTAGCCGCAGATATAGAAGCTAGTTAGAAGACCGAAGATAGAAAATGGGGGCACAAGGCCACAAGGCACCAATGTATGTAATTAGTCAGCTTAGGTAGTTCCCCACATGGGCCTCGCCGAGAGGCCTGACGGGCGTATGAATCTCTCTCTCTCTCTCTCCCAATCCCGTCTGGACCCCAATCCCATTTGGCCCCCAATCCCGTTTGGAGTGTGGGCGCTCCTATATAGGGAGCGTCCTCAAAACTGAGGATGATTAGCTAAGCTTCAGCCAACGAACCAAGGGCGGGGATAGAAGAGCTGGATGCAGGGTGCGTCTCACATAAACTATTTACCCGAAAAACATCTACCGGGTAGAGCTTATATGGGGCGCAAATCAGTAGATTCGAAAGATCATAGGACATCCTAGCCTGAAGGAGAAACCGGTGACCGGACAACATCATCATGGGTTGAGCATATAAAGGGGCCAACACGTAGGATGCTGCTACAATTCAATATTTACACTCCAGAGAAACCGAAGACCACCAGCGGTGGCCTCCATACTTTATTAAGATATACCTCAAGCTAAAATCATGGCAGCCCAATATGATTTCATTGTGGTTGGAAGTGAGTCGAACATAGTCTCGATCTTAGAAGCTGATGCTGACCACTTTTAGGCGGTCCCGGGGGCTCCGTTGTGGCATCCCGCCTCGCGAAGAGCAAACAGCGGCCAACCGTTCTGCTCCTCGAGGCAGGGGGCGATTATAACGAGCCAGAAAATCGCCTGCTCGCGGATCGCTACGCGACATGGGTGACGCATCCTCAGATGGGCTGGGGATACAAGACAACGCCGCAGGAAGCATTGGATAATCGCCAAATCGACTACTCCCGAGGCAAGGGCCTGGGAGGGTCGACCCTCATCAACTTCTGTTGCTATACTCGGGGACCGAAAGAGGACTATGATGAATGGGCGCGGAAGGTGGATGATCCGTTCTTCAACTGGTCGGAGTCGCAACGACGGATTAAGAAGTTTGAAAACTACGCGAAGAATACGGCGTCCGCAGTAGAGAAGTATGTCGACTTTGACGGTTACAGCCATGGGAATAATGGTTCGATGGATACCATGTTTGCTTCGGAGGCGGAGAAGAATTATGTTGGAATCGTCGACGCTATGATTGAGAGCGGCGTTCAAGGGCTCAAGGGAAATCTAGATCTCAATTCTGGTGATCCACTCGGAGTGGGATTCATTCCGTCCACCGCAAAGCAATCATACCGGACCACTGCTGCTTCGTCGTTTTTGAAAGACACTCCTCCGAATCTCACCATCAAAACAAATTCTCAGGTGAGCAAGATCGTGTTGGAAGGCAAGAAAGTCACTGGTGTCGTAGTGAATGGAGAAACATGTAAGCCCTTTATCCAGACACTCCGATCCGTGGCTAATATGGCATAGTCTCTGCGACCAAGGAGGTGATCCTCTCCGCCGGTGCACTGGATACTCCAAAGATCCTCATGCTATCGGGTATCGGGCCTGCACCGCACCTGAAGGAACACGACATCCCCGTCCTTCTCGACATACCCGACGTGGGACAAAACTTGCAAGACCATTACGGCACGTCTGTGGTCTGGGAAATGAAGCCCGGCTGGGACGACCGCCCCGCGCTCGAAGATCCATCACAAATGGCCCGGGCCAAGGAGGAATTTCTCCGCAACGGCACCGGACCCCTTACGACCTTCAACAACTCCTGCATCATGGCCTGGATCCACGATCCCGCCACGGTCGCGACGCCCGAGGCAAAATTCCTGCCGGCAGAGGTCCAGAAATACATCTCGCAGCCCGCAGTGCCGACGATGGAGGTCATCGCCGCTGTGCCGGCGTTCCCCCCGGAAGGGGGGAAGAGCTACTTAAGTCTCACGCCGGTCGGGATGACGGCGCAATCCACCGGGAGCGTCACGCTGGCGAGCAGGAACGCCGCGGATGCGCCGCTCTGCGACCCGCAGCTGCTTACCAATCCCTACGACAAGCAGAACGCGATTCGCGGGATCCGATATGCTCTCGAGATCGTCAAGAATTCGTCGCTGCAGAAGGATATGGTAAAGCCGTATCTCGTTCCGGCGGATGAGTCGGATGAAGCGATCTGGGAGTTCATCAAGGGGAACGTCTCCTCCACTTGGCATATGAGCTGCACGGTACGGATGGGAAAGGGGGAGGATGAGCGGGCATGCGTGGATACGAAATTCAGATTGAAGGGCATTGAAAGACTGCGAGTCATCGATTTGAGCGTTCTTCCGTTTGTACCGAATGCCCACACCGTGAGCTGGGCATATCTGGTTGGGGAGACGGGGGCGGAGAGGCTAATTAGCGAGTACGGGCTGGATGGTTGATTTGTTGTATTTCATTGAACGATGAGATAAAGAAATTTATGAAATGGGGGTTGATTAGTTTCTGTGCTCTCTTGGCGTGAAGCGGAACTGTGTATTTGAGATTGGATAGTAATCAACGCCGTCGGGGTTCCTAGAGATGCCCGTTCTCTTGCCTGTGGACGCGGGACCGGAAAGCGGAGAGCTGAAGTATCTCGTATCCAGATTCAATTCGAATTCGGCGATACCCGTACACGCGCCCTACGTCTATTAGGGATAATGGTACTTGGTATGCAGATGCAAGAATACCAGTACCAACCTGGCTAAACCGAGCTAGATGTTGGACCGAGGAAGAGGGGTGAGGTGACAGATCGTCACATATCTGGAGCGATGCCGATGAACTTGCGCCCTAGAATCGACATTTGTAGACATTGAAACTTGGAAGATATATAAATTGAAGCCAGAAGTTCATCAGAAAACACATTACGACACTAGCCAGACGTTTTTAAGCAGAAAGAACCGAGAACTTTGAACATGGCACGGCCGCAACTCAAACTTTATGTGGACAGTGAGTGACCCTTTACTCCCTACTAGCTCTCGATTCAACATCAAGATCAAACGAAACGCGACTGTTTTAGAAAAGTAATAGCGGCTGACAAGATCTTATAGTCGTCAGTCCATTCGCTTACATTGCATTTTATGCACTGCATGTAAGTTTGATTCGACTAATCTAGTCCCAAAGCGCGGATCTTATATCGATCACAAATCACATCATCTCATCCCTACAACAGCTCTCATATTTGACAGAACTCTACATGAGGTCCAATAGGCATTACTGTGTACTGACTTGCCACATAATTTCCCACTCTTCAAACAATGCGATGTTACATACGTGCCGATCCTCCTCGGAGGCATCCTGAACGAGTGCGGCAACGCCGCCCCGATCATGATCAAGAGTAAGCGACGATCCGTCTCCATTTGTCCCACGAGAGACTGATACACGAAACGCAGATAAGGGCCCGTACATCAACAAAGAGCGCGAACGTTGGGCGAAGCTCTTCAATATCCCCATCGGCGGCACACCCGCTGGGTTCCCTGCAAGGACGCTGCCGGTAAGTGCTCCTTCCGCTTCGTATAAATTCATCGTAATTGACACGGGAAACCAGGTTCAACGCGCCTTGACGGCGTTCTCAGTCTCGCCGTACGCGGACAAGCTGCCGCAGGTCATCGACGCCTTGTACCATGAGTACTGGGTGCTGGGGAAGCCCATCGCCGAGACTCAGGTGCACGGCGCGGCATTCGCAAAGGTCATCGGCGAGGAGGCGACGAAGGAGATGTTGCGGAAGGCGAACGACAAGGACGTGAAGGATCTGCTGACCAAGCGGACGTCCACGTCGGTGGAGGAGGGTGCCTTTGGCATCCCCTATTTCGTGGGTGAGTTGACGAAAGACATATATGCGGACGAATAGATCGATTAACTGGTTGAATAGCGACGAATTCGAACGGGGAGACGGATGGATTTTGGGGATTCAGTCATCTTGGGCTGGTGGTCGACCATCTGGGGTTGGAGAGACCGACAACGGGAGGCTGGAAAGCTCTATTGTAAACTGCGTACCGGTACTATAGTTTTGACGTCGACTGGAGCAGAAAGAAAACATCGGATCCTGAAGCAGATGAAAATGTCCGTTATCCCCCTGCCGGTGAATAAATTAACTTGCCCGCCATCCGTCCCAGCCACCAGTTGTTCACTTATTGGCTATTGCCTTCCGGAGCGTCTGTACTCCGTAACAATCGGTCGGACGCTTAACCAGCACATCCACAATTTACAGTTTCAGGCATCGGGACGTTGGGGAAATAGCTGCCCTCTGCGGGCCTGGACCTAGTAGCATCGTGTCTCCATGGTTCCGGAGCATTCGAAAACCGCGGCACACTAAGGATCAAGGGAGCGAATCTGCGGGGGAACGAGAATAGATTGGGGTCGTGTTTAGGCTTGACCGCTTGAGGGCCCGACAAGACAGGAATCAGGATGCCTGCAAAGGGGTTGGTTGCCTTGGCTGAGGAATTTTTGAGTGCGTTGGTGCGTTTGAGAATTGCATGTGCCTTTCGCCCGATTTGCATTCCTTCGTCAATTCTTCCTCCTCCACCTTCTTTCCTTCCTCTTCCCCGTTGCTATTGTCATTGCTATTGTCGATAACGTCTAGAACATCTTCCCTCGATCGAAGCGCCAAAGATTGCCTGTGGGTTGAACTCCGTTGAGAATCACGTGCAAGAGTGTTGGCGGCGGGAGCGACCGAGTTGGGGCCAATCAGATCGCAGGATTAGCCACAATAAGTTACTCCACTCTCCAGTCTCACCACCTTCCTCCAAGTCGCACACCATCCGTCCAACCTCAGCCATCCCCCGACCTCCGAAAGGATTCGTGGACTTTCTTCTCCCTTCCCTTCGTTCTATCTATACGAAATCTTGCCGAACTCGAATTTACTTCAAAGTGTTCTATTCCTGCTGGCATCCAACCACAAGCGGATGCTTCACGTCTCTCGCTCCATGAGCCTCCGCCAGGCATCCACTTTCGCGAACTGGTCCCATTCAACGTAGAGCCAGTTCGCCATGCCCAACTCGAGCACAGGCCGATCGTCCAAGAAGAACCTCGTCCTCACTGCTCTCCTTTTCTCCTCCCTTGCCACCGCCTCCCTTGCGGCTGCTCCGCAGCAGCAGCCCCAAGCCGGTTCGGTCCGCGAGCATCGCGCTCCTTCCGACGATGCCGACTCCATCCTCCGCACCATCTCCTCGCGTCAGGATGCCATGCATCCCGCGGACCGAGAGAAGTTATCCGAACATGACCGCTTGACCCAACCTCGCGGTCGAGATACACCGGTATATGTCCCGAACATCGAAAACGATGGCGCCGTTGCGACACTTGCTCCAGCTTACGACCCCGTGGAAGAACGAGTCTCCCGGGGTCGGGCTGTCCGAGCCTCCCAATCTGCACGATCCGCTGCCGGGTCCCGCCCAGACTTGTCTGCTGAACGATACGATGGCCTCGCCGGAGGCCGCGGAGTCAGGGCACCTCGAGCGCGATCACTGCAGGATTGGGAAGTTGAAAACCTAGTGCTTCTGGCGACCGTTGATGGGGCGATATATGCGAGGAAAAGAGATACAGGGGATGAGGTGTGGAGGTTTTATTCCGAGACGTCGATGGTGCAGACGATGTATCATCGAGACAATTCCTCGCGGAGAACACCCACATCGGGTGGTGAAGAGGAAGGTGATGACGATGATGGATTCCGTGATGGATATGAAGATGAACACATGACCGAAGTGGGAATCCTTTCCAAAAACCGGGAAGATGACTTCATGTGGATAGTAGAGCCCTCACTGGATGGGGCGCTTTACCTGTTCGATCCCCACTCTGAGGGTGGGATGAAGAACCTCCATTTAACAGTCCGACAACTTGCGGAGGAACTCTCCCCTTACGCTTCCGAAGATTCTCAGTTCGTCTATACGGCCGAGAAACGGAATACCCTTTATACATTGAACGCTACCGATGGATCCGCATTGAAATTCTTCAGCGCGGGCAATTCTGGAGTCACCACTCCAGGCGACAAATGCAAACCTCTCCGACGCCTGGAATCGTTGGAGGATGAAGACGACGAGTGTGAACCGACTCCAACCATTTTACTCGGTCGAACCGAGTACACAGTTGGAATACAGAATGGTGATACGGGTGCCAAGATCTGCACCATCAAGTACTTCGAGTGGACGCCGAACATCCGAGACCGCGACCTTCAAGCTCAATACTCCTTCACAATGGACAAGCGGTATGTGTACACTCGATACGATGGTAGCATCATGGCTCTCGAGTACAAGCACCACCAGACGAACAAAATCGAAGAGGGACTTCGCACTCCAGAGCGGCTGGTATATGCGAAGAAGTTCACGCATTCTCCTGTAGCGCAGGTCTTCGATGTCGCTCGACCTGTCAATGCAGATACGCGCGATGCCACACTCGTGGTGCTCCAGCAGCCGGTCGCTCCCAACACTCTGAATCCGACGACCGACCCCTTGGACAATATCGATTCCATCTTCATCAACCGCACAGACCATGGCTCGTGGTATGCATTGAGCGAAATGCACTATCCAAGCGTCACCGATGGGGCAGCTCGAGCGAAGTGTTATGTCCCTGGCGAGCCATCTGTATTAGACGGCGAGACCGACTTCTGGTCAAATCCCATTCATGGCGGCTGTGCGGACCTCGTTGGTGTGCATAACCTATTTGCGCCGTCATCAGGAGGCAGCTCGGGCACGGGGGTTCCAACGATTGAAGGGCCGCGAGACCTTGTGGGGATTATCGATTACCAACCTGCAAGTGAGGACCCGGCTCTTGCCTACAATCGGACAAGCCCGCCGAACGAGAAGAATTCGTCGTGGATAACCCCCCAAGTGTTCTTTACCGTGATGTCCTTCCTGGTCGTCGCATTAGCTGTGGCGTTAAAGGACTCCTCTACCATTTCCACGTTGACGTCCAATATTTGGGCCGAGAAAGCGAAACCCTCCGTTCTGATGCCGGACAATAACATTACAGTTACTAGAGTGGAACCCGACAACTCTCGACTCGCCGCAAAGAATGCGCCCTTGGAGGTGGAGAGAAAGTCTGTTCGATTCGCAGACGCTGACACCGATACCGAGAACTTGCTCGAGAGAACCGAAACACAAGGAACAGATCCAGCTGCCGATGAAGCGGATGGAACAGAGGCTCGGGCTTCACCTGAAACTGCGGAAGACGCAGCTCCCGACGCAAATGGTGAAGGCAGTCCCGACACACCGAAGAAGAAGAAGGCACATCGCGGAACGCGGGGTGGCCGACGACGAAAGAAGGCAACCAAGATCGCTGAAGATGAAGCGGACGATTCAATTGAGAAGGTTGTCGAGGGGGTGATGCAACTCAATCGCGACCCAGGTATCCAACCTGATGAGATTAGTGTCGGTGTTGAAGGAGTTTCTGATGTTGGCGGTACTCTTCAATTGAATAACCTGGTTGTCTGGAAGGATAAGATTTTGGGCTATGGTAGCGGTGGGACTATTGTTTGCGAGGGAACATTCGAGGTAACACATTTGGTTCACCCTCTTCTGAGTCCCACATTCTGACACAATTGAATAGGGCCGACAAGTTGCAATAAAGCGGATGCTTCCACAATACTATGAGTTGGCATTGCAAGAAGTCTCCTTACTTCAGCAGAGCGACTACCACTCCAACGTCATCCGATATTTTTGCCAGCAAAAAGACCCGAATTTCCTCTACATTGCAGTCGAGCTCTGCCAGGCTTCGCTGTTCGACCTTTTCAAGGATGGCTGTGGAATTAACGGCCTGAATGAGCAGCAGCTGGAGCTCAAGAACCAGATCAATTTGAATGTTCCTGCCGCTCTGTACCAACTGGCCGATGGACTGAACCACTTGCACAGTCTGAGGGTTATCCACCGGGACATCAAGCCGCAGAATATTCTTATTGCCCACCCGAAGAAGACCCAAACCAAGGGAGCTCGCTTGGTGATTTCCGATTTTGGACTCTGCAAGACTTTACCCGACAACCAGTCTACATTAGGTCCGACGACGGGCAATGCGGGGACGGTCGGATGGAAAGCCCCTGAACTGATCTCTCGCCCTCATAGCGGCGAAGGGAGAAACTCCAGCACCGCGGAAGACTCGCGCAACTCGACCAACTCTACCGAGGCGATCACCCCCGGCTTCAAGCGCTCGGTGGACATCTTCTCGCTCGGCTGCGTGTTCTACTACGTCCTCACCAACGGCGCCCACCCCTTTGAATCCTCTGACGATTCCTGGAGCGTGATGCGCGAGGTCAACATCAAGAAAGGCCTCCTCGACCTCAGCAAGCTGAAAAACCTCGGCCCCGACACCGAGGAGCCCCTCCAACTGATTGAATGGATGCTCATGCCGAAGCCCGAGGACCGCCCGACCGCCAAACAGGTCATGAACCATCCCTTTTTCTGGACCCCCGCCAAACGCCTCTCCTTCCTCTGTGACGTCTCCGACCACTGGGAAAGCCTCCCGCGCGACCCCCCCTCCCCGCATCTCCAGGTCCTTGAATCCTACGCCCCCGAGGTGCTCAAGGACGCCGGCAACAACTTCCTCTCGCGGTTGCACAGGTCGTTCATCGACACACTCGGCAAGCAGCGGAAGTACTCGGGCGAGCGGCTGCTGGACCTGCTGCGCGCGCTGCGGAACAAGAAGAACCACTACGCGGACATGCCGGAGGAGGTGCGGCTGAAGGTAGGGGACTTGCCGGATGGGTATCTGAAGTATTGGACCGGGCGGTTCCCGTCGTTGTTGATTTTGTGTTGGATGGCGGTTCTAGAGTGTGGGTTGAGTCGGGATCAGAGGTTTAGGGAGTATATAGAGGGGTTGGATCGATTTAGCCTGTAGCTGAAATTGCAGATCGTTTTGGTTTCTTGGTCCCAAAGTGCAGTACAAATGCAATGGCGCTTGACTGTCCCAGACGGTATAATCTCGCAATACGACAAATCACTCTTCTTGATATGGCATTCTTCCATATCACCGTGGTATATTATGGCACCTTGCCTTCTTTAGTTGCCGTTCCAGGGATGCTGACAATGCACACCACAGGCGCAACCGACACAGATAACAAAGTCTTACGAGTAGCAAACTCATGGGGCTCGAGGTGCTTTCTTGTGATGGCAGAGCCTAGCTGATTCGATCCTAGGTCGGCCAGAAAAGCAGGAGTGAAGATACAACCGTCTGACACACTGTCATATGGACTAGGGGCTCTATACCGCGTTCGCGTGCCAATGATGGTTGCTTGACTAATATGCTCTCGAGCCCAGCCCATTCGGCGACCATTCGAAGCCAGTTGCCTCCTGGGTCGGACCACAGCTGGATGACAATAAGACGCCCGAAGTCGCTACGACTCTCGCGCTCTGCCCCAACGGCGTGCTGTCTCATGACGGCCCCGGCCGAATAGTACTAAGCAGTAAAGCCGCTGAACACGTCCAGGCGTGGAAGTACAATCTACAAGTTCGAGCTTATGGACTCTGGATTCATCAAATCCTCTTTGAGTACGGCATGAATGACGAAGTCGGCGATCGAAAGAACTGTCAGTTGGGATACCTGGCGAAATTCGAACTGATGAGCTCGATCCACTGGGAGGTCTACAACTGGGTTGTCGACAACGGCAGGGGAAGGGACGCAAGGGATCTCTTGGACGCAATTGGGAAGTGGATTAATGAGCGGCCGGAGGTCAAATACCCACAACCAGGGGCGATCAAGGTGGCTGCGAAGAAAAGAAGGTAGTTGGACGACTGAGAGGCTTGTAGAGCAACGACCGGACGAGAGGATGACAAGATGATATTTAGGAACTGATGTGATGGATGCCTCTAGATTTAACAATCATGTTCATTAATTTCAAAGATCTGGTGCTTCGGACACTCTAATAGTGCCTGTATAGCTGTATCTAAAGTGGTCTCGATCCAACCTCGCCGGGTATCGACCATCTAGCGCCGTTGCCCATTCCCTATTCTATTTATACAAGCCAGATGCAATCTGGCGTCCCAGATTAATATCCCAAATGCAAGACACCCGCCAAGCACGTCCGGAGATAACATGGCGCCAACGTATGTTCACAAGAATCGATTAGAAAAACACGGAGCAACATCAAACTCGTGACGGTCTCTTCAACGGATGTGCCTCCGTGTTCAAGACATACTCGTCCAAACTCACCAGGTCCGGCTCGGCGAACAGCAAGTAAAAATACTTGAGCGTCTCCGCCAACCAGAAGCTCTCCATCCGGTCGACCTTCGTCTTCCCCGGATCTTCGGCCGTGCAATCATCCAACGCGGCATGGGCGATGTTGGTCTGCGTCGCAGCGACGATCGTCTCGAAGATCTTCCACGCGCGATCCATGAGCTTCGTGTCTCCCGTGACGCGGTACAAGACGAAAATGCTCTCGATCGCCTCCGGTCGCAAGATGTACCTCCGATCGTCGACTTTCGTGACCCCCGGCACGAGTCGCAGACGGGCGATCTTCGCGCTCAGGGACTCCTCGTTCATGCCCGGGTTCATGGCGGCGACGCCCTTCTCCCACTTCTGCTCGTCGAACTTGCATTCGCCCTTCGCTGGGCATTTCTGGAGGTGCATGATCTCCGGCATGATGCCGGACGGGCCGCGCTCGTAGCCCCAGAGGCAGCCTTCGACGAGCTTCTTCGCGATGGCCATGTCTTTTGACTGGGAGAAGATCTTGGAGCCGATAGCGACCATGCCGCCGGCGAAGCAGCCGAGGTGCTGGGCTTTGGGTTCGGTTTCGAGCTCGGAGAGGGGGGTTTCGCCGTCCGAGTCGACGTCGCCGGGGAAGAGGATGTCGACATCGTCCTCGACGTTGGGGGCGAAGAAGATATGCTTCTTCATTGTTGCAAGGGACTTCTTGTACATGTTCTCGTATTGGCCCATTCCACCGCCAAGGAGAGCAAATTCCTGTTAGGTGTCAATAGATCGCAAGCAATGCATGCGCGAGGATGCTGACCTTCGGCAAGTATTCGTACACTGAATCCGCCATACCACCGATCGTGAAGCCCCCAAATTGTGTGAAGTCTGCGGTCATCGCATTGACGGCCACCGGCCACATTCCTGGGAGTTTCGTCTTGCCTTGCTGATATTCGAAGTGATCCATCACTCTCTGGACTGCGTCGTAGTATTTATGATCTCCGGTGATCTGGCTCAACCGCGTGAACTCCAAAGTCAAGGAGCCGATCTCGGCGACGAGCATATTTGTCGACGCGACCTGCTCATTTGTCCGCTTGACGGCATCCGCGAACCTCCATCGTGTGACGGGCATGTGGTTTGGTGTATCAAATGCAACATAAAGCATATCTCCCAACTCTCGCGCCTTTTCCAACAAAATCGGATATTGTCCGTCGGTCAAATCGGATGCGGCCAAGAATCCCCCCAGGTATCGGATCGTGGTTTCGAAAACATTAATCTCGTCCAAATTACTTGTCGTAAAGTCGATATTCGCAATGGCTTTGACCGCATCGTCGAACTCGTCCTTGAGGCCCATGATCCATAATGTATCTGCTCAAATTCAGCATATTGCAATTGGAGTCTATTCTTCAGCACGTACCCAATGAGTCGACCAACGTCGCAGCCCAACCTCCAAAAGGATTGTATCGTCCCCCAGACATCGGCCGCACCTCGTCGCTCAACCAGGCTTTGGACCGATATCCCTCCCACGCATGGGTAAAATTGTTCTTCACATATTCCAATCTCTGCAAGCGCACTTTCTTCAACGACTCCGGCTCTGTATCGAACGACGTCTGAATCTTAGGGATCTTCCCTAGCTTCGGCGCCGGCACCTTCCTCATGGATTTCGTCGGGATCGGATGCCGTAACTTCACGGTGCTCCAATGGAACTTTCCATCCCGTCCTTTGGGCAGCGGGTTTTGCGGTCTTCGCAATCGATTCTCCTCGTCATCATCCTCTTTCGAGAGCACCCCGACGGTCCGGTACGGTTCCTGCCCCCGAGGGTTACGTGAGTAATGGAAGAGGAAGAAGACCATGAGGAAGGCGAGGACGACCAGCGTGATGCGCCGCCGCGATATAGAAACCACCGATATCGCCATAGGTGCTTTGGCTGGCCGCCACGCCGGAAAGGAGAGGTCGTGTGGTATGCGGGATGGTACAAGGGCCGGAATGCTAGGATGGGACGTCTGTTGAAGCCATGCAGTCTACAGAAGGTGAGTAGAAGAGCCGGGCAAGAATGGTGTCAACGAGAGAAGTCAATGGTTGCGAAGAAGACGGGAAGATATGGCACGAGGATACGGAATGTCCAACTGTTCAGCGCGGGATAACTAAAATTCACGCTGATGAAGAAAGCTCACACGACCGGGGTTAATACGGACCCGCAATTCCAACCATGAGGGTCTTACATGCGGCTTACTGTAAGTACAGTAATAATTTACATGAGAGTTGCTTCCCTCAAGTTGTATCCTACTGCCATCTACCTTGTGTAGAACCGCCTAGGACTTTAAGTCATAAGGTAAACCGTAAGTAAAGCTGTAAGTAAAGAACTAAAGATCTCAGCCTTTAGAAAGTTCCAGAATTGCCCTATTCTAATATCTTTTGACCTTGTGCTAGGCAATCACCGCCATTGCGATCTGCAATTATGGATTTAAATCGTCGAGTCGCCAGCTCTCTGACCGACCTACTTCTCGACGCACCGATAAACACCGAGAAATACGAGGCCCTCTACAAGCACTTCCACGCGCACCCCGAGCTCTCGAATCTTGAGGCTGAAACTGCCAAAACGATCGCAGTCCAACTATCGCGTCTCCAGGCTTTCGACATCACCACCAACATTGGCGGCCATGGCGTCGTCGGCGTGCTAAAAAATGGCCCAGGGAAAACCATCCTTCTCCGCGCCGACATGGACGGCCTCCCAATCTTGGAGGCAACAGGCCTTCCCTACGCTAGCACCGTCACCATGCCCGACGTCGAGGGAGTCATGCGGCCGGTGATGCACGCGTGCGGCCATGACATGCACGTGACGTGTCTCCTCGCTGCCGCTGAAACGCTTCTCAAACTTAAACAGATGTGGAGCGGGACGTTAATTGTGCTGTTCCAGCCTGCGGAAGAGCGTGGCACTGGAGCGAAGGCGATGGTAGATGATGGCCTGTATGGTAAGCACCAGATCCCGGTGCCCGACTTTGTACTCGGCCAGCATGTAATGGCAATGCGGGCGGGGAGTGTGGGATCGAAAATGGGAACGATTATGGCGGGGGCGGATAGTATGAAAATTACGCTATTTGGGGTTGGTGGTCATGGGTCGCAGGTGGGTGGATATACACACTATCTACTGCATTCAAGAGCTGACATATACAGCCACATCGGACGATTGACCCTGCTGTCCTGGCAGCTCACGTTGTAGTACGCCTCCAGACTGTCATCAGTAGAGAAATCAATCCAAGCGATACTTCCGTTCTGACGGTTGGGAGCTTGCAAGCCGGTCAGACCGAGAACATCATCGCCGACTCGGCGGAAATTGGTGTCGACATACGCAGCGTGCGGCCGGAAACCCGCGAGAAACTTCTGGCCTCAATTCGGCGCATCGTCAAGGCTGAATGCGAAGCAAGCGGTTCGACGGTTGCTCCCGTATTCAGAATGACTCGGCACCTGCCAAACACCGTGAATGACGAGTCGATGATGAAAACGCTCGTGAAGAGCTTCAGGGAGTATTTTGAAGACGACTTTGATGCAAATATACCCACTACGACTATTTCGGAGGATTTTTCGGTCCTCGCAACATCGCAGGGTCGGCCGTGTGCGTTTTGGCATTGGGGAGGAATAGAGGAAGCCCTGTGGGATCAGAGGCGGAAAGAGGGGAGAATTGATGATATTCCTGCCAACCATACGGCGAGATTTGCGCCGGTGATACAACCTACGATGCAAACGGGTATTCATGCTCTCTGTGTTGCTGCTCTTGCTTTCTTTGACGAGAAGTTGCAATACAGAATATAGAGGATTTAACGACTAGGTACGGAATAAAGTCGAAGATAGGCAATACTCTGGGGGCTTGGTGGCGCTAAACACGAAAGGAGGGGCGCTAAACCGGAATGGGGAAAGGGGGGAATTTCCCATGACCCGTCAGCTCGATTTCCAAATAGACCGAATAGCCCGGTCTAATCTTAGCAACAGGGACATAAGAATAGCAGAATACGTGGTACAGGCGTACAGCCTGAAGATCTCTATTTGGCAATCGAATGGATGGTTGGATATAAGGCTATATATTCAAGCCTGGGCAATTATTTGTACTCCAGACGACCAGAAACCGAGAAACGCCATTCATGGGCATGAACTCGTCCGAGAGAAAATCGACTCTAGACCTTCGCCCTATGCCTCGAATGCGCGTCGAAATTAATCCAGATTGCTCCCCTCCATCTTGGAGAATACCTTTCCGATTTCTATTCATTAATTTTGAGATATCGATACACGAAATCCCCCACCTAAGAGAAATGGAACCCCTCCCGACGATGCCGACGATGCCGACCATGTGTCCTTCCGCTGTCGGCGGAGGTCGTATTCCAGCCGATGTCTGACTCCGTGCAGCACTAGATGACATTAGTTGATGATATTTTCCCCATTCAAACAATTGTCCTCACCTGAACCTCTACCGGGTCATCCAAGCAGAATCCCGGTGTCGCACCTTTCCCGCTGTCCTTGCAAGCTGTCCGATCCATGCAGACGCCCTTCTGTCCAGACTGGATTGTGCAATTGTTCCCGCTGCCAGTCGACGTTGGCGGGCTGGCAGAGGTAGGGCTGGTCGATGAGGCTTTGTCGCGGGTAGTGACCTTGTCGGATTTCGCAGGCTTCTTGGTAGCCGACGGCGCCTCAGTTGCAGGCTTCGTGGTAGCCGACGGCGCCTTAGTTGCGGGCTTCGTGGTAGCCGACGGCGCCTTAGTTGTGGGCTTCGTGGTAGTTGACGAAGCCTCATCGAAAGGGAAGCAAAACGGTTCGGCGATGGGGAAGCTGCCGTGGGCAAGGGAGATATCGACTGGCGTCTTTCCACGGATCTTTCCCACCGTAAACTTGAAGCTGTAGCCATATGTCGGAACCACTCTGAAAGCAAAGTGATTATTATCGTTTTCATTGCAGGCGTGGCCATTCTTGCTGGCGACAACCTGCCCACTGAGCTCGAAGTTGGGAGCCCGGAATTCCAGTCCTGTCTCGACCCCTTGGCCGAGGACCTCCGCTTCGAGTTGGATGGCCCAGAGAAAGAAGGCGGTGATTTTGGTGGAGATGCGGGCTTGGAGGTCGAGCGGCTTCATCTGGACGTCCGGCTTCCAGCCAGAGAATTTGTTGTTGGACGGGTCGAGGAGGTCGACCTCAAGGATCGCGTCGTTGGGTAGCGTAACCGTAGCGCCAGTCGCTAGTTCGAAGGCCAGTTCCGCGCCGGACACGTCGATGCCGAACTCGACGTCGAGGACGGGTCCTAGACTGAGGATATCGCCCGGGATGCTGATGCCTCCTGGAAGAGGGACCTCTGCGATAGGTATCCGCGTAACAGGAACGGTACTGCCGATCTTCGCCCCACCTCTTAGTCGGATGCCGGCCTCGGCTTTCACTCCTTGAGGACGGGTTTTGAACTTCAAACCGGTGGGGATAAATAACTCCGTTTCCACGTCAAACTCGAACTTGAGCTTTCCGGACGTCTTGCACGGATTGCACGAGAAATCGCCAAACACGGGACCGGATGAGATGCCGACCCCAAAGCGGAGATCGGCATTGAGATTGATCGAAGTGTCTTTGGATAGGTCCCTCGAATGGACATTAGATGGCATTTCCACGCTGCCGACGTGGAGCTTGTAAGTATGGACCAGGTCCTTCCATTTGCCAGCAGTGGCATTCAAGTATGCGACGTTAGCCACCTCGTCATATTGAATGTTATGGACCGAGTACGGCATCCGACGACTGTTGTTGCTGCAGTCGCCTCTTCCGGTGAACATGACAAACGTGCGATTGTCAAAACCATTCACCCAGTCCCAGACTTGCTGGGCATATTTGAAAGTCTCATCGTCCACAAACCCAAGGGTCATGCTATTGTTCCCGCACTCGACCTTATTGAGCATTCCGTCAAATCTTTCCATTGACAGAATATTCTCATTACTGCCAGGCATATCGACCGTCATGTTTCCGAAAATAGCATCGTTACCATCTAGGAACTGTTAATGAAACCCAACGATGCGTGAAGGGCAGCCACTAACCTATTCCCCCCCACAGGAAAGTCTCTGTGCTCATCAAATGAAAGTTCTCTAGGCTAAGAGCAGGATTCAATCTTTTGTCCAGCGGCCGAGACGACCGTATGTGGTCCCATGGCCGGATCTCCTGAAGCTCAATTGCATAAGAAGTAGTAAAAAGGAGCGAAAGAACAACAATGCTAAGGAGCGTATAGCAAAACATAATGAATGAATGAATGAATGAATGAATGAATGACTGCTTGACGAATTGCTCAACAACGCATATCAAAGGAACGACTCGTTCAAATACCATACAATGGATTAAACGTTGAGCTACCTGATATCGAGACGGACACGCCTTGCCAAATATATCATCTTGAACATGATCGCTAGTCTCAAACGAACCGAACCTTGATGAAGCAGAAGTACGATATGGATCCATACTTACCCCGTACTTTGTCCCTGAAGACATACAGTTGAAAGATTATAAGGACCATGAAGCGAGAGAAAGCCCGCGAGAGAGCCTCAGCCACTTCGTCACCATCGTGACATGCCTGTATGCCCATCCTCATCTTATGCTTACCGAACAGGTATCCTTGGCTTCGTGCGTAGGTATTGACCTATGAGCTGGGACGGTGCGGCAGACTACCCGTATCTTGCAACGGTGGGTATGGGGTATGTTTCAGGACCTCCAAATTTGCCTACATCCTGACAAGAACGGACCTCAGCTCTCAAGCAATGTTATTACGAACTCGACATCAATGAAAATCAAACTTGATGGACTTTGGGTAAAGAAAGATTGGCTTTTGCCAACGAACCCAAAACTTTCAATATACGCTTCATCCGTTTTCAGACTTGAAACCAATCGCTCTGAGGTACATGTCAGAGCTTGTTGCAAATTGCTGGATTGTGGATGAGGATCTGAAGTTGTGAAGTCTGAAGGACTCGCAAGTAAAAACAGGTTAGCTGCGGCCTCGGAGCCTGTGCTCTTGAACGGCACATAATTTATAATTAAGAGGGTCCCTGAATAGTCGAAGATCGACAAATCGCAAACGGCGGTGCAGAAATCCCCTATTCGCCGCAACCATTAGGAAGCACTACAGTAAAAAGCACGCGTGACGCGACCTGTCAATGTATGGACTAATATGGACGGAGTAATATTAAGGGACAACAAGAAGAAAATATGAACCACTTGCTCTCGAGATTGCCGACCTGGAAAGTCAATAATATTCTAATTCCGGTCCTGATAAAATCATGGCCACTCTCTTTCTCTCCAATATCAAAAGGTTTGTGCAGAGTCTAGCTTTAGAAAGTTCGTCGCGTGGAAGGGCAACGGACCGCGCAATTTGAATGGGGACCCGGGAGCCTTCATTTGCCAAGACCAAATCATCATGGAGCTGTTAAATCCTTCAACAATGAGATGAATTCCTGGGCCCAGAATCCATGACGGTACGGAGTATTAATGGAAACATTACTGGGAAGGGGTTGGTAGACAGCAAAGCCTCGAATCTCAATATTCGACGACGAAGCCAACCATGATAGCGAAGGATTCTTGCCTAGGATTCGAATTGTTTCTATCCGGTCTCAAAGAATCCACGGAAATAAACCGAATGAATTCCTTGACCCTTGATCATGAGAAAAAGGGAGAGAAGCCTCAAATGATTTTGAGTCTTGATCCGTCAAAACTCTGAAAGGAGATGATCAGCGCATCTAGAGAAGTCACTCTGGGAACCCTCAGCGTTCCTGTTGGTGGCCGTGGCCCCCTCCAAAAGAGGGTGAGACATGAAGAGGGAAATGACGCGTTGGTTGGCTGATTCCACGAAGAGCGGCAAATGTCCCATGTACTCGAGAATCCTTATTCCCACCTGCGATGGTTAGGATACTTGAAGCCTCATGCTCTGTTTGGATGTCTGTTTCTATGGCGAGTTTTGCATTTCCGTACCTTGGATTTGTACCAGTAAATATAAAGTACCCTAAGCGATATTGCTTTTGACATATTCCCTCTTTTTCTCATCTAGTTGCTTGTTCATAATGCGATTCTCCATATCCGTCCTTTGTTTTGTGTCTCAAGTCCTTGGGCAATTGCCTGCGTATACCGGGCCCTATGGCGTCGGCCTAATAGACGTCGAGGTCCCCGGGAACGGCGCGACATTCAGTAATTATACCTTAAAGGGGACGGATCAAAGAGCCTTTTATGTGAGTGGTGGCAAGCCATCCCATGCTATCAGCATCTCAATCGGAGCAGCTCGAAACCGTCTTGACGTCCATCTACTATCCGACCGCGAAAGACTATGCGAACGCTTCCCAAGCGCCGCATCCCTGGCTACCCAGACCCCTGGAAGTCATCGCCGAAGGGTTCGCGAAAGCGGGAGGGTTCGGTGATCCATCGGTCATCTTGGCGGGGCTGCAAGTTCTCGGAGGGAACGTCACGATCCCGGCGCAGGTCGACGCACCGCTCTCTCCCGACGGCGGGGCATTTCCTGTCATTGTCTTCAGCCATGGCGATACGTCGCTGTCGACGTGGTATTCGATCTTCTGCGGCGAGCTCGCCAGTCGGGGAAATGTGGTCGTTGCGATTCAGCATCGAGATGGCACGTCTGCTGGGACGGTGATCCGCCCTAAAGATGGGCAGGAGAGAAATCTGACGTACCTCCGGCCCGAGGATGTGGAGTAGGTGCTCTTCGCGATGTGGGATCGGCGCTCCAACTGACGGTGCGCAGGCCGGTTCCGTCGGAATTGAACCTCACGATGGTGAAGCGGACCTTTCGGCAAGGAGAAGTCCACGAGGTGGTCCAGATGATAGAGGCTATCAATGACGGGGGTGGGGGGGGGACCTATCGCAGCAACTCCCGCAATGAAGGCAGAGATTTGGCGAATTGGAAAGGCCGCCTGGACCTTACTCATCTTGTAGCCAGTGGGCATTCATTCGGAGCTACTTCTACTGTACGTGGAATTGCGCGCACTCTCGCTTTTGACTGACTTTGGTGAACAGATGGATTCTCTCGGGGGAGAGTTAACACTGGTGGACTCATTCACTGCTTCAATTGTTTTTGATCCGTACGCTTCTGAACCCCAAGTTCCACGCTGTTGAGACTAATCGATCCCGCAGTGGTAAATTGAGTGGTCCCCTGAACAGAAACGTGTCCGTTCCTCTCTTGGTGGCCGACTCTCTCGAATGGTCCCTGATACCCGCCCTGCTCGACGGCCAGAATCATTTCGATCTGGTCAAACGAATCGCCGAAGATTCCCTGCAGAAGACAAACGGTAGCTGGTTCATGACGAATCGTAGGTACACCATGGGGAATGGTCTCCGTCCGCATGCTAACCGTAACAAGTGGGAACCGCACATGTATCAGTATCCGACGCCCCAATCCTGGCCGGAGACCTCATCACTGCATTCGATAGCGGTGCCGGCAACGCGACCATCGACCCGCAGGTGGCCCTCCAGCGCTACATCGATGTGTCGGCGAACTTCCTCCAATTTCTAAAAGATGGATCGCGGAATGGCATCTTGGCTTCTGAAGTGACGCATCCATTTTTTGTCAATGAATCGGGGCGGGACTGGGTGGTTCACGTCGCTCCGTAAGCATTATTTATATATCACTGAGGTTCGATGGGAGCTAATAATGGAATGGTACAGGGTCGTCAATGCTACTTCACCTTCTCTTGAGAAGCCGGGACTTGGTGCGGTGTTCAGACCGAATGTCGTAACTGTCACGGTTTCAGTGCTGTCCGCTACCATCATTCTATACCTATCGTAAACATGAGTAGCCCACCCCGTAGCTCTATGATCATTCTAATTCTTACCTGGAAGATCTGTGTTCCTATTCAATCGATCGTGATATTCGTTTAAAGCGGAATGCGCAGGCTGACGCAGGTTATTGAAGTAGAATAAATGCAGCGTTGACTGGCGTCGGGCACTCGAGGGACGCGCCATCCCATTGATGTACCCGTGAAATTACGAAGTACAGGGAATTACAAAGAACTTGAAAGCATCGGGAAACCAGACCACTCTTACACTTGCGTTATTGATGAGTTAACAACGGGGTTCTGGCACAGGGCTAACTGGACGCATGGCTAGGATAGTCAATCGGGTTCTGCTATACCGCCGACCCCTAGTTGAATGAAATTCATGTTGATAATACTTAGTCAAATACCATTCACCTATCACCCATTATGAGAATTCCACATCAGAATAGCTGCTATTGTTCTTACCCACCGCCTATAGTTCGAAGTAAACCACAGCAATAAAATCCGCTTCGCCAAACGTGCATCGATTGTATGACTTGCTACTCGGGCCCATCACTGCCCCTGAAACGCCGTTGTCGTCCGTAGAAAAAATACCACAAGCCACGCCCAGCGAGCCGCACAAAAACAGAAAAGGCTCACTTCAGCAGCGCCGATGTCATCCGTATCGCATCGATCAATCGTCCATCCCGCCAGTCCGCCCTACCCATCACTCATCCATCATCCATCATCCATCATAAAGCATCAGCCATGACCATCATCATCCCTCCACTCATTCCTCACTCCTCACTCCTCACTCCTATTCCTCATCCCCCACCTCCACCCTAACCAACACCTCCTCCAACATCCCCTCCAAAAAACTCACCACTCCCCCACCCATCTCAACCGGCCCGGCCGCATCCCACGCATCGATCTCCCGAAACACCCGCGCCGCCTTCCCCACCAGCCGACGGATCTGCTCGTGCGCCTCGCGCTGGGTGCGGAGCGCGTCGGCATGCGCGCGGGACGCGTCGGTGTGGGTCTCGGCGCGGCGGGAGGCGGTTTGCGCGTGGTGCACGGAGGCGCTGCGGCGGCGGAGGGCTTCTTCGAGGGCGGGGAGGACGACGGAGGTGAGGGCGGTGATGTCGGGGGTTTGTTGGGGGTGGAGGGGAGGTGGAGGGGGGTGGGTTGAGGGTGGGGTGGATATGTTGGAAAGGGGGGTGGGAGTGGGGATGGGGAGGGAGCCGGGGGGGGGTTGGTTTTGAGAGGGAGTGGAGAGGTGGGGTGAGGGGAAGAGTGGGGACGGGTGGTGGGAGGGGGAGGGGTGGGGGTGGGGTGGGGTGAATGGTTGGGGTGGAGGGGAGAAGGAGGGGAGGGGCTTTTGTGGGTTGAGGGAGGAGTGGGATGGGAGGTCGTGGGATGGGCGGGGAGGGTTGCCTTTGAATGGCGGGATAGGAGGCAGGGTGATCGGCGTGGAAAGCTTCGGGGGAGGGGCCTGCTCTTGCACGGTTCGGTACGGTCGAGCCCGTGGCACTTCGAACGATGGCAGCGGGATTTCATCGTGCCGCTTTGGAGTCGAGGGACGGTGAGACGGTGACTGCTGCGAAACTACCACCGGGCTCCTCTGCGGTCCGGAATGGATGTTCAACCCGGCCATTCCCCGCTGCAAGAACCCATCCAATCGCGACGCCTCTTGCGTGACTCTCCGTTCTTCTCCCAGCAGCATCTCATCCCGTATCTGTTTTGACGGTGTCAGCGGCACGAACGTCTTCTCCAGTCGCCCTTTCTCCGGCGACGGCGGCAACGGGATCTTCGCCGCACGGGTTGGCGATTCCTGCACGACCGTTCCATCGATACCGCTCTGGCGCTTCGGCGATGCAGGTAGAGGCGCTGGCGGTGCCCGGATGCGGAGCGTGCTTGCCGACGGGACGCGTGGCTGCCGCTGCGGCTCGCCCGGGGCACGGTTCTCCTCACCGGAGCCGGACCGCTTGGGGAGGGGGTTGGCGAAGTCGAATCGATCGATTTTGGTCGGGGAGGGGGCGGGAGAGTGGTGCGTCGTGCGGGCGTTGGCGGCGGCGTCGTTGAGGTCTTGGAGGGCGGCCGCGCGGTTGTTGACGGGTTTGACGGTGCCGAAGTCCCACAGGTCTTCGTTAGACAAGCGCGAGGCATCGCCGTCGGTGGAGGAATCGTCTTCCGTTTCGTCATCGGAGTCTTTTCCGCCTTTCTGCGCGACGTAGCGCTCACGGCGTTCGATTAGCTCCGTCAAATAAGTTGTCTTCTTGGCGCGGCGGACGAAGGAATGTTTCAGCAGGTCTTTGGCGGATGGACGTTCGCGAGGTTCCTTCTTGAGGCACAGCTCGACGAAGTCTTTGAAGGCGCGGGAGAAGGTACCATGGAGCTGCGGCGGTGGATTTTTCGGGATGAGGAATAGGACCTTCATGGGGTGGATATCCGCATACGGAGGTTCGCCATTGGCGAGTTCGAGGGCGGTAATACCAAGGGACCAGATGTCCGCCTTGTGATCATAGCCTGACTGCTTGATGACTTCCGGGGCCATCCAGAAAGGCGTGCCTACAAATGTGTTCTTCTTCGTCATCGTTGCGGAGAGTTGGCCGGAAACACCGAAATCAGCGAGCTTGACTTGGCCATTCGCTCCAAGGAGGATATTGGCAGCTGTGGCATTCATGAGCGGTTTGGTTGAGAGGAAGGAATCAGGAACCCTCACCTTTTATATCCCGATGTAATTTGTTGTCCCCATGTAGGTACTCGAGTCCCATCAAGAGCTCTCTGATAATAATGGTGATATACTCTTCAGAAATGAGCCCTGGTTTCATTAGGTCCTGGCAGCTGCCACCCGAACAGAACTCCATGATAATCCACAGGTCCGATCCCTTCAGGTAGGACCCATAGTACTTGGTCACATAAGGAGAATGCAACTCAGACAGGATGGCGATCTCTTGGATGATATCCTCAACCTCATCTTCAGCGTTTTCGACATCAATGACCTTGATGGCGACGGCCTGTCCTGTTCTCTTGTCTACCCTAGATAATCCTCAGTTGAATGGCCTATAAATTGTAGAAATCTCACTGACCCTTTGTACACCTTCCCAAAACTGCCACCTCCAATACATGACTGCTTTGTGTAGAGGGTTTCAGGATCCACACTTCCAGCAAGGAAGTCTCCGCTCGCCATGTTGGTATAGGCAGGCGGTGATGCGCCAGTTGAAGACTCTAGAATCACAGTGTTCAGGCTGTAAAGATGGAAAGAAGTCCGTGGAATAGTGCCCTGTTAAGTGGAAGAGGGTTGGAATGCGCGGTCGATATTTTCGTTCCGTTTTACGATCTTTGCGACCTATCACACTCGGTCAGCAAAGGACTCGGCAGAAGAAACAGGGAGATCTGAGACTTTTGGAGCTCAACCCGAGCCTGAAGAAGACATCGTCCGAACTCCTGAGCAGAAAAGGCTTAAACCTCACATACCGGTAGTATCAATAGCTGGATGGGATTGCACTCCTTCCTTGACCGCCGCCCGCCGAGCTACCAGGAGCAATTGCTCTACAATTGAACTCAACAGCGGCACTTCACGTCGGATCTAGCTCAGGCTTGCCATGGTGCAAGGTCGGGGGGATTTTGGAGATCTAAGCGGCCAGAAATGGGGGGGAAGAAGGACATTGTTTGGGGCCAGGGAGGATGTTTTGTTGGTGTTGTCCAGTTGTTGATGTCCAGCGCACTGCACCGCGGGATGAATAGGACGGGACCCTGGTCGTTTCGTGGTTCAGTGCCCAGCGCCTGCTGATTGGCTGTCAACCGCCTAAATTTAGGCTCTCCACTCCCTGATTCGTCCCTTGCGTCATAAAAACATTCCCAGGAAAGGTCCCTCACCATCCACACACCCAATGTCAAGGGGATTGGTTATTATTAATCCAACCTATCGCTACTACTCTGCCATTCCGTTGGTTAATTCCTCTAAATACTACTAGGACTGTAACAGCCTATCGTGAAGTTGCTCTTTGGTTGCGCAAGTGACAAGAGTCGATATGCTTTAGATGGATCTAACAGTCAGGTACCCACTACCCACACCACGCCACAGGCAGACTTGACCTCGTCTCTCCGTACGGGATGGCCCTTTCTCCTCATCCTTTCGGACGCCCTGCGAAGACGCGACACGGCTCGGCCCTGTCAGACAACCCGATGGCTATGAAAGACATGAAACTAGACGCAGAGAAGTTGATTTAGATGGAACTGAGTCGCCGATGTGGAGTGACAAGACATCATGAATTCATGATCGATCCAGATCATAACAGATGGGGCTGATAGTGGCGTAACTACCGGCCCAAGCCGCACCCATAGGGCTGGCTGCTCACGTGGTGGTGGCACATGTGAATTGATCGATTCTCCTTCGTCTGCGACGCATCACTCACATCACTCACGTGTGACTCAGTCGACAGCCGAAGAGATTGACTTTGGTAATCGGATTCTATAGAGTGGTTTAATGAGATTGTAGATAATTTGAAGATTAGAATAAATATACTAGTATCAACTGGAACTGTGCCCCTAATGTTTGCAGATAGTTAGAAGAACAAGCACAGAGATTAGCAGGACTGTCGGTGTGTGGCGGTGTCGCGTTTGAGGGTTGCAGAGGAGGCGCAAATTCCAGCCAATCACCGACCAGCCACATCGTCGCCTCGCCATCGCCTCGCCCTCCAGCTACGGGAGTACACTGTATTTAGGGGCCTTTTTCTTGCGGAGTTTTGCGGATTTGCCTGTCTCTGGGGGCTCTGGACCGCCCATGTCCGGTGCCCCCATCACTCCCGCCCACTCCGATACTCACTAACACCCCCTCCAACAGCCAACACACACCACTGGACCCTCCCCTTCCACACACCACTCCTCACTTTCTCACTGAAACCATCCACCCTTCACCAACCATCCCCCTTCTCCTCTTCACTTCCATTCACTCCCTCCCCATACCATCCACTCCCTCCATCTATCTTTCTTTCCCTTCCATCCCAATCCCTTCCTTCCACCACTTCCTTCTCTTCTGTGCCCTTTTATTCCGTGGCCCTACCAACCCTTCCTTACCGTACTCCTTGCTGTTGCTTGGCTGTGGCCCATCCCTCACTCAGCACCGTTGGGATCTCCCTCACGGACTGCGAAATCGTCACCACCGAAGCACCTCTTCCTGTCCTCTTCCCATCCCGGACCACTCATCCGCTGCCTCTCCTCGCAGCCGTTGATCCTCATCCTCGACTCCGGATCCTTTATTGCCTTCGATCCATCATCAGATTGTGCATCATTGTGCAGTCATCCGCAGCCGTGTGTCGTTCCATCTTTGGGACCTCAGATCACCGTACTGCCAACATCCGACATTACAACGGCCAAGTCCATCGGGAAATTCGGACGGCAACATCGAGGCAGCTCATTGATTAACCCTTGACTGGGCTTCGAATCAGTGCATGCTTCATCAACCTGTGGTGCTGTCAAACTGCCTGCATCTTGAGCAGCAACGTTATCGCCATTTGCCGCTGGTCGATAGCTTCACGCCATTAGCAATCTCCGTGGTGGCCAAGCCGGTGTTGAGAGTGCATTACAAACATTCGCACTCTGCCACGATCTGGTTCCATCGTCGTCCTACCTCAACCGAGCTCGATTAGCTAAAGTCACTGACCTCACCCATCACCATGAGGGAAGTCAACTTCAGCATCCCGAACTCCAACAAGGCGTCGGTGGGCATCACCACCGCTCTGTACGACCGACGAGCCCTTGACTGCACCTCTACCCTTCCTCTTATCAATTCACTAAATCATCTGGCATACCTTACGACATCATCTCCACGGATACGGGACATTCTAACCGTCGATGGCGGAGTTGAGCGCTTGGTGTCCATCCTCAAAGATGGCAAAGCCGGCGATCTGATGGAAGTGTGGAAATGGAACCTAGCCTTCCAATGCGTGGTCAATATCGGCGTGCGAGGATCCGAAAGTGTACGGACCAGGGTCGTCGAGGCAGACATCGTCCCCGTCATCGCTACACTGCTGGACAACTATATTCGGGTCATGGATAAGTGTCGAGAGCGTGCCGAGGCCGACCTCAAGCGTGGTGCTGCACGTCTCGGTTCAAGACATCTGTCTCGTGGCAGTGACCTCGCATCATTGTCGACCCATCGATCTGACAGGCATCGTCGACATGCACCCCCCCCCATCGAGATTCCCGCTCCGTACAGCACCGAAGGTCGACTCGACAACGATCCTGTGCCTCCTCCCTTCTCACTCAGCTCCCCGCCTGAGCGAACCACCTTCACCGGCCCACGGACGGGACGTACACACCAGCAGACCCCAAGCATCGATGAGAGAACAACCTTCGCAAGTCGAAGTGGACGGCCTCTCATCCCTCAACCGCTGGTGACTGCAGGCCCGACAATGACGCAGCCACCCGAAAACATGAACCTCCGACCGGTCCGCGATTCGGACCGCCTCCCTTCGATGCTCCCCTCCCTCCAGGCGGAACTGACTTCCCAGCCTGGATCTCCCACCACTCCAAGCGCCCCCGCCCAGCTTCAATCCATCAGTTCCGTCACACAAGAAGATCCCGACCGTACTCCTCGACGACCTTCCATCCGACATCAACTCTCCATGTCCGGTGTTAGCGACGATATCCCAAGTGACGACATCATGCCGGTGGATTCGACCGGTCCTGGTCAAACCGACCCGACCGTCACCTTGCAAAATGACATCCACATGCAAGACATTGAAAACGAGGAAATGTTGGATGCCGGCGCCACTCCGGTCCGACTCACCCCGCCTGCCTCGGAGAACACCGAGAATGAAACCTTCGATATCAACCACCCCTCCGCCATCGACGGTAGTCTCATCAACCCGATTGCCAACCAACCCGCTGCTGGGATCGGGTTCGCTCCCGGCCAAACCGTGCTCAATGGCATGGTGAACCCAAGCACCCAACCGCTCACGACCGGGTGGTTCCCACGCTTCGCGCAAGATCGGAATCTCACTGCCAGTCTCCTGGCCACGATGCCCCGGGACGACGACGTGCTCATGTCGTTGCAACTCCTCGCCTACGTGTCCAAGTACTGCAATCTGCGATCCTACTTCCAGAAATCGCACCTCGTCCCCCGCCTCAAGATCGCCAAGGATCTCTCGTTCCTCGACGACCTGCCATCCGACCCTAGCTCGTCCGCAACCGCATCCTCCTCCGACCCCACCACTTCCTCATCCTCCAAGACCGCGCAATCCCCCACCACCGCAGACGAGTGCGATCCCGACGACGAATACCTCCTCCCCGACGACTTCAACATTTTCCCGGTGGTCGAGAAGTTCACCGTGAAGCACCACGGGCAGGAGATGCAGTACTGGGCAGGCGTGGTGATGCGGAACCTCTGCCGCAAGGACGACTCGCGCGGCGGCATCCGGCAGTGCGCGTACTACCAGTGCGGGCGCTGGGAGGAGTACGCGCGCCAGTTCGCCAAGTGCCGGCGCTGTCGGCGCACCAAGTACTGCAGCAAGGAGTGCCAGAAGAGCGCGTGGGTGTATCATCGGCATTGGTGCGAGCAGGCGCAGCAATGAGCGCAAAAAAATACGGACGGTCAAAAGCAGGATCGATGAACTTTGGAGGAAATGTAGAGGATTCAAGAGGGGTCAGCGGCAGGCGGGCCATTCCATGGTTTTCGATGGTTGATTCTGCAATTCAGCATAGCGTATTGCATTGTGAGCGGTTCGGATGATGGCTTTTGATGGCTTTCACTGCGGTTCTTTCCTCCCCAGCCTACCTCACCTCCAGCGACATGGTAGGGGATGCGGTATTCTTTACATTCGTCGCGCCCGGAACACGAAAAACGCGACCGAATGAATGAGCAAGCAAGCAAGCAAGCAACAAGCAAACGAACGAGAGAGCGACTTGATTCCCCAATTGAACGAAACGGAGTTAATGAGGTTCGACGACCGAGGGACACGGGTATTGGCGATAGAGACGGACGAATCCACAGGGTGGTCGGGTGCCTCCCACGGCGTTTTTTTTTTCCAATCCGGCGAAACCTCAAAAACCGGGCGCGTCTCACATGAGTGGGAATCCGACGCGCTCCAAACTTATTGATACCGGCTTTTCATTGTTATCCCACCCAAAAAAACACCGATACTCCCCCGATGAACGATCACTCCATCCCAGGGAACGAAACAGGGCATGGCGCTTTATGTGTGTTTTTCCTCTTTCGCAAAAGGGCATTCTAATGATTTGGCGTCGTGCGGGTTCAGTGGACTTTTCCATTTTATATGGACGGGGCCCTGGGATGGATGACCGGGCCAACGCACATGAAAGTCTGTTCGTGGATGGACGAACTGGAACGGCATCGGGATTGGGGAGATGTATTCTAGCCGAAACGAATGAAGGATGTGATTTCACGCTGTGCTAGTTTGTGTGGTGTTATATGCTGTGCTATATACCTACCCTTCAGGTGGTGGTAGGTGATATTTCCTGCCCATTAAGTGACTTTTCCTTAGGAGCCATAATAGCAGCGGATATCTTGTGGCTCCTCAGTCCTCAAGAACACCAATCTTAATCTCTAAGGGATTTTCTCTTAGTTTATGAGAGGATCTGTATTATTTAGTATCCACCTAGAATGGGGGCGATAGACTTGCGGAACTCGCCCGTTCCACGACCGGACACTATTGTGGGCAACTGGATTATTAACAATAGTGACCACACCACTCCCCATTCAGACAAGGGACACCACCATCGACCGGCAACCTGCCGCCGGCAACCAACCTGTCTGTGAACCTTTTCAGCCTCATCCTGCCAACTTTCCGTCTTTCTACACTTCTATACATTTTGAAACATGGCTTGCTACATTACCCTCATTCTTCCTGGATTTACAAATCAATGAGAGGATGTGGTCGAGTCCCGCTTTGGAGAGGGTCTGATTTGCCAGCTTTGGCGACTGGTAAGTCCTCTTTCGCCCACTTCGGCCATGTTCGAGAAGCCGTGCACATCCGCTGATCGGCGGCGTCGATGAGTGCATTCATTCCCATTGCAAATATTTGAAGTATTAGATAGATACACTATGCTAATGCCTTCGTCGCCGGTCTTCTAGATCGCCACCTCCCGGTCCAACAATGGCAGACGACGACCCCCCTCCCCCCGACTCGAATCGCTCAAGCGGCGTCCGCCGCCGTTCCTTGCACCGCCACGACATCGATGCCGGAACAGTCTTATCTCGAACCTCAAGCGAGGACACACATGCCGATTCCCCGCACCCCACGACACCCCGACAAGGACACGAACACGGCAACGGAAATGGAACTGGAACCGATCGCCCCGACCAGCTGCACCCCGTCGCATCCGCCTCCTCCGCTGTAGAACCTACCCCGCGCGTGCGGTTCTCAATGGAGATAGAAACTCCCGGTCCGGAGGTCGCGTCAACAGGCGGACGCGGTGCGAGCGAACCGACCACTCCTAGAAGCCTACGGAGGCCAGAGGTCGACAATCCTGGAGAGCAAACCCCCGGCGCGGGGCTAGGGAGTGAACTCGACGCGCCGGACGACGCGGTGCCGGTGTCGACGATCTTAGAGCAAGGACGGTCACGCAGCGGGGCGAGCGGCGAGGACGCGCCGCGGGAGCGGTCCACGTCGCCGGTGGCGCCGGCAGGGCGGAGTCGTGGGTATTCGTTGCGGAGGACGCTGTTTCAGCGGAACGTGGACACGCACCAGTCGAAGGCGGCGACGGTGATCGAGCTGGTGGAGCCGGCGGGGCCGTCAGCAGGGAACGAGCCGGGGAACGGGGTTAAGAGCAGGAAATCGATCGAGAGCATCGTGCCGGTGTCGTCCACCGGTGCGGGGGTAGGCGGGGATGCGCTGAGTCGGCTACAGGCGATGAAAGCCGAGCACGGGGTGTCGGCGCTGCCAAACTACGCGAACTGGGTGCAGAAGCGGCGGCACGGGCGGAACGAGGTGACGAAGCGGATACGCACGCTGTACCGGCGGGCACGACGGTTCGTGCTGCGCATCCAGGAGATCCCGGCGAGCGCGGACGGGCGGCATGTGGAGCTGGACGCGTTCCGGAAGCGGGCGCGGGTGGACGAGCGGACGGGGCGAGAGTACGTGGGGAACACGATCCGGTCGACGCGGTACACGGCGTGGAACTTCGTGCCGCGGCAGCTGTTCGCGCAGTTTTCGAAGCTGGCGAACTTCTATTTCCTGAGCGTGTCGATCTTACAGATGATTCCCGGGCTGAGCACCACGGGGACGTATACGACCATCGTGCCGCTGCTAGTGTTCGTCATGCTCGCCATGGCGAAGGAGGGGTACGACGATCTGCGGAGGTATCGCTTGGATAAGGGGGAGAACAATCGCGATGCACAGGTGTTGCATGCGTATGAGCCGACGTCCGCGCAGGTGCCGGACGGTCCACCGAAGTCGCCGAGCCATGGCCCGTTGGTGTGGGCGGCGACGAAGTGGCGGGACCTGAAGGTCGGCGATATCGTTCGGCTGGAGCGAGACGACGCGGCCCCGGCCGATCTGGCGCTGCTGCATTCGGACGGACCGAACAACATCGCATACATTGAGACCATGGCGCTGGACGGCGAGACGAACCTGAAAACCAAACAGGCCGCGCCATCGGTCGCGAAATCATGCACGGATTTGGAGGCGATTGCGGCATGTCGCGCCAAATTCGTCGTCGAGGACCCCAACCTCGACCTCTACAACTTCGAGGGCCGCGTCACCGTGGACGACGAGACGGCGCCGTTGACCAATAATGAGATCGTGTACCGTGGCAGCATCCTCCGGAATACCCCTGAAGCCATCGGGATGGTCATCTACTCGGGCGAGGAGTGCAAGATCCGGATGAACGCGAACAAAAACCCGCGTATCAAGGCGCCGCAGCTGCAGGCGATCGTGAACAAGATCGTCATCGTCGTGGTGGTCTTCGTGATCTTGCTCGCCCTCTTTAATACCGTGGCCTATCAGATTTGGAAAAACCGCCACGAGAGCCGGTCATGGTACCTCGAGAACGCGCGCGTCGCATTCTTTCCCATCCTCGCGTCGTTCATCATTATGTTCAACACGCTAATTCCCCTGTCGCTCTACGTCAGCTTGGAGATCATCAAGTTGGCCCAGATGTATTTCTTGAACGATATCGATATGTACGACGAGGTCTCCAACACCCCGTGCGAGCCCCGAACCTCGACGATCAACGAAGAGCTCGGCCAAGTCAGCTACATCTTCTCGGACAAGACTGGCACCCTGACGGACAATTCCATGAAGTTTCGCAAGATATCGGTGGCCGGAACTGCGTGGCTACACGACGTGGACCTCGTCGAGGGGGAGTGCGGGAAGAAGAAGCTGATGCACAAGAAGCGCAAAGGCAAAAGCCTGCGGGCGGAGCAGAAATCACGCTTGTCGGAGAGCGGAAAACGCCTACCCGCCGACAAATCCGGTACCGACGCCATCGTCGACGCCGACGTCCCACCCGAGTCCTCCGCCTGGAAATCCAGCGCTCGACCAGCCAAATCACAACCGGAGCTCCGTACGCGAGAGCTCATTCGATATATTCAACGGCGCCCCAACACCTTATTCGCGCGCAAGGCACGCATGTTCCTCCTCTCCATCGCCCTCTGCCACACCTGTCTCCCCGAGAAACAACCCGACGGCACCGTCGACTTCCAAGCGTCCTCCCCCGATGAGATCGCTCTCATCCGCGCTGCACAGGAGCTCGGCTACCTCGCCATCAACCGCGACGCCTACACCCTCACCCTTACCCACCCTCACCCCGACGGCAGCCCCACCCCCATCACCCAACGCTACGACATCCTCGATATCATCGAGTTCTCCTCCCGCCGCAAGCGCATGTCTGCTGTCGTCCGTTTCCCCGACGGCCGCGTCTGCGTGCTCTGCAAGGGCGCCGACTCGGTTGTCATGCAGCTGCTGAAGAACGCGGCGCTTGCGAACCAGAAGGTCGTGGAGATCGAGGGGCGCGCAAACCGCCGGAAGAGCCTGGAGGCGCAGTTCGCCATCCAGCGGCGGAGCGAGCAGCTCGCGCGCGAGGTGAGCGTTACGCGGCCGAGCTTGAGTCTGAGCTTAGGGCGGCCCAGCGTCGGGGGACTGAGTCGGCCGAGCATGAGTCTCAACGTGGGGCGGCCAAGTTTCGGCGGGCTGAGTCGGCCGAGCATGAGCGGGGGGCGGCTACGGCCGATTCGCGATACGTTGGACGATTGGTTGACGGAGCGGGAAACGGATGTGGATGCGTCGAATTTGGAGAGCCATGCGCCGTATTACTCGCCGCGGCCGTCGGCGCAGTTGGGGCGGCCGTCGATGGTGGGGTCGGAGGCGCGGAGTTCCATGCAATTGGACGAGATGGACGATCTCGTGGAGGAGGCCATGGTCGCGGACGAGGCGGCCGTGTTCGAACGATGTTTCCAGCATATCAATGACTTCGCGACCGAGGGACTGCGGACGCTACTCTACGGGTTCCGGTTCTTGACGGCAGACGAATACAGTACCTGGAAGAAGGTCTACCTCGACGCAACTACCAGTCTCGTGGACCGCCAGAACATGATCGAGCAAGCCGGCGAGCTCATCGAAACCGACCTCGAACTCGCCGGTGCAACCGCCATCGAGGATAAGCTACAAAAGGGCGTCCCCGAGGCAATTGACAAGCTGCGACGTGCGAACATCAAGATGTGGATGTTGACGGGCGACAAACGAGAAACGGCGATCAATATTGGCCATTCATGTCGCCTTATTAAGGACTATTCCATCGTCACGGTTCTCGACCAGGAGGCAGGCGAGGTCGAGCAGCACATTGCGGCGGCGATCCTAGGGATCAACGACGGCAGCGTCGCGCACTCCGTCGTAGTCGTCGACGGGCAAACTCTCGCCACGATCGAGGCCGACGCGCCCATCCGCGCGCTATTCTTCGACCTCGCCATCCTCGCCGACTCGGTCGTCTGTTGCCGCGCCAGCCCGAGCCAGAAAGCCAGCCTGGTCAAAGCGATCCGGAAACGTGTCAAGAAGTCCATCACCCTCGCGATCGGCGACGGCGCGAATGACATCGCCATGATCCAAGAAGCGCACGTCGGAATCGGCATTACCGGAAAAGAAGGCTTGCAGGCGGCACGGACGTCGGATTACTCTATCGCGCAGTTCCGGTTCTTGACCAAGCTGTTGCTCGTCCACGGACGGTGGAACTACGTGCGGACGTGCAAATACACCGTCGGGACATTTTGGAAAGAAATGCTCTTTTACCTCACGCAAGCGCTGTTTCAGCGCTGGGCGGGATACACGGGGACCAGTCTCTACGAGCCGTGGAGCTTGAGCATGTTCAATACGCTGTTCACCTCGCTACCCGTCATTTTCATGGGCATTTTTGAAAAGGATCTGGCGGCCTCGACGCTTCTGGCGGTGCCCGAGTTGTACAATATTGGGCAGCAGAATCGAGGGTTCAACTTCAAGGTCTACTTGTGGTGGACGTTTATGGCGTCGTGCGAGGCGATGGTGGTGTATTTCTGCATGTTGGGGCTATATGGCCAAGCGGTGTTCACGAAGGATCAGGGGCTTTGGGCGCTGGGTGACATGACCTTCACTGCAGTGGTGATTATCATCTCATTGAAGATGCAGTAAGTACCATCTCATCCAACCGTTTCCACGCGGCAAGTCTCGACTAACACCCTCGTCAGGGTCATCGAAATGCATAACAAATCCATCGCCGTCGCTATCAGCCTCTTCCTCTCTATCCTCGCCTGGTTCCTCTGGAATATCATCCTCGCCGCTCTCTACAAGGACAGCAACGACAAGATCTACAACGTCAAAGGCGGCATCTACTCCCGCTTCGGCACCAACCCATCCTGGTGGCTCTCCCTCATCCTCATCATTACCGCCGTCTTCATCTTCGAGATCGCTGTCTCCAGCCTCCTCTCCGCGTACCTCCCCAATGATGTCAACATCTTTCAGCAGCTCGAGCAGGATCTAGGCGTCCGCAAACGGTTCGAGGAGGCAGCGGCGGACGAGCTGCAGCAGGGGTGGGATCGCGGGACGAAGAAGAGCAGCGTGGAGTTGGTCAAGGAGCGGGCGGAGGAAGCGGAGCGGGAGGGTCAGGTGCAGGAGATTCTGCGGCATCGGTTCGGGAGCGGTAGCGAGGGGAGGGAGGATGGACGGTCGAGTAGGAGTGGGGAGGGGAACACCTTGGGCGAAACGATGCGGAAGAGCGTGGAGTGGCAGGAGCGGATGAAGAAGGCGTTTGGGAGCGTACAATAACGCCGCTGGTGAGGAGGACAGATCATTAGCATATTTTCAGCGAGGTTTTGTTTCGTTTGGCTTCTACTTCTGCATGGCCAGCATGGGGGGTATCGGACAGCATTGGCATGTGCGTTGGATGGATAACTCGGAGTGTGGCATGCGTTTCTTGCATGGACTCGGGCGGCCTATGATCACTTGCTCAATACCCCATGCATTCTATCATCTATGCAATTAATGGAAAGGTCTTTGTGAAACTTGAACACCATTGCGCTCATTATCTTTCTCGGGTCAGTGATTGGGGGTGGTGATGAAGGCACAGCATGTCCTACCCAATATCGTATGATTGAGGTGGGGGTCCATATTATTCACGCGTCAGCACCACCACAATTGAGTCAACAAAGTCCAACTTATATTAGTTGATACACATTCCAAATTTATACTACATACATACTTCATACCTGTACCTTGGGTGGGTTGACTTCGCTTCTACCCCACCTACAATGAAGCATATCTCTTGTGGTCAACATGATTTGGACATGTCAACCAGTACTTTCTTAATGTAAGCGACGACATTCCTCCTCGAATCGAGCCGCATGCCGACTTCCCAGCCAACCTCCCTTCCCTGTAACCGTAAGGAAACTAGGTCTGCCTGAGCGACGTTGCTCAGCCGAAGCGGATCATGGATGTACTAGATGACACGGTCAGCTCCAGTAACCGTATATGCAAACCTTCGCCATTGTTCGCTATTGTTCGCTAAGAGAGGTGGGGGGAAGGTCGGATTGTGTTCCCAGGACCCAAACCCAAGACTCGTGGCGTTTGGAAACCTTGCAATTTTCAGGCTCTCCGGTATTCGGTTGTAGTTGAATGAATCAGATCCAAAGCTGTACGGAGTCCTTCAGTCATTACCGCAGTCTACAGGTCCTTAATACCTTAACCCAGTACTTATCGATATCATGGGGGGAGGCGCCACCACCTCTCACTCAATCTGTCCAGCCTTCCGTCTCCTTTGATCTTCTCGACATTTCTTATCCCCGCAGTCATAGTTACCCTATTCCCATTTCCTGTTTGTGTGTCGAAATGTGATAACTATCATTCTACACTTCCTTTCCAATCTAGTCAGTTCCGAAGGTCCAACAATCACAATGAAGCTTGTCGGGCTAGGTATCACGGTCCTTTCTTACGCCGTTTACTGGGTCGTGACTTGGGCGATTTCCTGGCGAAAGTCATGCCAACTCGCCAAAGCGTCTGGATTCCCCTACATAGCCTTGCCCCTTTACCCATACACGCGCTTCTGGATGGCAACCTGTGGACTATGGCTTCCCATCATTCGCAAGCTTCTTCCGACGTCGATGACCGACGACTGGATCGACATGATTTACGATGACTCCCTGTGGCTCGAGGGATTTGCTCCTCATGAGAAACTCAAATCTGACACCTACATCCTCGCGGCGCCGGGGAGATCGATACTTATCACAGCAGACCCGGCCGTCATTACGCAAATCGCGGCGAGGCGATCCCACTTCCCCAAACCGTTAGCACAATACACCGCGTTAGATGTTTTCGGAAAGAACGTCGTCACGACCGAGGCACACGACTGGCGGAGGCATCGGAAACTAACGAGCCCGCCGTTTACGGAGAAGAACAATCGGCTCGTTTGGCAAGAGAGCATATACCAAGCGGCGGCGATGCTAACGTCTTGGGTGGGCAAAGACGGAAAGGGAAATCAGACGATACAGAATGCCCATTCCGATACCATGAAGCAGACGCTACACGTTATTAGCCGAGCGATATTCAACGTCCGATGCCTTTGGCCGGGTGTTAATGACAATGACGAGAAGGCGATTGCAGAAGGAGCCATGAACACGAGCATGGTTCCCGAGGGACACAAGATGAGTTATGTGGATAGCATGAACATATTGCTTCATCGGATTATCCCCATCATTGTGTTCCCAAGCTGGTTCATGAGTTCGTCTTTTAGGATCTGAAATTGCAGGACCTTATGCTGACGGTTACTTAGAATATTCCCCATGGGGTTATCTCCGCGAGACCCAACTTGCGTATACAGAGTGGGGCAAATATTTGGAGTCGATGTATCAGAAGAAGAAAAAGGAGCGAATTGCCTCGGAAAAAGGCGACTGGGGTCTCGATGTCATGGGTGCAATGATCGATGGCTCTGGTCTTATCCCGGGAACACCAAACTACGGCAAAGCGGATGCGGGTCTCAGCGAGTCTGAGATCCTGGGCAACGCCTTTGTCTTCGCCCTTGCTGGCCATGAAACAAGTGCCAACACGCTCTTCCATGTCCTCCTCTTCCTCGCACTTAACCCATGGTGTCAGAAACACCTTCAAGAGGAGCTCGACAACATCTTCCAAGGCCGACCCATTAGTGAATGGGATTATGATAACGATCTGAACCCACTCTTTGGCGGATACGTCGGCGCCGTCATGAACGAGACTCTCCGTCTCATCCCACCAGTGATTGGTATCCCCAAGACCGTACTTGAGGATGTCGGTCAACCGCTCACCCTGAATGGCAAGGTGCACATCCTCCCTCGTAACTTGTACATCGTCCTTTCGGCCACGACGGCGCACCGCAACCCAAAGTACTGGCCAAATGGCCCTCCACGTAACCCAAAACGTCCAGCACATCCGAAGAGCAACGTGGACAACGATATGGAGGAATTCAAGCCAGAAAGATGGATCCTGGATCCGAGCGCAGTTCCCATAAAAGACAATGACGACGCCACGGTGGAATCGGAAGACCTTGGTGTCAACACGAACCCGGACACAGCGAATACGCTCTTCCGTCCCACCAGAGGAGCTTACATCCCCTTCAGCGAAGGATTCCGGAGCTGTCTAGGGCGTCGTTTCGCGCAGGTCGAGATCCTCGCGACAATGGCGGTGATTTTCCAGAAATATTCCGTAGAGCTGGCGGTGGACGAGTGGGCCAGTGACGCAGAGGTGGAGCGTATGCTGGCGGGAGGAGAGCAAGGGCGAAAGGAACTGGGGGATGTATGGTGGAAAGCGAAGGAACATGGGGAAGACCTCATTATTAAGGAGATGAAGACGATATTGACCATCCAGCTGCGGAAGGGGAAGATCCCATTACGATTTGTCAGGAGAGGGGAGGAAAAGTTTGGCTTCATCTCATGAGCGGCGATGTCAAGGGCGGTTCGGCGTATGACTTCGTCCTCGATTTATGCATTAAGAACTGAACCAGGCTAGGTGATTGTAATAGTGTCCTGGTAAAGGATGGGAAAGGGGACATCCCCCGTATCTCAGCATGAGTGGATTGGATAGTCACTCCGTTTTGAGAGGCGCAGAATAAGTCTCTCTCTTTCTTTGGACACGCACATTTGATTCCTTAAAGTCACATCTACCTAGTAAGAATCGATCCAGTCCGCAATCATAATAAAATGCCAGCCAATGTATGAGCAAAAACCCCAGGATATTGCACACTGGATCCTCTCGATCTCCACGGCATTCCGAACAAGGTAGATGTATGAAAACGATGGCTAGACCTTGTTCCAGCCAAGTTCTTGGCCTTTTCCATGGTCCGAACCCCAGTACTCCGCCTCAGGGACGAACTCCCCCATTGACCGCTTCTCCTCAAACAGTTGCCGGATGTATGCCGCGCGTTTCTCACTGCGGATCTTCATGCTGAATTTGAACGGCAGTGGCTTCGCGATGAGGAGGGTCGTGAAAATGAGCGTTGGATCCTCTGCTTGCGCTTTGGCCCTGAGCCTAGCCTCGCGCTTCTTCTGTCGAGTTGCAAGTGCGGCGTCACGGAGTTCCTGCTCTGTTGGATGTGGGAAAGAGCCGGGGACTGAAAGACGCTGGCGAATAGACAAAACGTCTGCGTCTTCGTCATCCGAGGAGTGCGCTGAAAGACCTGTGTTCAGCTCTTCACTAGAGATAGTTGCTTTATTGTTTCCCATGGGGTGGAGCTCCTTGACAGGCTTGATCGTCGCCTGTTCATTCGTTTCGGACTCTGAGCCGGTAAGGTCTTCAGAATCATCCGTGCTGAGCCCTGTATCGGCTTTGGAGATGTCGAAGAGCCAGGCCATGGCAGCGATCCCGGCACACATGTCTGCTTCAGCGACCGTCTGGCCTTGACAGATTCGTCGACCGTAACCAAACTGGGTCATGTTCAGCAGAATGGGATACTGAGTCAGTGGCTCCTTATAGGTTGGATACTCGGGTTTCACCCATCGCAAGGGGTTGAACTCGTTAGGTTCCGGGAAGATGGAAGGGTCTCGGCAAATTGACCTGTAGTGAATTAGCTATACAGCTCTGGTGTCTTTGATTTCGATTGGAGCTTTACCATTCAAGCGGGTGTATAACAGAGCCCTTGGGAATGAAGTGGCCATTGTATTCGTCATCTTCAGCAAGAGCGTGTGGGATACCTAATGCAATTGTCAGCATTTAATTCCAGGGTACGGCACATTTTGACAATACCTGTTGGCACTGGAGGGCGCCACCGAATGGATTCGCGGATACAAGCCCTTAAAAATGGTAGATTCGGCTTGTCAGCGTTGGTTGGCAGACGGTCTCCACAAACGCGATCCAGCTCTTCCTGCAGCATTGGGAGATATTGCGGGTAGTGGCACATGGCAAGAAGGAATGATTGCATCGGAGCGGCGATCGTCAATGCACCGGCAATACCATGCATCCCCACAGCATACGCTCCCTCAAGTTCTCCAGTAAATCCGTGTCGCTTTGGGTCATCGTAGAACAGTTTGGTCCAAGATGGGGCAGCGCGCCTCTCGTCCATCTCTCGGAGAACAGTGCTCTGCATTATTTGAAAGAACTTTCGCTCGGTTTTTGCGCGACGTCGCTCCCAAGCTTTGGCGGGAGAAAGCCAGTCAGGAAGTGCCATAACGAAGGGGAGTTTGTTTCCGAGCGCTCCAGTTGGAGAGACCCCAATGAGTAGTTCGCGAGCTCGTTGCTTAAGCTCGTCTGCCGCTTCGCTATGCCCCCAAGCAAGACGACAGGTCACACGAGAAATGAAGGATTCCAGCGCATGATTATACCGCAACGGATCATCCATAAGCTCTTTACATAGGCGAATTGATTCTAGCTCCGGGTAATGGTGGAAGCTGTGTTTCTCGGAATCGCGCATGATATGACTGGCGAACTTGCGCTGGCGATTCCAACTATCTGCATTTGAACGTGAGCCGATAGATCTTTATCACAAGAACCAGATCTTACCGTTTCGGGTCAGCAGCGGCAGATACTGTGCGCTCGAGCGATTGTCATCGATAAGCGCTGGGATGTGAGGCCGATTGGAATAAATAGCGGACTTCTTTGACAAGAGGTCACGGGCAACCTCGTCTGTCGATATCCAAACATGGTTATTGCCAGCAAGGTTAGTCTGGTATATTGGACCATACTCCTTTCCCCAATCCGCAAATTTGATCCATCCTAACTTCTCTGGAATTTCATGAACAGAGCCGATGATAGGAAGACCTCCAGACCGTGTTAGTCGCTGGTTACATACGTGCTTCGATGAATTTGAAGATCCGCCACAGGTGGCGGCAAAGCTTCGACGGTGATATGGAAGGAATGCACATACCTTTTGGACCGGGAAGTGGTTTGAGACCTGGCGGAATTTGATTTGGGCGAGTTGATCGTTTCCACAGCACATATATGACAAAGAAGAGAGCCACGAGAATCAGGGGTGGAAACACTATGGGCGACTGGACAAGATCAACAGAACGAAGACTTAAACATCGGAAACAAAACATTGGCATCCTGGTTCAGCAGTAGCTGGATTTCTGATTTAAAATCATTCCAAAGATAATACCTTCGAGTCGAGCGTCGCGTAAGTAGGGCATACTTCAGAATTTATGAGCCTCGCTTCAAGTAAAGGGTAGCCCAGGTCTATTTTCCGCACCACCACTTCGTCCGGACGACAGTGGCATCAGATCCTATCAAGGCATACGCTTTAAATCACGCTGCGGCTGATAGCTGGTCTAATGCGCCATCCTGCCACTATATGCGTTGCTTGTCGTTGGAGACACATGGCTCCAACAATCATGCGGTAGATCAGCTTGAAATGACTACCTTGTGCATCCGGGAGGACTGAGGAGACCACAGTGGTGAGAAGCCCAAGGCTCAGCATATTGCCACCCAGTCTCATTATCCGAAGTCCGCGCCGCTACACGGCGCATTTGGTGGCAGCGAGCATTCGGGGCTGAGCGGTAGGTCCCTCGGCATTAGTGGAAAGCAGGAAAATTTTCAAGTCCACATCGGTACGGAAGCGGTTCGAGAAACCACTCGTACCGGTCAAAGTAGGCAGTGGAGATGAATAGAAACATAAACGAGATCTATTCAGTAGGATCTATAACCGGTAGGCTGTCGGCATGCGCCGTTTATCGATCCACGAGAAGCGATGACTATCTGTTGACCTCTTTTGTCAATGGTAGGGCGGTGGTGTAGATCATAGCTTTGACAGGTGTCTGGTTATCGAAACCCTGATCCAATCAGTACTGTACATTCCACAGTTGACACAATTATATCAGGAAACTTGGCCGGCCGCTCTTCCTTGAAAATGAATTTCTAGCCAGAACACAAAATGAGAAGGCCAGCTAGACTAGACAAACGTCGCGGCGACAATTGCAAGAGTACTTGGCGGGCGTTTTGGAATGCAAATTGGGTTACATCTCCATGTGCCAAGGGCGACAACCACAATGGTGAATGGAAGCAACTTCTAATTGACTTTGAGATAAACATATTCATCGGCAAAGGGAGTTTTTCTTGGAGGATCTATGGAACGGAAAAGTGACTCTAACCGATGTTGCATTAAGGAGTCTCAGGGGTCACAGGCGGAGAAACCATTGATCCAGCATATCAGCGCTTTTCGAGGTCAATCATGCATTGAATACTGTACAATCAAGTCGAGTGATCTGCACTGCGGAGAGCCGAAGCAAATGTCCGAAATTCTCGTCCAAGGCTATAGACCGATTGCATTAGTTTGATGCTGGCAGACTGGGACTCGGGCTGCTGGCACATTCATGGGGCCGAAAGATATTGGACGGCACCCCATCGTCGCACGAGGAAACATGAATGGCGAAGAACTTGTTGTTGTCGTGTTACTTTTGGATGAAAACATGGATATAGAACCCAGTAGGAACATTGATAAAACAAGGGAATCGATGATCTTCCTGTCCGAAAAGACGAGGTACTAATAAGTGATCAAGTCTCCAGTTGAAGTTTCAATAAGGTTCAGGTTTCCATCAGGGACACTTGAGCTGAGTGAGACGGAATGCTAATAAACCGCATCAGGCCAGACGAACAGGAGTCTCATTCTCTAATACGAACTTGCTAACCGGGAAAACAAGGAATCCCTGAGTAAAGAGTTCGAAAGATCAATGGTGGCGCAGGCTTCACCCACTCGATAACTGGTGATACTACTCCGTATCCGTATTGAGCAATGAAAAGGGATGAAATCGGGGGCATGGATTTGGAAAAGGCGGGTAGGGTCACGTGTCAGTAGGTATTGATGGGTACGCATCGGGTGCGCACCCGGTATTGATGCCTGTGATGGCTATTTTATTGTATGAATGGTGAAGGCTGTCTGCTGGAAGGTCCAGTCTGTGCTGCGTGCTGCAGCTGCCTCTGGGGGGGACGAAATTGAGTTACCTTTCTTGGCATTCCCCTTAGCACAGTTCCCACGATCTTAACCAGAACGCGGCGGAGAATTCACCAAAACAGACCTCTAGTAGTTGCTTAGTTAGGAAAAGAGTATACTTTTTGGTATTATGCTGTTTTTGAGCGAATTGGGCCTGCCTGTGATGGTTGGGGGAATGCCAAAAGATGTAACTCAATTTCGCCCCCTCCGGATGCTGCTGCATGCCGCACGCTGCACGCTGCATAAATACGGCAACAAGGCAACAAGGCAACAAGGCAACAAAATAGCATTCAGCTACGTCACTCCGCGAGTCACTCTCCAATCTCCATGATTGGATGATGTGGAATGTATTAGAATAACGTCGCATGTGAATGCTGAATGAAATGATGCGTGACCTGCTGATTCCCTATATCCTTGATCCAGCTCCCTAGCCGAGCCTGAAAATGATCGTTTCTCTCACCTGGAGAATACCGATATGAAGAACGACGGAGAATCGGAGAACCGGTCTATGTTCACCAAGGCCGACTTCGATCCATCCGTCCTGCCCGACAATGAGAAGAAGCTCATTGATGATGAAGGACTAACGGAGTTCGCAAAGGCCCTGGTGGCTCCCGAACCGTCGACAGCATACGAGGATCTCCAAGATACCCCAGACTCATCGAAAACACAATATCCTCACTTCATCACCGCCTTAAATGATTGGCGACCCATCCGACAGCGTGTACGAAAACGAAGAAGACCAGACAGGCGTGGGGCCGACGAGACAAGAGAAGGGTTTGTCTATACTTTGCTGAAGTGGCCTCTATTGCTATTCGTCCTTGGGTGGCTGCTTTGGCTCGGCATCGCATACCTAGTCACCCGAGTGTATATCTTTGGGTACGAGAAACTATTCGCGTGGAGAGGCAAACGGGGCCGACTTCGAAACAAGTTGAGGAACACTACAACATATCCGGGGTGGAAGGCTGCTGCACAGCATCTCGATGCACACCTTGGAAACGAAGCGTGGAAGGGCCGGGACCAATACGCATACTATGATCATCGAACCGTCAAAAGAGTACGGGACCATCTGATCGAGTTCCGGCAGAACGCCGAGGCCGATGAAACTCGACCATCCGGGCCTGATCCACGGCCGATCGACGAACTAAAGAGCTTATTAGAGGCCTGTGTTAAGAACAATTTTGCTGGGACGGAGAACCCGAGGCTTTACAGCGAGTCATACTATGGAACGAAAAATCTAGTCCAGTCGTATCTTGATGAACTAGAACGATCATTGACCTTTATAATCAAATCAAACCAGATCGATCCGGACACGAAGCGACACTTCTTCCGTCACCTCCGAGTCAACTTTGGTCGGACCGCCTTGTGCTTATCTGGAGGTGCAAGTTTTGCGTATTATCATTTTGGAGTGGCGAAGGCGTTGGTAGATGCCAACCTGTTCCCGGAAGTCCTAACAGGAACCTCTGGAGGAGCTCTCGTTGCAGCCCTTTTGGCGACTCGGACGGATGACGAGCTCAAAAAGCTCTTGGTACCAGCACTGGCCCACAAAATCACTGCCTGCCATGACGATATTCGAACATGGGTTACTCGCTGGTGGCGGACGGGAGCGCGATTCGATGCTGTGGACTGGGCAGAACGATGTTCATGGTTCACTCGGGGCAGTACAACGTTCAAGGAGGCATTCGAGCGAACTGGCCGAATCCTGAACGTCTCTTGCATTCCCTCAGACCCTCACTCGCCTGCGATCCTAGCAAATTACCTTACAGCCCCCGACTGTGTCATTTGGTCCGCTGTTATTGCGTCCGCAGCCGTCCCTGGAATCCTAAATCCCGTCGTGCTCATGAAGAAAACCCGCGACAAGCACGGCAAAGAGATGTTGACTCCCTATAGCTTTGGCCACAAGTGGAAAGATGGCTCGCTCCGCACCGATATCCCAATCCGCTCTCTCAACCTTCATTTCAACGTCAATTTCACCATCGTCTCCCAAGTCAATCCTCACATCAACCTATTCTTCTTCTCCTCTCGAGGAACGGTCGGACGCCCCGTCACCCATCGTCGTGGACGCGGTTGGCGAGGCGGCTTCCTTGGCAGTGCTCTCGAGCAGTATCTCAAGCTCGACCTCACTAAATGGCTCAAAGTCCTCCGTCACCTCGAACTCCTTCCTCGACCGCTGGGCACGGACTGGTCGGAAATCTGGCTCCAGCTCTTCAGCGGCACCATCACCATATGGCCCAAGAGCGTGCCTTCAGACTTCGTCTACATCCTCAGCGACCCAACGCCCCAGCGACTAGCTCGCATGATCCGCATGGGTATGCTCAGCACCTGGCCGAAACTCCGGTTCATCGAGAACCGCATGAAAATCGAACGGCTCATCGACGAAGGTCGCCGCGCGACCCGTATCGTGGGCTCCCCTAATGATGGCCGTCCGTTAGCTGCCTCTCGCATGCTCTCCGAAGAGGACCTGCAGACGCTCCTCCAGGAAGTCCGCAAGACGAGCAATCTCGCTCCTGCTGCTGTTACTAGTGATAACACTGATGATGAGGATGCGTTCCATTTTGGCGGTGCGCACGCGTCTGGAAGCAGAGCGAGGGGCACTATGAAGTCGGGAGCTTCATCCCCCTTGAACTCTCGTATACCGACTTCTCACCTCCGCAATATCGACGACATCATCGGAAGCGAACCAGAAGACGGCAGGGATGGGCAGACCAACGAGTCCGAAACCGAAACGGAAGAGCCAAGAGGCGGGCAAAAGAGCCCAACGCTCGCCGAACGGCTCTCCTCAATCTTCAACCCGTCTTCCCGTAAGGCAGAAAAGAGGTCCGGGCTATATCGGTCCGGGAACCATCGGGCGCTGAGCATGTTCGAGCTGCGGGGCAACCCGTCCGCACACGAGAACAGTATCCTGGACCACCCCGACGAGCCATCGGACGAAGTCACAGATCATCGGCGGGGGTCCAAGCACTCCGTCCTCAATGAGCTCCGGAACCAGAGTCGGGTGTTCTGGGATGACGATTTCAGCAGCAGTGGAGGAGAAGAGGAGGGCGGGTATAGAAATGTGGCGGAAGTGATCTACGGCACGGACGGTGAGATGGACGCGGAGCACGTTGAGACAGGTATAGGGAACGCTGAGAAGATTGTGAACGGTACCAAGGGGACAAAGGTTGGATAATCTAAGGGCGGAATGCTATTAGTGGGATTCTAGCTTTCCAATACCTTGGATATACACCGTTTTGCCAGCGAAGTCTGGCCATGTAACCCCACCACCTAAACCCCTGAACGATTAGAAGGATACGGTAGAAAAAGGTTAGATAGATTGAAATCAGGATCTTTTCTTGACTACCTAGATATACTTGTTATATTCAAACAATGAATGTGTGGGAAATATCTCTCAACAGCTTCGTCAACGTGCAATTAAACAGAATCCATCAAATTCCTTCAAATCCAGAGCCATCTCACGCAACATTTTCTTTGTTCAAAACCTCCGTGACGCCCTCATCGCCATGCATGATGACTTGCACCTTGCTGATGCTAGTCTTGACCGGCGTTTTGCTCTGGAAGATCTCCGACAACTCCTCCAGGGTGCGGTTCTTGGTCTCCACGAATAGGAAATAAATGACTATGACCTCAAAGGTGTCCCAGAAGATGAACAGGAAGTAGTACTTCCAGCCCGCCCCCGTGAATGCAATTTCCGTCACAAATGTATTGTAGAAGAGCGCAATGTTGACGAAGAAGTTGTACATGCCCATACCCTTGGCTCGCGATTCGTACCGCAGGCACTCGACGGGGTACAGGGCCTGCAGTGGCGTGTACCCTGCCGAAATGACGAAGCCGAAGATAAAGATAAAGGCGATGACCGCATTAGACTGCGAGGATCGTTTCGCAACTAACTCGCCAGCACTGTTCTCATAAAGGTTGGTCGCATTGAGGGAGAGGATGATGACGAAGATGCAGGCCGCAATCCCCGTAGAGACCATCAGCTGCGGTCGACGGCCCCATTTGTCAGTAAAGATAGCCCCGAATACCGAGCCGCCAAAAGAGACCAAGTTCTGCATCCCGTTGTAAAGCAACTGGGTCTCCTTACTGGTCACGCCCGCGCCTTTCAGCATCGTAGGATAGTAGTAGGAAACGGGGCCGTTTCCACTCCATTGGCCGAAGAATGCCATAAGAATAACCAGCATAGACCGATAGCGAGTTTCGCGAGTATTGAACAGTTCGCGATAGTCCCACCAGCGCTTATCTGAACCGGTCTTTGAGATGTCTTCGAGCATCTCCCTATACTCGAGCTGGACGATGGGAGAATTGGGGTCTCCCTCACCGTGGTATTTGGCCTGATTGAATAGTCAGTATTATCCTTCAAACTTCGTTTCAGGGATCAGTTCTGTTAGGGTTGAGGGCTGGATCGGATTAGGGTTCCTAGCTTACCATGACAGCCAACGCCTCCTCGTGACGATCATTGGCAATCAACCACCTGGGGGTCTCTGGAATGAACCACACAAAGCAAAGCACGAGGCCTGAGAAAACCATCTGGAGCCAGATCGGAATGCGCCAGCTGTTGGATCCGGTGATTTTATGGGTTCCATAAGGGACAAAGGTTCCAGGGATACCGCCCATGAACCACAAGCAGTTGTAGATACCGGTCATGACCCCACGGTAGGAGGGATGAGCGATTTCGGAAGCATAAGCCGGGCCGGCAGAGGCACTGATTGCAACGCCAAATCCGAGCAGGAAACGACCGCCCATGAATTGGGCAAGGTTGCGTGCAGTAGCTTGTATACACGTTCCAATGACGATGATGGTTGCACCGATCGCCATGCCAACTCTACGGCCTGCCAAAGGGTGTTAGTTGGGCGTATTTTCTCCAAGGAATTAGGATTCTTGTAAACCGACCTCTAAAATCAGTGGCAGGACCGGCGAAGAATGAACCGACAATGTTGCCGATTGTATAGATGGCATATACGATTCCGGTACCTGGGGTTCCTTTTTCTGGATCGAACCCAAAGTAAAGGCGATACTGGTCATATGCATTGATGGCGCCCATAAGCGATCCATCGTAACCGTTGATACCAGAGTTTAGAGTTGCAACAAAGAGGCAAAAGTAGAGCTTCAGCGACCTTAGTAACATGACCACCATTTTCTAGCATCCGATCAAGTACCTGAAACATGGCCTTGGTCCATGGCGACGGCTTCTGCTTCTCGATGGCATCTGCCAAAGCAACATTGTGCACTGTGACAAACTTTGTGTGGTCATCTCCGCGCGCTGCGGCGGTACCGCCGACCATCTCCTTCTCGGCAGACAGACCTGCGGCGGTACTGCCGATCATCTCCTTCTCAGCAGACATAGTAGCACAATGCTCTGACCTTAGGGCCACGGAATGGAGTTATGATAGACAAAGGTTTCAGAGAACACGGTGACTGAATGGAAGTCTACCGAAATAGGGGACGTCGAGAGACAATAAGACTCAGCACCAGGATCTCGTCCCTTATGAAGACCGGTTGGAGGAACGTCTTGGGACCTGGATGGAAATCCCATGATTATAAGAACAAATGAGAGACACAAATATGGAAAGACCATAATCTCCAGGAAGTATGCAACCCTGGCCCGGACGCATGGCCTAACGCCTAAAGGGTCCGGTATGGATTCGACATCCATGCTCGATGCTTCATCGCTGAAATAGCCGTAAAGCTATCGACATCGATGCAACCTGGCCACAGACTATCACGAGAAGAGGGGCAATGCTGGTATAATCGACCCATAATTTTCCCAGCCCTAGCTTCAACTGCGGGATAGTTCTGGACCCCGGGATGGATGAGGGTTTGCTGAAGCTTGCGATTCGATTGTGATGGTTACTGTCCACGATCCGGGTCAATCATACCCAGTTGGACGGTTGAATATCGTGACGGAGGAGCACTGTGGCTTGTGATAGCTTCAATCTCGTGGAACAAGCAAGCCGTATGATGATCCATACATAATTAGTACTCGCTATTGAGCCGGCCAGGCGAATGTGACACCGGCACAATTTCGGGAACAGGATGATTTTCCGACTAACAGAGTGGTCAAAAAGCTTATATGACTGGCGGAATCGGTAGGAGCAACGGTTGGAACCCCACAGAGCCGCTGGTGCATGCTGTGCATATTGATGGACGCCACTATCAACTGACGGCCTCCTCCATGCTTTGACGTCCTACTGTCGATTTGGCTAATTCAATGCCATGGCTGTCAGGCCACGGCTGGTTCCATTTAGCCGGTATGACTTCCAGAGGTCTATCCAGCTTCTTCAAAGCTGAGGAAGCGGGAGAAGCGGGAGAAACGGGCCGAGGCCTTAGTCTTCCCCAAAGGCATCGTCAGCCGCCTTCATTGCTCAGCGTATGGAAGTAGTCAATCGTAGTGACAGTTAGGCTGGCTGGACTGGGTAGGATCGTCAAACCGGGGGCCGAGGTGAAGGTGGTGTTGCGATCACGTCGCATAACTCATAAGGAGCGATATTAGACGGATAATCTTCAGAATCCTAATCCAACTCTTTGATTCTCGTCCCGCTAGGTCCATAATAACCTTGAAGTCTAGGCATGCTAGTGTCAGCGATGTTTGATGCATATCCGGAACCACAGGGCTGGCCCCGCTGGGGATGATGCGGAACGATGACTGGTGGCATATTTACATGGACTCCGGGGGCTCCCCAAGGTATATCCATTGATGCGACAATTTTCGGCTCCAATAAGACAAGGTGCCTGCCAGCTTTGCCCAAATCGACATGGCGTCGAGAACGGTGAGGAAAAAATTCAAACAGAGACACGGAGATTGAATATAGTTGGTGTTAACTAGGCGTTAGCAGCGGGAGTAGACCGAGCTTCCCCAGTGGCCAGTCTGGCTGTCTGGGATCCCCGGACCAACGTCCTCCGCGCCGAAATTGGACCCTCAATTCAACTTCCATTTCAACTTCACGTTCATGCTTGCATCCTTCCATTGAGCATACTGAACCATCATTGCCCTGGTCCGGATTCCCATGTCCTCTAGTTTCTGGAATTCTCTTACGTTGGATCGGACGGAGATTTTGACGCCACATTTCCGGGGTCTAGCCCGAAGATCTCCCGTCGGCGCGCACCAGCCCGGCAGCCCCTCGATGAACCAGACACCATTTGAATCCATTTCCCTAGACTGGCATCTGATGTCTCGTGTCCTTGCATCAGGATCTTCTGGCTAAATTGAATTCTTAGACACAGGAGCTCAAGTGTGATGGATATCATGGAGCTGCTTCATTTACACCACCTGCCCTGGTTCGCCGTCGTTTCGTTCCAGTACATACTGCGTACGAATTTGAGTCATATAAAACGGTTATATCTCACGCAATACGGAATATCACCCCTAAGTCAGATCTGACTGAACTCTAAACGACGTCAAGCTTCAACGCCTGGTAGCCTTGAGTCCCCTGCTAGCCTCATTCCGTTCCATCGTCCCGTATTCAAACTATTCATCTATGACATGTTCCTAAATCGGGATATCAATTTTGATTTTGAATTTACCCATCAACACGCCTACCTGGCATCTGCCGACGGGGGTTTTCCATTCGAAGTTAGAACGTCCGCATTTTCCAGGTCAATGGGAGATCTGAAAAGCCCTTTCGGGCCGACATGAGTGGTGGTTCGTACTCTGGTTTCCCCTTGTTCTTCCTGTCGTGTCCAGTTCTTGAGATCCAGCGGTGTCATCGTATCTCGCACTCATACTGTTCCATGCCCGATATGGATGTAACCGCGGGACCAGCTCACAAGACGACTGGAAACCCATTCACCGGACGGATGGAACGACAGAATTTGTGCCCTCCGAGCTACTCCTCCAGAATGTCACTGACTAAAAGACGTCGAGCCAAGATGAGCATCTCCATTTCATCCCTATCTACTGAGCGAGCGCCGCGTCTCCCTCACGCGAGCATTCGAAAATGGGATCCCCCGCGGCTGACGTAGATACATGCATCAAGCAAAAAAAACCAGCCCACCGTCACATCATCCATGGCTCTGTCGTTTCCTCGTCCGTTTAGCGTCCACCCCCACATTCCTCCATAATTCATCTATTGACAGACGCCTCAAAACGCCCCGCCCAGCACCGAAAACCGATGTCCTCGCGTCAAACTCGCCGACCATGCTTCGCAACGCCGATGCGGATGCAAATGGTGGGGAGGAAGCCCCCGGGAAACGAGATATAGAGAAAGGTTGCTCAACGAAAAGGCGACCGAAATGCACGGATTCGCCAGAAACAAGCCGCAAACGCCAAATTCCCGCCGTCATGCCGCGTGTCGTTAAGTATGCCAGAGATGTGAAAAACATGAATCTAGAGCCCCATTTTGTTCATCCTCGCGCCTGCGTCGATGTCGTTCGTCATCTGATCGTACCCCATCCTTCAACACCGAGGCCGCTGCCGCCGACGCCGAAACCACTCCGCTCGCGTTTTCGGAAGGCGTTCCAGAACCGCAACGTCTCGTCGCCCGCTCCGGTGACGATGACGCTGCCGTCCGGGCTCATAGCAAGGTACAAGACGCGGTACGTGTGGCCGGTCAAACTGACCACCTGGCTCATACTCGGGTATTTCCACACGATGATCTGGTTTTGGGAATACCCGTGCGTGCTGACGATCTCGTTGCTGTTTCGCGACCATGCCAGGTTACACACTTGGCTACCCGTGTCGTAGCTGTTGATCAGGTTTGCCGGGGGTGGGGCGACGGGTGGAGAGACCGGTGCAGCGGCCCCGAAGTTGAAATCTTCGTGGGCTGTTGCGGTATCAGTCCCGGTGATGGTCGTGCCGATGGACATGGCGGCCGCGGCGGCAGCGTTGCTGGCCCCTTGGGCGCTGATTTGAGTGTTCCAGAACTTGATCGTCCGGTCTGCGGTACCACCGCCTGATGCAAGGAGGCCTCGTTGGTGTGGAGACCATGCGATGGCCTTAACAGCGGCCGAATGCTCCGACCATCGGTAGAGGGGCTCGGTGTGGAGATTTTCCCAGACCATCAGTTTGTTGTCGTTTCCACCGGAGGCGAGCTGGTTGTCCTCGGAATTCCACTTGAGCCCACATACCTCCTGTTTATGGCCCGTGAGTTTTGTAAGGTACTGATCCGGTGAGCGGACATCGCGGTGGAGGATGCTGCGATCCCTGGAACCCGAGGTGAGAATATGCGAGTTCCATGCAAGGGCGCCAACCCGGCCGGTATGACCAGTCATTGTTCGGAGGCGTCGTTGTGAATTGGCATCCCAGATTTGGACAAACCCGCGTGATGTGCCGATTGCAAGGTGTGAGCCCTGCATGTGATGTTAGAATGGCCTCCAAATGGAAAGAGCTTGCTGGCAACATACCCGCTGTATCCAATTTACACTGGTAACTGAGTCATCATTGAGCTCGCACAACTTGGTCACCTTTCCTGATTGACTGTTCCACATGTACACGCAACTGCCAAGACCCACGCCGAGAATGTTCGTATTTCCCCAGTCAACTAAGTTCAGGTAGAAGTCATCAGCAAGATCTGGGGCGTCCAGAACTTTGTACGGTACTTTGCTAACAGCTCGAGGCTGCCGGCGAGGAGTGAGGAGCATTTTCTGTGACGACTGCTTGACAGGGGATAGGCTGTAGATTTCAGAATTGGGGTTTATGTTCGGTCCATGCTTGTGGGGTGTTCTCGAAGGCGTGAACTGGCCGAAGGAATTTCGAGCGGGGGAGAGATAGCTGAAAAGGTTTTTGTGAGGAGTAGAGGGTGTCAGGTTACTTGTCGGGAGTGCCGACGCCTGATTTGGAGGTGTATGTGCTCTGGATGAGCTGTCGTTTTTGGGAATAGAGTTATCGAACATCTCGGCGCGGAGAATGGTGGCATAGGTACGGTTGGCCTCTTCTGCTGTTGACATGTGAGACAATGTATAAACTTCGAACTCTGTGAAGGCGTACTTTTTTGAAAGTGCAGCTCGTGATTTGGCTGCCTGCGCTGCGATCGGGGAGTGGAGGGTGATCCATCGTCGTTCAGTAAGCTGAAGTTCGCTTGGAGATCTTGTCCAGATCGATTAGGAATAAATCTTAAGAATATCAGTATGTGTCTAGTGCGCCAGGAGAGAGCATGATGGTAAGCATGTTCTATGTCATCACTCACCGATCACCGTAGACTCGTTGCCGCTTGCGACTTGGACTTGCGCCTGGTGTGTGGTCTCTTGGGCGAGAGGCATTCTCAAACTGCTCCAATGCCTTACTTAGCGCATTCGGATCTACCGGTTCCGACTCGCGCTTTCGCTCGCTCATCGCCGCGGGGTCGTGATGTCGTTTGGTAGGGAGAGTGGGTGGTGTTTTCGTTTCTGGCGGAGAGAGCAGTTTCGGCGTTTGTAATGTGTCTTTTCCTCCTATTCCTCCGCTTTCAATAATGACTGTATTGTGGTCCGAATGCGGCATGTTCAAGATAAAAGGGTAAAGAGGGCCTGGGGTCGCAGGTGTGCAGACTGATAAAGCGATGCTGCAGGAGTCGTACCAGTCACAAGCGCCTTGGATTTCCGATCCAGAGTGAGTGTGCGCAAGTTCCAGAATCTTCACAAGTGCAAATTGATTCCTTTGGGAACGCTATCAAGAGGTTGGAGTGAATGTTTGCGTGGATGGCGGCCGTGGAGTCAGTTCCCAAGTGTCCAGGGTCCTGGAAATCGGCAGGTCACGCTGCGATGTGCCTCCAATCAAGGTCTTCGGTGGGGGTAGTGCATGGCCAAGTGCAGGATGTAGGATTATTTTTCGTGAAGCGATCGTGCGGGAGGAATTCGTGGTGGCTGTGGGAGGAAGTCGAGGAGGAGATGGTAGAGCGGTTGGTCGGAGGATGTGGTGATGATGTTGTTGTAGGGAAGTCGCAACGGGGATGTGAGCTTCGCAACTTCCGAAGCTTTGCCTTATTTACAACGCCCGGACCCCTGGCAACCTCAAGGGACCAAGACGCGCTTTCCGCTTTCCACTTTCCACGAGGCACAAAAGGGGCGTGTCACACGTCCAGAAAATCAGCAAAAAAGCAGCCCACACACCAAAGAGGGATTAGAAAGGGAGAGAAGGGATAATGCACAACTGAATTGTAAAGAGGAAGAGAAAGGAGTGAGGAGTGCTATTAAGGGATGATAATGATGGGTTGTTGTGATGATTCAGGACGTGTTCTCTCTTGTTTTGAACGACGCACTACGCGAAGCCGCGCAGGGTGAGAACTGGTGAAGTGAAGTGAGTTGGGCACTCGCGCTTGATTGGCCACGAGGCTCCAACGGTTGTACGGCCACACTTGCCCCGTGCTCCCCCGCCCCATCTTCCCTGCACAGCTCCATGTTCCAGCGTCTGATCCGCAAGATATCCCGATCAGACCAACCAAGTGGAACACGACGACGGCACGAGCATACAAGAACAACAGCAACAGCAGCATCTCATTCCATCGGTTCAAGTTGATCGTCAAGTCAACGGAGTCAGGCTCTCAGGCACACTTATTGGATCTCATCTAGTCCTAGTCATCAATGGCATCTCAAGCAAAGCATGCAGAAAGCTTCTTGAACTTCGTCAATGCTTCTCCAACCCGTAAGTCCCTACAAAACAAATACGAGATGCCTCTATGCACCGAGTCCACTAACCAATCGTAGCTTTCCATGCCGTTAAATCAGCACGAGAGCTCCTGGAGAAGGCCGGCTTCAAGCCCATCCAGGTATTTTTCCTATATGGTGTCCAACAGTTCTCGCGGATATTAGCCTTACGTATGATAGGAACGGGATCCTTGGGCTTCGAAGCTGAAGCCAGGGGGCAAATACTACCTCACCCGCAACTCCTCTTCTATAGTCGCCTTCGCCATCGGCAAGAAATGGAAACCGGGCAACCCCGTTGGAATGGTCGGAGCCCACACCGATTCTCCATGCCTGAGAATCAAGCCTGTCTCCACAAAACAAGCGGAAGGCTTTATTCAAGTTGGTGTTGAGACGTACGGTGGAGGTATCTGGCACACATGGTTCGACCGGGACTTAAGTGTCGCGGGAAGGGTGATGGTGAAAGACAACAAGGGTGGCATAGTCCAGAAGCTGGTAAAGATTGATCGACCCATATTGCGGATTCCGACGCTTGCCATACATCTGGACCGACAGGAAACCTTCTCCTTCAACAAGGAGACGCAACTGCTCCCTATCGCAGGGCTCATTGCTGCGGAATTGAATAGAAAGGGCAAATCCAGTGAAGACGAAGCTGCCGAGCAATTGAAGAAAACGTCTGTGTCGGATGCACCGTTTGAGCCGTTGCAGACGGTCACCAACCGACATAACCCACGCATCGTCGAACTCATTGCAGAAGAGGCCGCCGTAGATCCCTCCGCCATCCTCGACTTCGAGCTGGTCCTCTATGACACCCAAAAATCCTGTCTCGGCGGCCTCAACAACGAGCTCATCTTCTCCGCGCGCCTCGACAATCTCGTGATGTCTTACTGCGCAGTCGAAGGCCTCATCACATCGCTCTCGAAACCCGACACCCTCGACTCCGACCCGAGCATCCGCCTTATCGCCCTCTTCGACCACGAGGAAATCGGCAGCCGGACCGCGCAAGGCGCCGACTCTAATCTCCTCCCTGCCGTCCTCCGCCGCCTCTCTGCGCTCCCACACGACGCGTTCGCCGGCTCCAACGATGACAGCGACCGCAGCTATGACAAGGTCGACGATGAGTCCACCACGTTCGAGCAGACACTGGCGACGTCCTTCCTCGTCTCGGCCGACATGGCTCACTCCGTCCACCCCAACTACCCGCAGAAATACGAGTCCTCGCACCGCCCGGAGATGAACAAGGGCCCGGTGATCAAGATCAACGCGAACGCGCGGTATGCGACCAACTCGCCGGGGATCGTCCTCTTGCAAGAAGTCGCGCAGCGGGCCAAGACGCCGTTGCAGCTATTCGTGGTGCGGAATGACAGCTCGTGCGGAAGCACGATCGGGCCGATGCTCAGTGCGAAGATGGGGGCGAGGACCTTGGATTTGGGGAACCCGCAGTTGTCGATGCATAGCATTCGGGAGTGTGGTGGTGCGGATGATGTGGGACATGCTATTCGGTTGTTCGAGGGCTTCTTTGAACATTATGGCGAGTTGGAAGCGAAGGTGCTGGTGGACTCGGTGCTTTGAGATGTTTGGACTCCGGAGATGATCATGATTTGACCAGATGGAGAATATCGCATATAAGATAAGTACATAATTAAGGCATATATACCGATAAGGAGTTGCCGAGATCATACAGTATCTTCAATTCCTTTGTTTGCCCTCAGTGGAGTCCGATACTCGCTTTAGTTTCTCATTTTGTTCGACTGGAGTTACGGTATTTGACCAGCATGTCATGCCCTGTGGGCCTGCGCAGCACCAGCAACCAAAAGCAACAATAATACCAATCAATTCATCAACCGTCTGAGCACGGTTAAAGGCTATTCATAGAAAAGGATAGCTGTTGATGTAAGCCCTCGATTTGCTTTCTTCACCTTAAAAGATACTGCCATCACGCAGTATTCGGCTTGGTTGTCGCCTTCAGAGGCATGTTAGTGTGCCCCACTCCCCAACTTCTGAGGGACGAATGACTGTATCCAAATATGAATTCTCGGGCATTAACAAGTACATAGTTAGGTAGTTAACTTAACGTAATCCACCAGCGAGTCGCCCAAACCACCGAGTCGCCCACCTCATCTCCATAACAGCGATCATCATGGTTTTTTCGCAATGTCTCAACAACAGCGCCCTCAATTACCTTCAAATGAAGCTAGAATGAACCTAGCCATCCAGACTATCGAACAAGACCAAGTTCAATCAATTCGAGAAGCTGCAAAAGCTTACAACGTCCCGTGGAGTACCTTACGTGACCGCCGCAACGGAATGACTGCACGAAGCGATTGCGTTCCGAATTCGAAAAAGCTCTCAAATACAGAAGAGAGGGTGATTATCGACTATTGCATCGACGTCGATGCGCGCGGATTTCAACTCAATTACGATATGTTGCGAGATATAGCCAATAAGCTACTCACCGATCGCGGTCAGGCTCACGTTGGTATCAATTGGCCATCGAGATTCGTACAACGCGTTCCAGAGCTCAAAACACGTGTTAATCGAAAGTACGACTATAAAAGAGCCCTGAACGAAGATCCAGAGATTATTGGCGCGTGGTTTCGCCTCGTACGCAACGTGAAGGCAAAATACGGCATCCTGGATGAAGATACTTACAACTTTGATGAAGTTGGCTTTCAAATGGGCGTAATCGGGACACGCATGGTCATCACGGGTACCGAACGACGTCAGACTCCAAAAACCTTGCAGCCAGGCAATACAGAATGGGTAACATCGATCATTGCTGCCAGCGCGCAAGGTTGGGTTGTCCCACCCTTCATCATCTTCAAAGGCGCTCGACATTACAATACCTCGTACGAGGCGATTGCGGATAGGCCTGATTGGGTTCTATCAGTTAGCGAGAAGGGCTGGACGTCCCTTGAGCATGGATTTGAGTGGTTAAAGCATTTTAATCGCTTCACAGAAGACCGTACGACTGGCGCCTATCGGCTTTTGATTATGGATGGCCATAATAGCCATGACACTATCCAATTCCAGGATTTCTGCAAGGACCAGAAGATCATTACTCTCTGCATGCCTTCGCATTCATCACATTTGCTACAACCCCTCGACGTTGGCTGTTTTGGGCCATTGAAGCGCGCGTATAGCAAGGAGATTGAGGACTTTATCCGGTGCCGCATCAACCACATCACGGAAGAGGACTTTTTACCTGCTTTCAAGACCGCCTTCGAAAAAGCAATTGCTACGGAGAATATCCAGGGCGCCTTCAGAGGCGCAGGATTAGTGCCTTTCGATCCAGAAGCTGTTATTTCAAAGCTTGATGTCCGATTACGGACCCCGACGCCATTACCAGAGATCCCTCAATGGGTGTCGCAAACACCACGCAATGTCGCTGAAATAGGATCCCAAACGGAGTACATACGACAGCGCCTTCAAAGACATCAAAATACCTCCCCAACATCGCTTTTAGAAAGCTTTACAAGCCTTGAGAAGGGTGTTCAAATGATCGCGCACGGAGCTTCAATCATGGAGGTTGAGATAGGAAAGCTTCGGAAGGCAAACGAGACGCTATCAAAGCGCAAACAACGAAAAAAAAAAGTGCTTAAGGGCGCTGACACGCGCTCAATTACTGATGGGCTTCAATTAGTTGAACAACGTCGGGATCAAGATATAATCAGTCAAAATGGTGCTTCTAGTGACGCTCCTGGAAGGCGCCAGCGACGTTGCGGACGCTGTCGCGAGCCAGGACATCGAGTTGAGACCTGTTCAATGCCTCAGTTAGCTATACCAGAAAACGTAGATCCTAGCCTACTTCCTAATTAATAAATTGCTTCAGTAGTTGTTGAGATATTCAGGTTACGGTAGTGGGCCACGGTTGAGGTGGGCGACTCGGTGGTTTGGGCGACTCGCTGGTGGATTACGTTAGTAACTACTTACTTCCGCGTGTTAGTTGCAAGTTCCAGTCTTTTCCATACCCTTTCTCTCTAGATCTTCTTGGGCACCAGGAGTATTAGTAAAGGCGGCACAGTTAGCATGGTCACTCCCAAGTACCTCACCGGCGATAAGCCGGCCATAGATGAGTTCATAGACAGATTCGATGTACGTATATCCAATGGCAGCACTATACAGAATACTAATTGGACAAAAGACATTCTTGTTTGATTGCGATGGTGAGCATGTCTTATTGCATACCTTTTCAAAAGTTTCCTCCAAAGCGTGACGGCAATGACGGGACGACCCGGCTGTTCTGTTATCGTCATCGGTTTCAAAGTTAAAGAGCAGTGGGATTGACGTACGGAAAATAGGCGTCTTATGGTCCGGAGAACAGGTCTACCCCAAGACCGTCGAAACGATTCAGATGTTGAAAGACAAAGGTGAGGGTCCCAACAATTCGCAGGCGAAATGGGGCTTACCAACGAGCGTAGGCAAGCGACTTGTTTTCGTTACGAACAACAGCACCAAGAGCCGAGCAGCCTACAAGCAGAAGTTCGACGCCAAAGGCATTCCATGCAACGAGGTAGATCCGTCCCGTCTACTCAACGTCCTTCGTCGTCCCCTCTACTAAACCGTCCCAGGAAGATGTCTTCGGTTCGTCCTACAGCGCCGCCATCTACATCTCCCGGATCCTCAAACTCTCGCCCCCGCGCAACAAAGTCTTCGTCCTCGGCGAAGCCGGCATCGAGCACGAGCTCGCGTCCTGCTCCATCCCCTTCATCGGCGGCACCGACCCGTCCCTCCGCCGCGACATGACGCCCGACGACTACACCTCCATCGCCTCGGGCGCCGCGCTCGACCCGGCCGTGGGCGTCGTGCTGATCGGCCTGGATTTCCACATCAACTACCTGAAGATGAGCCTCGCGCTGGCGTATCTGCGGGCGGGGGCGCGGTTCCTCGCGACGAACGGCGACAGCACGCTGCCGAGCCACGGGACGCTGTTCCCGGGGGCGGGGGCGACGGGGGCGGGGATCGTGCGGGCGTGGGGGGCGGAGCCGCTGGCGTTGGGGAAGCCGAGTCAGGCGATGATGGATGCGGTAGAGGGGAAGTTTCACGTGGATCGGACACGGACATGCATGGTGGGAGATCGGTTGAATACGGATATTCAGTTTGGGATTGAGGGGGGGCTTGGGGGGACGTTGGCGGTGTTGACGGGGGTGTCGAAGAAGGAGGAGTTTCTAGGGGAGGGGAAGGAGATCGTTCCGACGGCATATGTGGATATGTTGGGGGATTTATTGGGTTGATCAAGACGAGCTGTCATTGTGTTTCAGCATTCAGACGGAGGACATAGACAAGGCGATAGCAGAGAGTCATCAAAAGGGACTGTGATCATAATAGAGTCGTGATGGATCGATCCGAGATGTATGCACGTCGGACACATTGCAACCACGCTCCCAGCGGTGAGTACCAAGATTTTGACGCTCGCTATAAATTTGTGCACTTGAGATATCGATTATTAAATGGAAGCTCCCTGCAACAGAACGCAGCACACAGCAAGGAGGTGAAGCTACAGTGTAACAGTGATCACACAGCGGCGCACCAGCCACATCGGATCTGGGAAAGTGCAAGGCACAACGCGTGGCAGTGACGCGCCAAAACGCGGTCTCGCGTCAACGACGCGTTCCTGGACTTTCTGTAGCTCCCCACATATCTCTGTACGTCAGATCAGGATGTTTGTTGTCCCAGGTACGATAAACGATTTATCTGGTCCGGATGCTTGAAGATGCTCGACAAATTCCATCGTACATGATCCATTCTCGACAGCACCGTCCAAGATGATTCGACAAGACTTCAATCGCATCGATGCCAAAAGGCGGTCGAATCTCGATCCAAAGAAGAAGCAGTTCGCCCAACCGGCCTTTCAGCATCATGACTACCAACATCGCCTCAACTTCTACGTTCTACCGCCTACTGCAGAGATAACGCTGGAAGAGTTCGAGGAGTGGGCGATAAACCGGTTGAAGGGTAAGCACGGCGATTTCTACCATAATCTACCCTAAAAGCTGCGAAGGGAAGTTGGACTAACAACCCAGTGCTCTCCGAACTCGAATCATGTACGTTCCGAAATCGCACGCCGGACGAGACGGCCTCATATATGGCTCCTATCCTCTCTAAATACCTCGCTCTTCACTCGAACTCATCCCGATCATCCATGCTACAGGAGGAGCGGAAACAGGACCACTACTCTCACTTCATCCTACGACTTGCCTTTTCCTCTACCGAAGACCTCCGCCGGCGTTTCTCCCGATTAGAAAGCATGCTTTTCCGTCTCCGATGGAAGGAGGATGATGCAAGAGAGCGAAGGGAGTTCGTGGATAGCCTAGACTTAAGGTGGGAGAAAGTAGGGGATGAGGAGAAAAGGGAATTGGCAAGCGAACTTGCGGCCGTGACGTATAAGACGAGGCAAAGCGATGACGATGGCTGGTTCAAAGTTGAATGGGAACAAGTTCCGGAGCTCGTGGAGAGCAGAAGGGTGTTGCTGAAGAGAGGGGTCGCGTACGTTCCTGCTCGAGAGCAGATGAGTCTTGTCATGGCGGAATTCACACGGCGACTAGATGCAGCAATGGAGGTTAGTATTCTTCCCCCGTCTTCGTAAGTCCGTGCTAACAGCATGTAGCTCACTGCCCGAGCCCTACCACGTCTTGACGAGGACGACAGATTGACGCCGATCTTGAAGCATCTGTCCGCCTCCTTTATCTCACCTGCCAGCACCTACGACAGCAACTCTGCGCTTCCCGGGACGCTACAGCCCCACGCGAACAACATCCCTCAACTCGCACAACATTTCCCGGCATGCATGGGCCAATTACAAACGCGACTTGCTCGAGACCACCATCTCAAACACTTCGCGCGACTGCAATATACCCTTTTCTTGAAAGGAATTGGCCTATCGCTGCAGGACTGCATCGTCTTCTGGCGCCGATCCTTCTCGCTCATGACCGACGAGAAGTTCGAGAAAGAATACAAGTACAACATCCGACACGTATACGGCGACGTCGGCGGCGACTCCAATCGCCGCGGAAAGGGATACAGCGCCTACAGCTGCCAGAAGATCCTGACAGAGCCGCTGCCGAGCGCTGGCCAAGCTCACGGCTGCCCCTACCGCACGTTCAGCATCGACAATCTCCTCGAATCGCTCCGCAGCATGGGCGTGCATGACCGCGAGGTCCTCAAAACCATCCGCGAGGACGTCGGTCGCCAGCGCTACCACATTGCCTGCAACCGCGTCTTTGAGTATCAGCACAAGGCGGAGCTGGATGGCAAGCCGGGCCAGGAGATCCCGGGACTGAAGGAAACGATCGTACATCCGAATGACTATTTCAAAAAGAGCTTCTTGTTGAAGCATTGGGGTGACAAGGAGGTCCGAGAGGGAGCTGATGCGGGCGGCCCGTTGAAGATGGAGGAGTGAACTGGCCAATGCCACCGGTGTGGAATCACAACTCGATCCGATGGCGTTTGACCCGGAAAGGTGTTAGGGAGACGTTGGGATGACACTATGAAATGCCGCAGGCACGTTATATGGCTCGGTTTATCTTGCGCCTAAGGCATGTTTGCTTACGGTACTGGAAATTAATTTGGTGATAGTCTTGAGAGCGTCGTTTCTGAATGGCTACAATGTATATCTCTTGGATCCTGAAGAATTGGACCCTGCTGCTTCATTTCACGTCGACATCCTCCTGGAGGGGTGTCCGCATCTTGAAGCTCACATCGGTCCTTGCGCACCGACACATTCTAGATAATTCGGTATTCACCTGGGACCGCCTCTGACGCCACTTGTTTGGAAGAGGAGACAAATCATAAGGACGTACTTGCGAGATCCGAGGAAGACAGCAGGGGTGATAGCACAACTGATGGCACTGAGGAGCAATATCTGCGAAGCTATGCAGCATAATAACACTAGAGGTATTCTTCGATGTTCTGTTCACTGTAATGTCCTTGTTATATCAATGTTTCTCTATTCCTTCATCCGTTAGCGGCAGTGGAGCGAAGGCCATATATTACATGTTCCAAGTACATATCAGAAACCATGTGTAGATTGGAGCTTTATATTTCTCTTCATGTTGGACCGGCTTGAAGAGCGTCATTACAGTCGGAACCAGTAGTCCTCTCGAAAGCGTACAAACCTAATAGTGATTTCGTTTTTTGGGAACCTTCAATGAGCCGGACGAACGGAACGCAGCATTTACCTCCCTACAGTTCCCCACCATGCTGTTCCAAGAATGCCACCCATAATAATCGCACCGGCAACAGGGACCTTATACCAGGCACTTGCCGAATAAGACACTGCCGCAACAACCACCCACCAAGGTTCCCGGGCCAAACTCTGACCCTGACTGTTATCTTTCGTTAGGTAGCCGATTTCCCACAGTCGGTAGACAGCTGTGAAGACAAGGCCCACGGCCGCCGCATTGAGACCACGGAGCGCACTGGTGACCACAGGTTTGCGCCTCAGTACCCGCCAGAATGACTGCGCCGCAACCACCAGAGCAAGGCCGGGGACAAATATGCCGATGAATCCCAATAATGCTCCGAGAAACGTGGGATACGTTTGCTTGTACGGCTCTCCGAGATATGTAGGCGCGGTCATCACAAGCGCCCCCAGGTACACGGAAAAGTTGAAATTGGGGCCGGGGAATGCCTGGATGATAGCAAGTCCAAGGAGGAAGTCTCTAGAGGAAACCCAGCCGGGTTGGACAACATATTCCCGTAGCAGCGGGATGACCACGGGTCCTCCGCCGAAGATGATCGTTCCGGCGAGATACATATTTGAGAACAGGGACAAAGGAAGCGGAGGTCGTTTCAGGACACCTCTTGTAATAAGAATGGCGATCAAGGAAGCTGGAAACGTCAATATGCAGTCAAGGGCATCGATGGGGTACGTACCCAAAAACCCGATGATTATCGCAATGCCAACCTTGATGGAGATTCTGTGAGACTGGGTATCAGTCATGGGGTTTCCCTGGTCCGAAGCTGCCTCTCTCGGCGATTCTGACTCGATCACGAATTTCGGATCGGTCGACGGCGTTGTCATATCTTCTCTGAACTTTCCCTTCAATCCGTTTCCAGCAGTCCGTTTGTGCAACCCTTCTGGTTGGGCCGTCTGCAGCCCCGACGGTATATTTGCTTCAGGTGTGGCAGCTTCGGGACTCAACTCTTGCTGACTTTTTCGCTTGCGTTGTATGCTCGCTCTGAACTTTTCCACTTGCTGTCGGAGCCAGATGTCCCAGACAACCGTCATAGTGCCACCTACTACCATGATTACAGGAAAGTACCACAAGGCGTTGTAGCACAATCCCGCACAACCGGCACCGATGACAAGAATGCGCGTTAATGGGTCAGTGATAGCCTTCTCGGCGAGCTGGACAGCGGCAAGGGCAATGATGCCCACCGTCGAAGCGTTCAGACCAGAGAGAAGCGCGTAGACTGGGCCAGGAAGGACATCGCCGATACGCTGAACACCAAGAGACAGCACAAACATGCCAACTGCGCCTGGCAGACTCCAGAGAAAGAACACAAACAGAGCGGGAATGAATCCGGCGTGGATCTGGGCTAGGGAGAATGCCATCTTGGTGCTAGCTGGGCCAGGCAGACCCTGACATACTGCGAAGATTTCCTGATACTGTATAAGAGCAGAATCAGCTCCTATTTTTCCAGTACATGCGCCTTTCGGTCGGAATTCGATTTGGATTCTGATGGCTTACAGTCTGCTCATCGACCCATTTTGCTTTCCCGCCATGCCCTTCTACGAACCGTCGATGGAGGATTTGAAAATGTACCGGCGGTCCCCCGAAGGCGGTGAACCCTAAATCCCAAGTTCGTAGAAAGACATCGCCAAGTCGCCACAACAGAGGGGACTTGTTTGCTTGGTACGCGGAGACGGTGGAATCGTCGTGATCCTTTGTCGAATCACGTAAGGAATGGAACGTGTTGACGAGCGATTGTAGCGCCATGGTCAAGAGCAGAAGTCACCATACAACCGAGAAAACGGCATCGCAACTTTTCCAGCAGAATACCCCTCTCTGCAAGGCAGACTTGGAATACTTATAGATTCTCTCGGGTGTTACGATGTATGGATATCACAGCGACTTGGCAGTGAGCATGTCTTAACCAATGATTCGCCAGTTCACATCACGACATTGAGCAGGAGATCTAGAAATTCCGTGGCTAAATCTCAACCGCCTTGGCAGGTAGAGTAATGAAACTTAATAAATTCTTGGTGGTTCAGAAAAGCAAATACAATCGATCGGGACCTTGACCTGACATTAACAGCAACAGAACGATTCTTTCAATAGATCTCGCACGTGTCAGCCGACTACCATAAGACTAAGTCTCTATGAACAGGCGGGACAACGACAGTCATTTTAGTGTCACGGCGCCTGACTAGCCAGTATATAGTATGGCACACCTGATGCGTCTGACGCGGGATAAGAAAAATTATTTTGCAGTACTGAAGACCAGCCTTGATGCTTGCTGGGAACATCGGATAGTACTTTATCATTCACCTGTGCCCGTGGAGCTCCTTCTGCGACCAAATAGTCAAACTCTAATTAATCTCAAGCCAACAGCCTCATCCCGATTTCACATCGGAGAACCTGCACTGTAGGCTTTTATTATGTTAACGGGCCCCAGTAAACTGTCTCCATTGAAACCAAACTGGCTGAGTGGAATTCTATCGTAGGATGTGGACTGGTAGCCAAAAACTCTGAATTCAACGAACTTACCAGCAGATACGGCAATAGGAAGCGGCAACTGAGAAGAGAAGTTTCACTGTCTACTACCGTTATATTCTTCCTCCCGAGGACCGTACAGTTATCAGATCGTTGATCAATCTCTCCTTCAGTTGTATCACTACGTACTAACCTGCACCTGCCCACTGCTCCCTATTACAGGTTGTCCTTCAGCAACACTACTTAGGATCTCCTAGGCTGAACCCGGCCTCAGACTCGACAAGATGGGTCCGATCCTCGACCTGCAAAGACCATCCGTTACCTTCATCCTCCTCTCTCTCGCCCTAGCATCCATCTACTGGCTACGCCTCTTGTTCCGGCGTCCACTTTTCCCCAAGGGGTCCCCTGTGCTGGTTGACGAGTATCCAGTCGTGGGAGCATGGAGTTTCTTCAGCCGTCGAATCGATTTCTGGCGCCATGGGACCGCACAGAGCAAGACCGGTCGCTTCAGCTTTTATGTAGGCAAACTGCCTGTCGTCAGTGTCAGTGGAGTCGAAGGAAGAAAGACATTTTTCGAAAGCAAAGAGTTGAGCTTCTCTGAAGGGTAACAGTCCACCCCATCCTATCACATGGGCCTCGCATATAACGCAGTTGCAGCTACGCCGTGCTATTCGGTAATGCTCCGAGATTCAGTGTCAAGAATGAGGACGGCGTCGAGACTTCCGGAGTAGAGGGTGGATTTGATACCTATTTCAATCGTCGCATTACGCGTCTGATGAAGAAAGGCAGATTCGTTCGGAACCTGCATCTCCTCGTCAATGATACGAGGCAAGCGCTGAGTCAGTTGGCGAAGGCGGAGAGCAATATTCTGGATCCATTCGATGATATTTATCGGATCGTTTACCGATTGACTGTCCGGACGGTGGCCTGCAATGATATTGCCGATAACCCAGACTTACTTTCCCGGTCGTTGAAGGCTTTCGAAACTATTGACGCCAGTACGACACCTTCCACTGTTATCTTCCCCTGGCTGCCTACTCCAGCTTCCGTTAAGAGAATGGTTGCTGGCGCGAGACTGTACAGGATGGTACAGAACATTGTAGAGGCAAGGAAAAGTGCCGGGGTAAGGGGTGAAGATGCGCTTCAGTTCTTGGTGGATCAGGGCGACAGTATCGCACAGATAATATCAGTACGTTACCCAAGATTGCTTAAACTCATCCAAAGAAATTAAAACATTTGAAAAGTTCGTCATCGGTTCACTGTATGCCGGTGTACTCAACACCGGTATCAACGCCGCTTGGATTCTCGTCTATCTTTCCACTGACTCGCACTGGATGGATGTCGTACGCCAAGAAGTTGATGCAGCCATTGACAAGCATCGAACGAATTCTGCGCAGTCGAAAGGTGATATTCTCACTAGTTTCGCTCTTGGGGACTGGGAAACCGAGTTTCCGAACATTGATCTTTGCCTTCGCGAATCTATTCGGTTTCACCTGACCGGAACTGCGTTCCGCAGAAATGTCAGTGGAAAGGACATGATTCTGGGAAAGGAGATTATCCCCAAGGACGCATATCTTGTAAGTTTTTCCGCACTGCTGTCAAATGTACTAACCCCCATTCCAGGTATATGCTGTGGACGATATCCACTTTGACCCTGAAATCTACACCGACCCTCAGACATGGGACCCATCCAGATATCTGCCACATCGCGCGGAGGACAAAAAGGTTCAGAATGGATATCTCGGCTGGGGCACTGGTCGACATCCTTGCCATGGAATGCGATTTGCGAAGCTGGAGACCTTTATCATCATCGCCTTTTTCGTGGCAACGTTTGACTTTCAGCTGGTGGATGAGCAAGGATACCCCAAGATGGCATGGCCTGAAACGGATAGGAACGAACATGCAGCTCATAAGCCCCGAACACCAGTTAGGCTCAAGTACACATTGAAGGACTGACATTGGGCAAGCTTCTACTGGGAGGGTAGGGAACGCTCTCACGATCGATACTCTGCATCGGAATTTACCTGCTTAGGCGCTAGGATGAAGGCATCTTTGCGGTCTCCTACGCGTAACTGGCAAATCATTCATACGAACGAGTATTGTAGCAATTACTTTATCGACTGCAGTACCTACTTAAATACTCCTATTTCAGTCCTTTGTAATCGCTCATAATGTATGGCGTAACCAGGTCGAGTAGCCACGACTTCTTATGCGACTTCAAGTCCACTTCCTGCAGCAATGCCTCGAAGTATCTCATCCCCCCGGCTGGAGTTATCCACTCACCTTGCAGTCCTGCTGTCGGTGCATTCAGTCGGCTGAACACGTTGGCATATGCAATGCTCTCCCGCATCTTCTCCTCGGTGGGTAGCTTCAGTGCCCCATCAAAGAGCGCGGTAATCCAGATCCCCCGCAGCTCCCCGTTTCGAAACGCGTTGGCGACTTGTGGTTCGCCAGGAAAGGCGATGGAGTGGTCGTGAATTGGCGTGATGTGCTTGTATAGCCGGAATGCCGTCCTTGAAGACCGACAAGGTGCCACGTAGATATCTTTAGGGGGGTCCGCAAACGCAGGATAACACTGGAGGATGGTGGGTTCTGCTGCATCTTCAAGCTTTTTCCACAAGGCTGCCTCCGATGAAGAACCATCGGACTTGAGATGAGGTAGGCCAAGCTGAATCTTTTGCTCCGTGTCAAAGTAGGTGTGCGAATCGAGGAACCCAGTCGCAAGGACAATCGCGTCCGTGGCGACAGAAGAGCCGTCTGCCAATACCATTCCTCTATTGTCAAGACATGAAACATCTTCCCTGACTACGACAACCCTTTGAGATATTACGTCCCAGAAATCTGAGTGGTGGAGGAGTCCAAGAGGGCCTGTACCAAAATAAGGACCGGTATATGTTAGAGAGAAGATACCAGTTATCACAAGACAAACTCACTCTAAGGTTGGCTCCAAATTTTGAAATCCGTCTCGTGCTCCGGGTCGGTTGCGGTAATTTGCTGCTTTCATGGCCACTGACATTGCTGCCGACATGAATCCTCGAGTAAGGCGTTTTCCGAAGTTGGTACTATGTAAGACATGCCTCCACCACGAGAAAGATCCCCAGGGGCTCGGAAATAGGATGGAGAATAGTTTGACGTGTGCCACCTCAATCGAATTTCTATACGGTCCAGGCACAGCTGGATCAAGGAAGAGACCGGGTCCCTGGCCACTCTTTCGGATAACCCAGGCTACCTCTTTGTCAGCCTTTGCGAGCGTATATACAATAATCCGCGGCGGACTTGGAAGCTCCAAGGACAATTATTTTCTTGATACTTGGATCTGATTGTGCGTTGGACTGCCCAAATTCCTTGCTGTGTATGACCGGCCCTTTGAAGTCGTCTCTGCCTTGCATAATTGGATAATATGGCCTTGAAAAGGCACCAGTTGCGACAGTGAGCCTCGTGGACCGAAAATCGAAATTGGCGCCGTTCTGGACGCCGCTCACTGTCCAGAGATCCTTTACCTTTTGAACACGCTCCACGGAGAAGTTGAACATCGTTCTATCTTTCAACGTCTGGCCTTCATAACTATGGCTGTCCATGTACTCGTCGAAATATTCCGCCATATATTTGGCTTCGAACAAGTCGATGTGAATTCGTGGCGCATCTATAGGCAATTCGAAGGGACGATCGGAGAAGCCGACCATTCGTTCACCTGTCTGCGACCAGAATCCTGAGTATACATGACCTACTTCTGTTCAGTCCAGCTATTTGTTACTATAGGCAAAGGACGGTGCATACTCTTCGACCAGACACCCCCTGGATACTCATACTTGTCAACTATCAATGGTCGACACTTCGAATGTGCTTCGAGGTAGAATCGAGCAGTTTCAATTCCAGAAAACCCTAAAGGCACAAGTCAACTCCATTCATTTGGATACTCTCGTCAAAACGCCTACCTGCTCCAATGACTATCAAGTCATATACCTGATCACTGTTTCTCGAGAGCATCGCTAAACGTTTGAACGAAAATATAAAGACGGAACTGGTCCGTATTCAGGGGACTGGGTGGCATTATGAATGGTTCACCCTTAATCCATATCGGCCCGCTCGCAATCATCACCTAATTAGGACATATCTAAGCTTAGGTACCTTGCTTACGTGAGATCTCCCCAAACTTGATCATATTTGGAGGGAGGATCCATTATTAGCTTCACGATCTGAATGGATGAGCAAAATTTATGCCCAATTCCTCACAAAACAATCATGTTGAAGGACTACGTGTGTAACGTTCGCAGAGGACGTGAGAACCGTTCAGACACGCTGGGAGGTAACTAGAGCCGAGGTGGGGCAAGCGCGCAAGCACACAAGCGCACAAGCTAGGAAACGAGGAACAATCAACAAAGAACGTTGGCAGACGTGGAGTTCATAATATGGGTCATTGTATCATATATGCCATAAGTAATCACAGAATCGAAGGCTGTACGGAATATGGTAAAGGCGACTTATCCAGCACTAATCGGTGTGGATCGAAGAGTGGTCGAGCAGGAAACAGAATCGATGAGGACTACTTCCGGATTCTATAAAGGCTTCTTCATTCTCTTTATGTATACTTCGAGGACGGGGTAACTAACGGAGTATCCGGTAATATTATTATTACGTCTTGTGGATGTAGCAAGTATGCCTAGCGTCCTGTTTGTGATGAAGATACGACCCGAAGTAGTAATTTAATATTAGTGCGAGATGGCGCGCGGGGTTGCCAAGGGCATTAATGATCTTGGAGTGGCGTGGAGTCGGGGCGGAAGCGGATCGTACATAGTATTCCGTACCATAGTAAGTCTTATCAACCACCAATGTTCGGGTACTAGATTCTCGTATTCGTTTAAACATCCGATCGCATAATACGGACACCAAATGGCAAATATATTTACAGAGTACTCCGTGAGGTACCTGGATTTGAATCATCGAGATTGCCTCAAGGAGAGGCGCTTGAATTCCACCTGGCTGACAGGATCTCCTCTGGGTAAATGCAAGCACCGAAACAATTTCTCGCTCTGTTATCCGATTGGATGAACCGAATTTGAAGCCGCAAAATACAGAGGTGGTACGGCGGTATCTTTGTAGGCATTTCATAGTGCACCTGGCACTGGTGGAGGGATGAGTGAGGTGTTCAGCGAAAAAAAACTGATGCTTTGGAACCAGCATCACATCATACAGTGGTAAACTCTTGCCAGTATAGACAGATAAAACAATGAAGTTGGTGATCCGGAATGGCTATCCGCTTCATCGAAGTATAATTCAAATCTGAGACGAAGCATGCATCTAGACACGATTCGGAAGCTTTGATGCCAAACGTCCCCCTCAATGCAGCTTCCCGCCGAGGCATTGGCCCATGCTTCATTCAGTTTCGAAGGATTCCTGTAGACTAGCGCTTCTATGGTTTGCTAATTCCGCCGTTGAACGACCTAAAGTTGCAGGCGGCTTGGAGTAACATGCGGGGAAGTGGTCTCTTGGACGATCAAGACGCCTCCTCCACACAGTCCAGTATACGAGCAGTCTTCGACCCCGAGGCTAAGTCCCGAATTTCGAAAGTGCATGTAGGACTTGGGCGCAGATTTTTACGCCTAGGGGACGTCGACAGCGTCTAATTGACAGTAAGGATCGATTTATATAGCTGGATCCGCACCAATTCCCATGACAAAGTCTGCTTCGATATTGCCCATCCACCCGAGATATCAAAGAGGCCCCCCATTATGCAACTTCTCGCCACTGCCCTCTTTATAGGGCTCGCATCGTGCCAATTGCCCACTGCAAAACTTGGGCAAGGGACATTCAGAGGGACCACTACGGCAGTATCGGTTGGTCCGACCAGCTCAGTGACGGTAGAGAAATATTTAGGGATCCCCTTTGCCGCATCGCCAGTTAGATTTGCACCACCAGAACCCGCACCTACAGCCACAGACGAACAAGATGCAACCCAGCTACAAGGTGTATGCTTCCAGCAATTCTCGTGTAAGTAGCTTTGAGACATCTTGACCGTCGAGGAGGCGCGTACCTGACACTCTACAGATCCGGAGGCCATCCACAACTTCACACAACAGGTCTTCAACAGACCTCCACCAAACGAAACTGAAGACTGCTTGACAGTAAATATCTTCACCTCATCTGGCAATACCACTGGAAAGTCCGTGATGGTGTGGCTCTTCGGCGGATCGTTGAACTTCGGAGGCAATGCGGTTAAAACATACGATGGGAGCTCATTCGCTGCCAACCAGGATGTGGTTGTGGTGGTTCCAAACTATCGCACAAACGGTATGCTGTAGTCTCGTCGACGCAAGTCCCGAAAGTTTACCATACCCTTAGTTTTCGGATTCCCCGGAATGGTAGAAGGCCTCGACCCCGACGAACGGAACCTGGGCTTCCTGGACCAGAGAGCCGCCCTCCAGTGGGTGCAAGACAACATCGAGCAGTTCGGTGGCGATCCTACGAAAGTCACAATTGTAAGTAGCCCCCAAGCTAATAGCATGTAGATACTGACAGACTGTAAGTTCGGGGAATCAGCCGGATCCTTATCTGCAGGCCTTCTGGTTCTGACAACGCCGCAAAACCCTCCATTCCGAGCTGCTATCCTTCAGAGTGGTACCGCCGGACTCCTGCCTAGACAGGTCAGCGCGCCCGGGGGCGTGACCGCATTCTCGAAGCTTGGTCAAGCTCTCAATTGCACCGGTGGTGATACCCTCGCCTGCATCAGGGCTGCCCCTGGCCTTAAAATAAAAGACCTCATTGAAAAGCAATCTATTGCTTTCGGGCCGGTAGTGGATAATGTCACCAATCCGGAAAACCCAATCGCTCTGAGGCAAGAACGCCGCATTGCCGACGTCCCAATTCTGCTTGGTTCAACAGCCGAAGAAGCGCGAGTCTTCGTGACGATTTATGCGGGAGGTCGCAATGTTGCCAATCTCACCAACTATCTCGCCACCACCTTCAAAGATCCTGCTGTTCGAGAGCGCGTTAGTGCCGCGTACCCAGTAGGACCTGGTGGGCCGTTTCCGACTGAGTACGATGCTCAAGCTGCCATCTGGACAGACCTGCAGTGGACCTGTCCTGCCCTCAAGGAAGCAAACTTGAGTGCGAGCTCGGGATACCCGACCTGGCGCTTCTATTTCAACGCGTCGTTCCCAAATACGCAAACATTCCCCAACGGAGGAGTGTATCATTCCAGCGAAATTCCGTTGGTCTTCGGAAATCTACCCGGAGCACCACAGCCGCCACCGACGGATGAGGAACGGGCCCTTTCCGACGCGATGCAGACCATCTGGGCCAACTTTGCGAAGAACCCGACGGCTGGACCAGGTTGGGATGCGGTTCAGCCAGGGAATGTGCACAATCTCGGTGTTCTAGGCGGACCACAGAACTCCACCGGGTTCGCCACGGTCTCAAGCAATGTCACGGATTCCCGTTGCGATATACTTGTCCAGGGAGCAGCGCAAGGTGGACCTAGTACACCTACTGGACCGAGTCCGTCCGCATCATCGGCAGCAGCCATGTCTCTAAAGATACCTGGCGAGGACCGCGGCAGTATGGTTGCCGTCTCAGTTGCCGTATTTGCTGCGGTTATTGGATTCGCTACCCAGCTATTGTAATTGCGACATGATCCTAGGACTTGCTGCACTTTTGCTTCCTGGGTGATTTGGCGGAAGCATGAGGCTTTGAACCTGGAGGAGAGCCAACAATTTTCTCAACTAAACGCCCAAACAAAAATCCGGCCAAGTTATATCATAGGAATCTCAAGAATGAATATTACGAGTAATGAGATCTCGACTTCTAATGTCAAGACTAGACTTCAGGAGCACGCGAACAACGCCCATAATGACAGCCTCTGGGGATTAAATATCAACACGAGAAGTAACAATGACATAACTTGCAAAGGGTTATATGCCCAATTGGAGATGCGATCCGTATGGGAGGTGCCTCTGCCTTGTACGAACAGATAATCTCCGAGGACCAGCGTCATGTCTTATACCTTATGTTAGTATGATAAGACGTAGCCAGCGCCTCTTGTCCTTCAGGGCACAGCGGAAGAGGCTTGCATCAATATATATCCCAGGGAAAATCTGCCAACGGGCATCTGCCAGCGATTGTGGACAGGAAGAACCATAGCTGCAAGGCTGAATACGTTGTTTCGATCGGAGAGATATTCATTCAACATCAGCCAATATCGTAGCGGTACATGGAAAGCGTGTGGTGAGAAACACCCCAATCCCGGATCGTGATACACACCAGTGTGAATGGTGTTCAAATCTTGATAGGGGGAGAGGCGTGAAATCGAACAACGTGGAAACCTTCAGGAGACCTGGCGTCCTGGCCACCACTGCCGTGTGCTGACCACTGATTTCTGATTGTTCGCATGACCAACAAGCAACAGGCAACAGGGTATGTGGGAGTATTTTTTGCCCTGTAGATCTTTGCAACACCTCATATGAGGCGTGAACTGTGAAGCCGAGGCGCAATGTTAGGCGGTCGCTTCACGCTTGACATCCGACCACAGCGACGAGGGTCGAGGATGTACCTAATCGCGGCGGCGCATTGAAATTTGGAAAATTGATCTGCTGATCTGCTGATCATAGTAGTCCCCGTTCGTCAATCGTCAGATCGTGCTTCAGACATATTGGGGTCCACAATATGTGCGCGTCAGAATCTTCGAAAACCAGGTTCACCTACTATTGCGAGAGTCGGCATGTGCGACAGCTACAAGCGCCAAGCCTACAGACGGTTGCGTGAAATAAAGACCTGATGAAACAACGATGGATACGAGCCTGGGAGCTGCTGGCAGGGGGGGTCGGGTTCAGCCAGGTACTCGGGGTCTCGTCTGCAAGGTGTCGAACAACGGAACAATCTCGGATCTTATGCACAGACAAAAGAACCAGAATATTTAAACTTCGAGCAAAGTAAGTCTTGGATGACAGAATGAGATAGAACGCCACCCATTTTCCATCTGCAAGCAGCTGAAAAAGTACTGATTATTAGGGAATCAGTGAGAGTTTGAACCAGAAAGAGGATCCTAAATGCGAGAGATTCGCATTTGCCCTTGACCCTGAGGAAAGCCACTTGAGCACGGTCAGAGAGACAGGGGAAAGAGGCGTTACAAAAGCGTGATGTGGTGTCGATCTCCTCTTCATCCAATGGACACAGGCACACAGCCGACTACCACGAGGACATCTGGGATCATGGTGCTTCCTTGCTCTTCACTAGACACCACTATCGGCTCTGCGGGCCGTACATGTCCTACAAAAGCCCACCTCCAGCCACCCCAGTTTGGACCTGGCCGATTACCGATAGCTTCGTTTCCAACTTTCTAAGTTCCTACCACGGATGAGGGCGGGAGGAGCGTTTGCGTCAGCCAATAGGAGGGTGATAAAAGGTGCTGAGGTCTGAACCAACGAAGGGGTTCTTCCAGCATTATTCTCTGATGGCTGCTCTTCGGGAGGAGCAAATCTCGTCCTGGGGAGAATACTCATTAGTCATTACCCACCTCGTCTTTGTATAGCCGATTTGACTTTGCATAGAAAAGAAATTCTTCAACGATTCGTGACTTCTAGAATGCCTCTCTTTTGGCAGGGAAAGCTAGCGTGATCTCTAGGCGATTCCGGCAAGGAAATCGACTCGAGATCCAGGCTCATCCAGCGGTCGCCTGAAGGCTTAATTACGTTTTTATTTCTTACCGTACCTTACTGGGCGACCTGGTGTGGATCAGGTTTGTTAGCCCAGCCTCCCAGGGTCTCTCCATTCGGCAGGTTGAAAATGATCTGTATGCTCTCGGCCTCTCGCATGACGAACCCGAAACGCTTGACCTCGCATGACAAAACACTCGCGCGGAAGGAACAGGAATACCGGTCGGAACTAGGTGCTTTGAGTTAGCAAGGATGTAGAAGACCTAATTGTCTTGAACTGAACTCTGGATGAACGCATGAAACCATGAACGCATGAACGCATGAACGATGCAGAGCTGATTGGGGATTCCAGTTCCCCTGTTGTCCCTCATTTAATGATATTTGTTGACAAATACTCCGAGAGACGACGATACTGCTCAGGAGTAGTACTTGCCGTCCTTCCGGGCTGCAGAACTTCGATGTTCCTTGTTTTAAGCCTGCCAAACGTCCTGGTTTGTCGATTATTGTGGCAATGCAGATTGCACTTTGCTGCAGGTGATGCGCTTCAGTGAGTTGATAGAGTGCGGGGAAAGGTCCAGATTTCTTATTCCTCCATGTTTGAACGAACCACGTGCCCTTTTGCACTTTTGCAGGCCCGCACTCCCGGAATGATTCTCGAAAGGAGTTAGAAACTTTGAAGTTAACGAATAAGAGACGGTCAAAGGAATTATGAGCCCCAGGTCGACAACGATCTTGCTCGTAAGTTGTACATAAACTCCGAAGATAGACGCTAGCAAACCAGGTGGCTTGTCACTTTGCCACTCCCGATTTCCTCTTCTCCCCTGTATCCAATATTGATCGTCTTTCATTTCAACTCCTAAAGGAGCCTGGTGGTGGGTCACTGGTGGCGGCATAGACCGCCTGTTCGTCGCCTACCAGGCGCTATCTCTCAAAGGCCAAAGGCCAAAGTGAAAAGTCCCCAGCCATGAGTATGGGCTTGGCGGCGACACTCTTTCTTCCCGCCATTCATATTCGCAATTTTCCATGCAGCCACCTGATCTCCTGAAGGCCGAACTCACCGAACGAAGGTAAACGGCAAACATGCCAAAAATGAGAAAGTTCCTCTCCACCCTGGACGCTGTGACGCTATCGCCTCAGCAATCGTTCTAACTCCCACGGACCTTAAGTGATTCCTTGGATTTGGTAACGCCACGCAATGAACTGAGGATTGTTGGAGAAGGGATTTTGTGTATCAGTCCCTCCTTTAATCAACTCAGTTCCCCAGTATTACAGTCTGCAAGTGTCTTTCGATTGCATTTTCCCACGAGGTTTCTATGTTCAAGTCAGATGGGATCCGATATCCGAAACCGAGCCGACTAATCCTCGTCTCAGTTTCGCGTCTTCCCCCCCATCGCCAAGTCAAGGTACGTGTTTAGAATTATACTTTCTCGCCAACGCAAATAGGGAACTTCGACGGCGCTTATTCGTCCGCGCTCCGACACTATGTCTGCCTGTCCGGTCACTATTGTTTTACGCCATGATGAAGCGTTTCTGTTGCAACAGATTTCCGAACACTTTATGCACGCTCCAAGAGCTAAAGAGAGGAAGTCTGCTTTGATCGGCCCTTTGATCCAACCTCTCTCCTATAACATCGGCTGCTAAGCCATCGCAAGCCCTCAAACCATGTCTTTAGTGATTCTTCTTTAGCCCTCTTATGATTTCCTCCACTATACCATCCATTCTCGTTGTCGACTGATTGAGCTGTAGTGATTAAGGCCGCCTTCTGAGCGCAATCTGCGCGTTCATGACAGAATGGCTACCACGCCTTCAGTCGCCCAGCTTCCCAGTCTCGACAATTGGACCGATCGTAAGATCGCCATGGTCGTGACTGGGACACTCTTGATGTTACTAAGTACGTGGATCGTTGGATTGCGATTATGGATTCGTTATTCCAGGAAAGGCAGCGCTTTGGGAATGGACGATGCGTTCATCGCTGTTGGATGGGTCAGTGTTTTGAGATATTCTGTATCGCAGTCTTGCTAACCTTGCGTAGGTGTTTGGCATCGTATTTACTGTTGGCGCTATCTATAGTCAGTTCGAGAAGCGTCTTTCAAATGTCAACATTACTGACTCTGATCAGCGACCGCCGACCTTGGATTTGACAGACATATTTGGGAGAGCCCGTATACTATCTGGGCTAAATCAGGCATGGTGCGTCCCATATTCTCCTGACTAGATCCAAGTCGCTCACAATACCTAGTGGGGATGGCTTCTCGAGCTGTTCTACATGATTACCACCAGTGCCACCAAGTTCTCCATCTTGCTTTTCTACCGCAGACTCGGCTCTGGTAGCTACAGTAGCAAGAACATGTATCCGGTCTGGGCCGCGCTGGCATACACGGCTCTATATGCCGTCGTCTTCATTATCATCGCTTTCCTGTCATGCGTCCCATTCGGCACGTATTGGCAGCGCTATGATCCCTCATTTACTGGGAAATACACCTGCATGAACTTCAAAATTTCTGCACCAGCTTCCGGCGCCTTCAGCACCTTTGGAGACTTCATCGCGGTTTTGATCCCATGGGTCATGCTCTCCGATCTTCAAGTCCCATTGCGACAGAAAATCGCACTCTATATGATCTTCGCTGTTGGTCTGCTGTGAGTGTAACCCTGCTCATCGCCACCCGCGGACACTGACGGATTCGACAGCGTGGTTGGGGCTGGAATTGCTCGAACGGTGTTCATCAATGAACTAGCCGCTGGCAAACTTGACCTGTCCTGTGAGTTCCCAGCCTGTTTCGTACTTTGGGCTATTGGGTTCGGCCTGAATTTGCAAGCTCCCCTGCTTCGATCTCCATGTGACCAGCCAGGGCGCCCTGCATGAAGTTGGCCCCTCGCAATACAGTTTAATCTATCGAGTCATCACTGACATTCCATCTTATTTCGCAGGGATTGCGTACAACCTTTTCCATACTGCCAACGTGGAGGTCCACTTGGCGCTGATATGCGCTAGTGCACCCAGTCTCCGCGCCTTGTTCGCGAACTTCTTTCGAAACACCATGAACAAGCTGTCTCGCCCTACCGGCTCGAAGCTGTCATCCGCAGCTTCCTGGTCGGCTGGTGGCCGCAAGCGCTCTCACGATGCTTTAGGCGACGGTAGCAATAATACCATTGGAAGTAAAGGCGGCTTCAATCCTTTCAACAAGTTTCGGATGCACTCCGACGTAACGGAGATAACATCACAGCAATCTCGTACGACCAACGGTGGTGTCAGCCTTCCCTCCATGCGCCTCGATTCCACATTATCCCGCAAGACGTCGAAGAGCAGCTACCACAGCAGGCAGCACTCGCGACCTCCGAATCCTGCAGATTTGAACATATACCCGACCACCACCAACACCACTGGCCAACTGGGCGATCCCGGATTGAGCTGCCCCAATGCTGCCGCTGGCCAAATGGCTTTCATCACCGCCCCGACATTTTTGGAGACTGGCGACTCCTCCGAAGAGGAAGAACGGCTCCAACCCTCCCTGTCTGTCATCCGCGAGGATTCCGGCTCTCCGTGTGCCTGCTGCGGCATGCATCATGATGCTGCGAGCTATTTGTCCCAAGCACATCTCATGCAACCGTACGATCCGGACTTCCGAGCGACTTCACCGAATGGCTCGCGCAGCTGGTACCCCAGCCAAGTCGGTGGCCAGTCGGTGAATGCGATAGGTTTCCCTACGCCGCCCCCGGAGGCGCGACGGCAAACGGGTCCGCGTAGGGGATACGGATACTCCGCCCATGTGTCAGCAGGTCCTCGAGACCCCTCACAGCCGCATGCAGTTTAAGGATATCCACTTCCTTTTCTCACTCCGACAATGGGCGTTGACCTCCTCTGGCTAGGAATTTCTGACGGTTTCATGATGGCAAAAAGGTTTAATTAATGAGCATTGGAATACATTTCCAGGGAACAGCGGGCTTCGTGTGAGGGATTTCTTGATACCCCTTGTGACTGTCGGCTCAGTCACGGCATCGGTGGAGTTGGAGTCTTGACGGTTGGCAGTGTACGACGCTCTGTCAATCGCTCTAAGACTATATGGTATTGCTTTGTTCCCATGTCGACTTTCACGTCGCATGTCTTGTACATAGTACAAATGAGCCAATGTTATGGCAAATATGTCAATTGCGTACCCTTCGGTGACTCCCTTAGTGACCTTGGTGGTCAGGAACATGTGACAACCACAATGAAGGCTATTTAGGGTTGGATGTCTTATTATTATTGTGTCGTATCTTACGAGTACAATCCATACTCTCCCGGTGTCGTATAAACTGAAAAAGGCAGTAACATCAAGAATATTCCCCTTGGTGCCCTGTGCATTCATACTGGTATCTCCTCTTAGTTTCCCTTAATTACCGCACCAGGCTAGGTGTATCCTCCCTGGGCATCACCACCCTCATATATTCCCCACCAGGAGAAACTATCTGCTGGCGCAAAATGATGGTGCAATCCTCATGGCAAATTGAGATACGGAGTACGAATACTGCTTTTGGCATTCTGGCGTGAGATCAATTCCACCTGATTGCCAGTGCCGACAGAGCCTAGCGCAAAGCCTCGGCTGTCCCCAAAACGACCAATGTTGGACCCAACGAGATCCGATATCTATCAGTCGGGCATAGAATAAAATGTTCACGACAACATATTGAAGCTCGATATCCACGGCGCATGCTTTTTGGTCCTTTACAATATTCTGCTAATGTGTGACGCGTATCCACTCCATTGAGACTTCGCGCTTGTACGCCCCATACCTACCTATTTGGATTTCGCGTTTACACCATCACCATGGTCCGCTGGTTAGATCTCAAATCGGAGCCCAACTCCCGTGCTGGCCTCTTCTTGATCGATATGAAGGACACCAATTATCCAGTAGGCAAAAACGAGACCTGTGCAGATTTTCAATCACTTATTGATATGGCTCGGAACTAGTTTTTTGACGGCAACCTGCGCGGACACCTCAAACTGATCTCCGTCGATATCGACTCCAACGATCCGACCCTCGCGAAAAGCGTGTTCGAATTGACCTGCGATAAGTCATTATGCAATGCGACTGGAAACCTGCACGGAGGAGCGGTGGCACTTGCGTTCGACATGTGGTGAGTATCTCGGTATTAGCGCATAGGCGCATATGGGGAACAGCAGGCTGATCAAGTCAAGTACCTCGGTCACGGTCGCGCCGGTCGCGAAGGATGACTTCTGGGACACTGGTCACGTCTCACGGACGTTGAACTGCACGTACATACGACCAGCACCGGAAGGGACTGTCCTGCTTGTCGAGAGCGATATCGTCCATCTTGGGAAGTCGATGGGGATGATCCGTGGAGTTATGAGGCGGAAGGATAACGGGCTTGTCTGCTATACATGCGAGCATGGAAAGGCACGAGTTATTCGGCCGAAGCCGAGTTTGTAAATGGGTGGAAGAGGCTCTGGAATCTGGATATCAGTCTAGATGGCGCTGAATAGAGATGTATACATGGCGTATCTGGAATAGATAGCGGCTTATCCAAGCGGGGGTTGCCAGATGGGGGTGATAGATACAAGAAGATATACTATTCGGATACCTTGCTGAAGAGATGGCCATAATGAATAAGTTATGCGTTAGAATAAATTGTGTGCAAGGCAGACAATTGCAATTCCGTTCAGTTCTCTTAGCTATCTTGCTAGCATTCTAGCAGTCTAGCTGTCTCACTCTAGCTGTCTAGCAATGCGAATCGGCGCACGGACCATCGGTTTGGACATGGAAGTTGGAACAGGTCATTCCATAACATCGACTTACTGACAGCACATTATTGTAGCTGTAAGCTCCCCGATACACAATCGCGGTGACATCACGTCTGGACATCGGGCCTACACCCACTCCTCTAGATTATTATCAGTTTCCTCGGCAGAATTACAAACATGGATCTTGGGCATGATGATTCTCCTTGGGGCGGTAGGAGATCCCTTTTCGGCTTTCCATCAACCTCCACTAAACCAGTAGCAGATGAGCCTCCTCGATCAACTTCAAGTCAGAGTATCCCCAAGACTAGCGAAGATAGCACTCAAAGCCTTGGTAACCAATTCCGGAGACTCCGACTACTATATAATGGATCGTTAATCCGTCCCAGAATCATCCACCGCAACCACCACATCTACCGACGATGCTGCCCCTCGCTCAGGCAGAAGCCGTGGTCATCGACCCGTCAAGCGATTCGGAACACAACCAACACGCTTAGAAGCTATTGATGATGCTTCAGATCCGCTTGGCCCATTAGGTGACAGTTTCGTCGCGCCTGAAGCTGAGGGCCCTCCCGCGCCGCCTCTCAAAGAACAATCCAGTGCAGCCACTCCGGTGCGCCCTGCCCCTAAAGCAACCGTCCCGAGCTCTTCGGCGACATCATCTGTCCGCGGAATGATGGAGTCCGTCAATCTGGATGACGAGGTTGAAGAAGACATATCCTCTAGAGCTGGAGCGAGAATACCCCCGCCGGTGCAACCGGCAGAGGCTACTACCGGCCTAAGGCGACAGGTTCAGCCGAGCGTGAGTGTCTCGGAGGCGGCGAAGCCAAGTTTCTACATCATAGTAGGAGATCCGCACAAAGTAGGGGATCTTACGAGCTCGCATACTGTGTATCAAGTCCGGACGAAAGTATGGATCGTGTATGAAATCTGTGACAAACGGGAGAAAGCTAACAATGCGGCAGACGACCTCAAAGGCCTACCGTAACCCGGAATTCGAAGTCTCACGACGATACCGAGACTTTCTATGGCTCTACACCCAATTACATAACAACAGCCCAGGTATCGTTGTGCCTCCGCCACCGGAGAAGCAAGCATTGAATCGTTTCGACGTCAATTTCGTTGAATCCAGGCGACAGGCGTTGGAGCGAATGCTGAACAAGATTGCTGCACATCCGATCTTGCAGCACGATGGGGACCTCAAGCTGTTCCTTGAAAGCGAGTCTTTTACTGTCGACATCAAACACAAGGAGCGAAAAGACCCTGGTCTTGGCGAAAGCAAAGGTGTCATGGCATCGATTGGTTTCTCTGTTGGCAGTGGCAGCAAGTTCATTGAACATGACGATGTATGCCCTCTCTCGCCCACCGTCTGATTCCGAACCGTACAACAATACTGATTTGTTTCCTTAGTGGTTCCACGACCGCAAAGTCTACCTCGATGCTCTCGAAAACCAACTCCGTGCTCTTCAGAAAACCACTGATATCGTTGTTGGCCAACGCCGGACCCTCGCCGAAGCCTGCCTCGAATTTTCCACCTCCCTCTCCTCCCTCTCTGCGGTCGAGCTATCCCCGTCTCTCTCGGGCCCATTGGCCGCCCTTTCCGACGTGCAAATGCGCATCCGCGAACTCTGCGACCGACAAGCGCAGCAGGATATGCTGACGCTCGGAATCGTAATTGACGAGTACATCCGTCTGATCGGTAGTGTGAAGATGGCATTCGGACAGCGGCAAAAGGCGTACCACACATGGCACGCGGCGGAGAGCGAGCTGCAAAAGCGGCGGCAGAGCCAAGAGAAATTGCTGAGGCAGGGGCGGAGTCAGCAGGACAAGATCACGCAGTTGCAGGCGGAAGTGGCGGACGTCGAGCGGAAGGTGCACCAAGCGCGGCTGCTGTTCGAGGACATGGGCCGGCTGATGCGGGCAGAGTTAGAGAAGTTTGAGCGGGAGAAGGTGGAGGATTTCAAGAGCGGAGTAGAGACATATTTGGAAAGCGCGGTGGAGGCCCAGAAAGAGGTAGGCACAAAATCCCCCTGCCCCTTCTTTCCCTCCAGTCAATCCCGCTGGTTACTAATCACCCAATGCCAATGTGCCTCCGCTGACATCGTTCTAGTTGATCGAGATATGGGAGACTTATCTCATGCAACTCGACGCTGATGATGATGGAGTTCCTTTCGGCCACCCCGGCGTCCCTGCCGGCATCGTCGCAGAGCCACCAAAACCAACATCGAGTAGCGATGACCGACCGCAGAGCAAGGACACGGTAAGCAGTGAGGGGGACGAGACTATCTCCGCTGCGGCGCCCGTGGCTGTCGATGACCCTCATGTGTAAGAATTGTTAGCCAACAAAGATTTAGTGCATCGTGGTTTGATTTCATTCGAATCGCATCCTAGCGCCAGCACATACTTTTATCATTCTTGTATTTCCCCTGTGATTTTCCGAGCGAAGTCGGATTGCAGACCTGATGACCAAAATTGAAATCGTGATGATCGTTGTTAACGTTACCATGCTTTGCCCCACCGGTTACTCCTAATTTCTTGGACTCACAAAGAGAATTCCCCGATACTTTCCACAGTGAAGCATCCAAAATAACACCGACATTATATAGAGGAAGATCTGCAGAGTAGCAATTGCAGCGGAAACGTCATTTCAAGTCCACAGCTTGCCCTTACAGGCCATGAAGCCACAGCTAGAGCCCTCTTCATCTGCATCTTCCAACGTGCCCGGATGTCCGAACGGCTTCCTCAACAGCTCGACAACTCGCGCTGCCACCGTTCCCAAATCCAACACCCTCTGTTCTGCACCACCACCATTTCTAGTGGGAGGCTTGATGTCGCGCCATAGCAGCACAAGCTCTGCGTGCAACGGCTTCGCGTAATCGACGTAGCATCCCGCTACGTGGCCCGGATCCGACTCGCGCGCTTCACCAAGCGCCTGGATACATGCGAATGCACGCTCGAGGGCATCATCGATTCTTTGGTCTGGGGCGTTACGCGCGAGAACGCCGTCCGTCATGCCACTAGTAACATCGGTCGTGTCAATGGAGCGGGACTTCTCCTGTACATTTAAAGTGACGTCCCCGAGGATTGGGTTCCACTTCCCTGCTGCGAAGCCATACAGATTGCTCGACGCCGAGCTGTAAGAGACGAGGATCAACATGGTCTGCGCTGCTTCGTGCAACAGGACGGTGCAGGCAGAGTATGTTTGGCTCATGCAAAGCCAGAAGTGGCGAAAAGGGGTTCGTTGCCAAGCCAAGAGATTGTTTACGCGGACGAGCTGGTGGGCACCAAGGATCGCGCGGTTGTATGCTTCGTTGAGAACGGTTTGGTCCATGGCTGTCAAATCGAGGCGAGGACTGGTGATGGCACTGCATTCGCCGAAGGCCTCTGAGCCGGGACTAACGGGAGACGCGCGGGAATGGGGTGATCGGTCAGCTAAAGCGACAAGAAGCGGCTTATGAACGAGAATCATGCTGGAGAGATAGAGCATATGAACGAAAAGGAGGGTAACATCTTCCTGCTCCGGGTTTTCCGGATCCCGTGTATGGATCATGTTGCCGAGTCTTTTGGTCTCCGGAAGGGACGAGGGCCATTCATCGAGGCGACGATAAAGTTCTTGTACCGCACTGAATCTCGGCTGCTCTTCAACATACATAGCTCGGTACACATCAGCAGTCAAAACCCCGATGCTGGCCATTTGCGCGTGAAAATTGGTTGCTCTGGTTGTCACGCAGGAGTCGACATCAACACTGGCTATCTCGTGCCGAGTCAGTTCGGAGGGATAACCAACAGTGGAAGAAAACCAGGATTCGAGGCAAATGAGACTGCAGTAGAGCTGTGTATACTCCGCATATTCGACAGGACTGAGCTTGTCGGTGGCTTGACCATGCACATTCGCACAGCCAACCCATCTTGCCAACGCTAAGCCTGACTGGATATCCATGCGGACACCCAGTCGCTTCTCCGAGAAGTTGTAGAGTGCCTGCAGGGCGAACGCTCGCATTCCACGGATCGGGTGTGATTCGATGCTCTGGTCTTTATGAACCCGAGCCGTGCGAATCAACTTCTCCCGAATGACTAGCGGTAACGGTTCTGGCACATAGCCTCCCCCCAGAGCAGCCAACCCACAGATCTCGCCCAGGTCAGCAATGAAGATCGGCGAGCCTGCGTCGAATACATACTCAATCATCGCCTGGCAGGTTCGCTCCTCCATGACATAGAAAAGTGAGGAAAGACTACTATAGAACCCGGCAATAGAGGTCTCGATGACAGATCGAGGTGGAAGATTCTCAATACTGTACAACTCCAACTCGAACAAAGATGTTTCCAGGTCAGTAGAGCTAATTGACGAGGAAGACTTGGCTTCCAGATTATGGATTCCAGAATCCGTGTATGACTGGAGGGAGACACCTATCGGCAAGTCCATCGATGTCGAGATAGGGTCAGAGGCGGATGTTGTGTCACGACGCAGCTCCTGAAGTTGTTGTAATGCTTCTTCGTAGGAGGCGGTTTTAAGGATGTCCACCAAGGCCTCGAGATTGTTGACTTTGGATTGCACACGTTCGAACTCCTTCTGGGAGATTGATAGCCGCTTTCCCTCGTGATATCGGTAGGTGCAGGTAATTTGTCTTTGGACACAGTTCGCGCATCCATTTTTATCGCCATTGCACTATTTCAAGGGGTGAGCGGGACTCTCTGCAGAGTATTCGCCAGCATGTTGGGAGGCAACCAAGACTCTTCGAAATGATATGAAACGACATAAAAGTTTAAAAGCTTAAACCTGAGCAAGAAAGCCAATGTAAAAAGAATCACCATAAATAAACAGTTGGCTAAGTTTTAGCTGGCATTAAAGGCAGTATGATGGGAGTGGTTCACTGACCCTTGCCTTCTTCTGGCGACACAGATCGCACGCGGCTTGACCTTTCGTCTTCTTTGGGACTTCGCGGGGCTGCAAGGGACCGTTTAAATTGTGGGTAGCCGTCGATACCGTAGGGTTGGATAGAGAGACTGCTGGAGCAATATGGGCTAGCCGATGACGATGTTGAGAAGACATAATGAAGCCAGCGTAATAATGGTGACATCGAAGAGCGAAGAGGCGCGGGAACCGCTGGGAAGCGGAGAAAATCCCGTCTGCGATCTACCAGTCAATGGCCTGCATTGCCAGCGGTCTTATATGGCGCCAAATTCGGTATGATTCAAAATGGTAAGCGCAAACAGTGGCATGCATACGACAGATGAAAGTTTCCAGTTGACTCAACGTTGGAAAATTATTGGATGGAGCGTGCTCCGCGCCAATCGCTATGTCCTACTTGTAGAACGTGACAAGGCTTGGAGTTCGACAAAGGAATTATAGTAGCGATGATACACTTAGATATACAGCCAAAGACTAATTTATCCAAGTACAACAGTGAAGTTTACTTTCGCGGCAGTGTAGTAATAGAAAGTAATAGCCACCAAATATCGGCTTAAATGTCTGAAAGGAACAGAAGCAGCTCGAGAGGGCAGCATGGGAGGGGTTGCTTGAGAAGGGAATCACTACTTCTGCGGGGAGTTGGATGAGACCCCATGCTGCATTGTGATACGGATTTCGCCATGTGAAGAGGCGGAGATCGAATCACCGAACTTGATGCTAGCAGTCGCTTGCTTCTGCTGGTGTAACCTAGGAGGGAGAAACCATACCATTTCTGCCGAGTTCTGACGGGCTGGGCTTCTCGTGTTGTTGAGAATGAGATGCAAGCCCCGCTACGAGGCTAGCACATCACATCCTAGGACCGAGCCGCAGGCAGCCAATGCAAGGTTATTTTCTGCTGTCGGGCTACATAGAACCGACCAGCGCATCGAACCCTATAAATCCATCAATGGCGTCTTCTAATCCTGCTCGCATATGCGTCGTGGCATTTGTTTGCTTGACACCGGGCGTCTGCGTCGTTGTTGATTGGGGCCGCTTCCATCCAGTAGCTTCATCTCCTGCGCGGCCTTGCACTGGATCACGATTTGGAGCTTCGGACCCAAAGATGCCGAGTCCTGCCAACATCATACAGTGTGAGAGCTAGGTCAGCGTGCAGTTACGTGTATCGCCGAGGTCGAGGTTACACAGAAGCAGCCGCTGGGTAGGTGAACTGCGTATATATTTTCGTGGCAATCAGTGCAGGTCACCCCATCGAGTCATCGAATCGACGGTTACGAGCTTCTGCATCTTGCGGGCTCACAACGAAAGGAAGTTTAACACCAAAAGGGGATCGTCGCCCCTTCTTTTGGCGAGTGACCCACCGCCTCTGATAAGCTTTGCGGAACATGCGAAAGATCGATCTTCGTAGCAGTATAATGAGTGTCCCTACGGTGATAGGACCTGCAATTATGAAGAACCACCTGTGAATTGATGAAGCGATTAGTTTCAAATTTTCAAAAATGGTCAGTAAACACGTAGGACACATAGGCGGTATTGTATAAAGAAACTTGGCGACTGAAAAGCGGTGTCTTCCTGGCTGCCGTAGGGTCCAGTATGAACTTTGCCAGCAATCTCACTGCCTCCGTTGCCCATGTCATTAAAGACGTGGCAACCGGATGGGATAGACTATGATGATTTGCGCAGGGAGTCATGCATTGTGCCTGCGCTAAAACCCTTGGCCCTTTCCATGATAGACGTGGAAAAGAAGGGAAACATTTGGAGGACTTACGAGTCGCTATGGTCCCTAATAGCCGGGAATTCTTCGAAATTCATTCCGAAGTAACCAACCAGGAACGTGAGAGGCATAAAGATTAGGTTTATGATGCTGTTGCAGTGTCGGTGAGCTGGTTGATTCTAAAGACGCTCAATGAGGTAGCGCGGGCTAGCTTACCTCAGACTTAAGACCGACTCATTCTGCTGACTCGTCATAGAGTTAAAGATGAAGTCGATCTGGGCTTCTGTGGAACGAGACATCTGCCTAATTCAAACGTTAGCCGTGCGTCGAACCAAGTGATATGGAGTTTTCTGGATGCTCCGCAACGTAGGAGGGATCAACCCACCTCAAACTTTGGGTGATAATGATAGAGTGGTCGTCAACGTCACCCAGATAAGTGTACGCCAAGGGGCTGATCTGGACGGAGGACGAAACATCCCCGTGTGACCTGCTAGCCGGGTTCGCGTCGTGGTCCTCCTTCTTGCCCACCGTGCCTATATAAGTAGTTAGACTTGCGCTATCTATAAACCCAGCTGACGGCCATACCTTGCAGCAGTTCGCGATGATCGCGAAGCGTGTTAATCAACGCGGAAATCGGATGTATGTTGTTGGCAAGCAGCACCAGCTCCGTTTGCAGTATGTACAAAGTCCTAGAGTGATCCATGTCCGGATCAATCAAGACGTCTAACTCCACCTCGGCCATCACATCCTCATATGCAGCCACGACCGCCATCGCAAGATCAGTGATTGCGTCGATCATAGCCTGCACAATCATACTTGCATCACAACTCCTCCGCAAGATAGTGTCGTCAGTCCGCAGACGTGGAAGGATGAGTTGCTCGATGTCGTCGGCGGAGTGTTCGAAAAATGATATGACCGTATTATCAGAACAAAGGAACATAGAAACTTGCTCTACGCTGACAGCAAGCTGCTTCTTCAAGAGCGGAGAATTTCGCTCCATATATAAGCTTCGTTTACTTGAGCCACCACGAAACCGTTGTAGGCTTCTGATGTCCATGAATCGTTTCGGTTCGGCTCGGACACTGTGTGCCCAGGTCGTATCCCCGAGCTTCTCGAGTGTTGGTCCACCATTATCGACGAGAATGCTGGAGTCATCATGGGCTTTTCTCCATAGACGTTTCCAATAACTTGGGCGTCGTTCGAGCATCTCTGAAAGGGAAACTTCGTCACCTTCTAGGTGGAGTGGGCCGAGTTTCACTAACTTTTGAAGGGTTAGGAGGACTGTAATCGTCAGGATCTGAAATCAATTTTGCCAAACGACAAACTGAGTATTATAAAGAGAACGTGGGACATCGATGTCTATGAAATTGGAATACAGGCGCTTCTAAGGAACAAAGAACTCTTTTCAGCAGTAGATGTCGTAGAGCGGGATCCTTTACCCTTCAGCGGAATAGTGACGGTGGTCAATGGAGGAAGCAAACATAAAGGGGAAGACTGCACCCCGAGTAGAAGGGACGTAGTAAAGAAGGCATATACATACCAAAGCAATGGTCAGAGTACCAATCGGTTTTGGTTCTTGAACCTCGTGTATTCATCAGATCTTCAATTGCCAGCCGATGCAACTTCTTATAGTTGCCTAGCATCTGGATGACATCCCAACTCAGCCCGTTTACGTTTATCCACCGACATTTCGTTTTCTCCGGTTGCTCCTCGAGCAGGAACTCCTCGAGTGTCTCATTTGTAAGCTCGGTCTCTACTATGACATCCTCGCTAAAATCCACAACCGTGATGCCACACTCCTGGTGGAGACCGATGTAATGAGGATGTGCGGTTCCATCCTTTGTATCGACACCCGGCTCTGCACCAGCGACTTCCCAGATCGGTCGAGTCGGAGAGTGATATTCGCGTATGGTGTTCGATCGTTCCGGTCGGCGACGGGATTGGATAGATGCGCGCGATGCATAGGACGTAGAACGAGCAAGCGGCTCCGGTTCAGCGACGGTCTGATGGCGCCGAGAGGCGGGCGTCGGCGTGAAAGGTATATGCGTGCTCCCGCCCGGGCTGGACTGCGCGCGAGCTCGATTTTCGGCGAAGGGCGACCGAAACTGAGGGGCTTGAGAGGCCCGACGCGGAGAAGTCGACGTGATGGGCGAGGTCGAGTTCGCCTGGAAATCCCGAACACTGGGTTCGCCCATTGCGTCCCACGACAACGGGAACACCCCCGATGGTTAAGGATAAGAACAATGGGTAAAAAGGTGGTGGGAGATGAGAAGAGGAAAAACAAGATCGCTCTAATAATACCCCTATGTTTTGATATTAAAAGGTGTGAAATGGGGACGTCATTTTCAGTAGGCCCCTTTTTCGTCCTATCTTAATGATGGGGCTGAAACGTTCTTCGGGAAAGTACAGCATAGGATGCCATCAGCACAGATAACGGTTTTACATATGAAGTTTTCATCAGAGTTCATCATTGGAGAGAGAGCCCAGGTGCTGGTACCGAACAATACATTCTTCACAGGATGTCGTAGAAACTAGAAGTTGTAGTTAGAAACCCGGGTCACTCGTCAAATTAACGTCATTTATCGGCACCATTAAACGTGGTTCATGCTGGGACGGGCCGAATCGCGGAATGAAGCATATTATAGTCCAGACTCCAGGCCGATTCGGTGCCGACTGCCGAGACTTCGGACTTTTATTACTTCGGACTTTTATTTCACTACGGAGTACTGATTTACTAATATCTCGAGTCCTCGACGGCAATATTTACGGCGACTACGGGCGACAGGCTACAGCCTGATGACCAAATACTGGAATAAGATCATCGGCTCGACAAGCTGGAGACTTGTAGGAGAGACAGGCCGGAATTAATGTTAGATCGAAGACTCGACACCATATCGAGTTTTTTTTTCTTATCACACAACACGACGCTTCTCTTCAACGAAAATCATTCCGAATTTCGAAAGGGCTTCGGCTTCAAATACACCTGCTGCTTTTCATTTCCGAACATTGTCTCGATTCCTAACTAGAGTACCACGGTTGACCTCGCAGCGTCCAATCTGTCCCTCAGCTTCTTTAACTTTACATGCTCCTTCAAATGGTGTATGAGTGCCCGGACACTAACAGTGTAATGCTCTCGACCAAGACACTGGCACTCAACGCACATGAACCACGCTCTGCGATCCTTTAAGGAAATCGATGCTCGAACATGGGTTCTTGCGACAGCAGTCCACCCCTCCTCGCTATGGTTCTGCTGCGGCAACTCGAGGTCCTTGAGCTCCAGGCCGCATTCTTCACAGCGAAACGATTCCCCATTCGGAAGCGTGGTAGCAACATCTAAAATTGATGCGTTTAGGTCTCGTTGAAGCCGAAGTGCTCCTGGGCAGTAAGGCGAGCCATGCATGCGTCGAAGGCTGGAGTGGTTGACAGGAGAACCGAGAAGAACAGTAGGAGTGATTTTCCACCTTCTTTGAACAAATTCGCTCAGCGCCGATTTTCCCTTCCTCATCTTCTCCTCCAGAGTGTCGTGGAGTTCGGATTCCCACTCTTGTTCCACCTCGGGATCGAAGACGACGCCCTGCTCGCCTTCGGCATTGTCAAGCCGCAAAGCTAGTTGGTCGATGAGTCTCTCGATATCGACACTGATCTGATTGAACCGTGCAATGCATTCGTCTGTGGTTTTGTTCAGTCTCCATTCTTCACTATCACCTTGGTTATAGTCGATTACTTACCGTCGCCTTTCGCAAACTCTTCTCCCAGCCGAAGGACCAGCTTATTGTACGGAGACTGGACACCTCGTGGTCCAGCATGCAATAGCTCGTGTAGCTGTTCGTCTGCATTAATCGCGAATCCGCGCTTGGTGCGATATTTCTCAAATAGCTTGCTACCTGATTTGATTTTCCTCGCGATGTCGGGAAGCTGACTTTTCAGCTGCAAGTCAGCCATATAGTACCGGCGCCAACAACAGTCCAATATAATTTCTTATTGTGCTGCAAAAGAATTGTTCCTCATAGTCTTTGAATGCCGCTGCTGCACGATTGGTCTGGGGCAACTTGTGTTCATTTAGAATGGTCAACCGGGTCTATTTGGACTTCTACAGCTACATGCATTTCCCTACATCTTTCCTATTCCATCTTAAACGATTTCCATGTTAACCTTCAAGGGTGTGACCTCACAGTGTCAAGAATGTGGTTGGTGGTTGCTGGTGTTGCCTAGCCGCGTCACCAAGTTCGCAATCCATCCAGTCGTATCGCGGCCGCCAATCGCCACCGGCGTCTAGAAATCATACGAAAGCGCTCTGATACACATGTCTTAATGATGTACACGCAATTATTATTCGCGTTGCATACGATATTGATGCTTTTGGACACCGTGTCTTTATTATATGGCTCTAGGCTCCAGGCAATCGATGAGTTTGTCGCTTGGCCTTGGGGAAATATGAGGCTCAGAGACATGGGCAGCATATGAAAATTTGCCTTCGTCTACGCGTCAAATGTCCTCGTAATGGTTTTGATTTCTGGATGGGCTCTTTTAAAATTTCGTATTTCATCTCCATTTTCGAGTTCTTTGAACTTCCTGTGAATACCTTGACAACTGACCTTTGACTCTGAATTATATCTGGCCCATACTATATCCTTCAAATCTTTCCCTGAGACTCGCACACTGACCGAATATGCCAACGGTTAATCAGAATAGGAGCGGTTATCCAGGGCATGTCAGGTCCCCTGGGAGTCCTCTTCAGGCCAACGCCGCCACGTCGGAGTTTCTGTCAAGCCCTATTTTGACTCCTCCGCATGGAGGATCCGACGGCTGGGAAGACTTGGGCTCTGCAATCGAACTACAAGACGATCGTGAGACCCAGTTTTTGAACGTCGTCGATGACATACGCTCCCATGACCTCAATCGTGAATTGAGCCTTCCACAACTCGTCGTGTGTGGCTCCCAATCAAGCGGCAAGAGTTCGGTCCTTGAGGCTATTACTCGAGTCCCGTTTCCACGAGGCGATACAACATGCACTCGTTTCGTCACCGAGATCCGCCTGCTGCGCGACAATGTTCGCTCGGTGAACGTCAGCATCATCCCTGATAGCTCACGCAGTCCCGCCAACCAAGCCGCCCTTAGTGGCTTCAACATGTCTCGACCTTCGCATCGGTTGGAAGAGCTGATGAAGGAAGCATCGCGTGCCATGGGGTTCACCGACAATCCAGCATCGAGTGGCCTTAAGTTCTCAAAAGACATCCTTCGAGTGGAAATCCGTGGACCGACCAACCAACGACTAACTATCGTTGATCTTCCTGGCCTCATCCAAGTTGACCGCCGAGATCGAGATGGAGAAGTGCTGATGGTCGACGAACTTACGGATCGCTACATTCAGGACCCGCAGTCCATCATCCTCGCCATTCTCAATGCCGACGACAACTTCCAGAAGCATCGCATCTTGCAGAAAGCTCGTGACGTGGACCCGGAAGGCCGACGAACTTTTGGCATCATCACCAAGCCGGACCGCACCGAACCAGGCATGGACAACGAAGCTGAGTGGATCCGAATTGTTCAGGGCCGAAATGAGGATGTCCAGTTCCAGCAAGGATGTCACGTCTTAGTCAATCGTACCGCCATTGAAGTCGTCAGCAACACTTCATCAGAGGAGAGAGACCGCAAAGAAGAGGCATTCTTTAAAGAAGAACGATACTCCCAAGGCGAGCATGCGGGCAAACCAAATCGTTGGCATGTGCTGCACCGAGTGGATAGATGGGGAGTTAAGCATTTGCGGAACAGGCTTAAAACCGTCTTGTTCAAGCACACGCTCGACCAAATGCCTCGTCTCAAGAAGGACATCAAGCAAAAGCTCGCTGGTTACGATGACGAGTTGAAGGCGGTATCGAACGGACTCAAGGACCCCCATGAGATGAAGCGAATACTAAGCGACATTAGCATGGAGATGTCAATCATCACCGAACACGGCGCAAAAGGTACATACAATGAGCATGAATTCTTTCAGCTGTCCGAGGCTGAGCGCGGCCGTTATCTCCGCGCCAAGATTCGCTCCGAAGAGCGAAACTTCTTTGACGAGCTCAAACAGCATGGCCATAACATGGAATATGCCTGGACCCCCAACGGCATCGTCCCTTCTGACGGGACCGAATGGGTCCAGAAATTCTACGATGTCCTGGTCAAAACTCAGGGCGCGGAACTTCCCGGTTACTTCGACCCGCAGCGCATCAACCTCCTCTTCGTGGACTATTCGAACCCATGGAAGGATATTGCAGAGGATTATGTCGAGCGGGCCTTCGAGCACTGCCGGACCTTCCTTCTCGAGGTCCTTGCATTCAAATTGAATAGCCAGTTCCCTGCGCTGAGTTCCCGCTTCTGGGCGCATGTCCTCGAAGACCGTCTCGATGAGCGAAAAGGCTGCGCGGTAGAGGAACTTGGCAAGCTGGAGGTCGATCGACTTGGAACTGTCATCACTGAGAACGAGAGGTTTTGGCAAGAGAGCAGTCGCACGTACGCCAGCCGAATGTTCCGAAAAATCAACACTGCTCAAGACCTCATCCCGACTGAAGAGCACGAGCCTGCCCTGAGCATCATCGGAAATACGCCGGAGTTGACAGCTCAAGCGCTAGGAATGGGGGATGAGGAAAGCCTCCGCAGAGATACGGCGGTGAAGATGATTCAAGATATGCTAATTTACTATAATGTAAGGCTGAACTCACAATTTTCACACTACTTGCTAACAATACTGTAGATCTCACGGGATAGATTCATCGACAATGTCCTCATTCAAGTGGTCGAGCGACATCTGCTCGTGGGTTTGAGAAAGGTGTTCCAGCTGGACTGGATAGATGATGACGCCCTGTTTGAACAAGTCTACCATGATCCGGATCACGAGACCAATTTGCGGAAGAAGCGAATATTGGGGGAGAGGAGGAAGAATTTGAGGAACTGCTTGGCTAGTTTCGAGGTATTGACCCGTAGCTGAAGCGACCTTTACTGTCATTTATTACTCATCCCGTTATCAGAGGCCTCGGATAGTTCGAACACCTTTTAGGAACCCTATTAGATAGCCATTCTCCAACCCTTACTGCTTATATGGATTTCTGTTATCGTGAGCCCCTAGAAACGTCTCGGCTTGATACACACCTTCAGGGAGACCCTTTTCATTTGGCTTTATTCGGGATGTACTGTAAGTCGATCCGTATACATCAAACTCGCAGTCCCAGGAATATTTTTACATCTTCATGGGACGTCTGATAGAGAGTGCTCCGCTGAATCCTGTGTAATAACTCGAAGTAATAATTAGAGGTGAGTCTGCCCCTGAACTGAAATGACTGAGCTGCACTCAAGCTGGCTGCTTGTTTCGTGTTTCTGTTTGGCGCCTAAGGCACCAAGGCGTAGAAATCCTCTGCTTCCCAACAACCCACACCATCGTCGGTTTGGACTTCCCACTATCAAAAATGCACCAAGGAATGAATTTCTTCGCAATCTCGATTAATATTATGGGCAAAAAAGACAAAAAGAAATGCACTAACCCGGAATCGAACCGGGGCCGCGTCGATGGCAACGACACATTCTACCACTAGACCATTAGTGCAGTTGTTAAAGGCGCTTGTCGTTGTCGACAGACGCCTGCGATATAGGATAATCTCACAGTTTAGATCATGAAATCATTTTGCTCCTTGCAACCAATATACCCGCGACACTACTTCGGTAAACAGTGGTCGGATGGAAATCCACCTCCAAACGCTAATTAGCAGCTCTTCAATTGCAGCCTTTTTAGTTTCGTCACCCTATAATAATTCGACTAGCGGTGATGGCGGAGGAAGGATGAAGCGGAAAATATCGCTCCTGCGAGTTCAACAAAATCGGCCCAAATCATCAAATATCAATAGATTGTTCTTCTAAGACAAATACTCTTCACCACACTTTCGATACATTATATAATTGACCTAGCTCAATTCAAGCTTTGGTGGTGAGTCACTGAGTCCAAAACATTCACAGCACGGGCATGGCCTTAACATGGAACGTAGAACTTTCGAACGCTATGGTCGAAGGTTACAAATCGCCAGCTAGGATATCTCGACCTTTAGACAGTCTCCATATAGCCCCTTACATATCCTTGGCGTACGGTGTTGAAGCCCGCGGAACCAACAGCGGCTGTGTCTGCGTCTGCGTCTGTGTCTGCGTCTGTGGTTGCGGCTGCGTCTCGTTCAACTAGTACGTGTTGGCCCCCGTCGACTTGTCGTTCTCGCCATTCCGATTGTAAGCGGCGCTCGTATTCTACGTCCCATTTTCCCTGTATGGGGCGCCGCTGCGGCAGTGCTTATGAAGGTAGACACTGTACACGATGAGGGTGATGATGGGAAGCAGCCTATGCGAATTGTGAGAAGAGATTGCGGATCGGAATATATCACGTTTTAACTATAGCAACTGGCCATGGAGACTTAGAAACCTGGATTGCATTGGGGTCTGGCCATTTGTCCGCAATGACTTTGGTGTTGTACTTTCGACTGTCCATCCCAGCCCTCTATGTGCATCTGCACAAAGGCAATATTTGTAGACATGATGATTCTGATTGTGAGCGGCGTGGGTTGCAATTCTGGCGTTGGGCTGCGATTGGACACATTGATCGGTTAGTAAATAGGGGTTCTGGACATTGCTTCGAGTCGTCTGATGAGACAATTAGTGAATTGTTGATTATGGGATGTGTTTGTTTCTATTCTTTCTCATACATCGAATATTTCCGTGGCTGCCCGCAGTCCATCCAATCCAGCCTGGTAGAGCTTTGGACAGCATGATTGCCAAGGTTAAGAATGGCCGGGCACATTCATGGCGCTTTCGCTCCTGGAATGATCTAGACAAACTTCGCATCCGCATCCTCTTCTTTCCATTGAGTCTCGACCTTCCGTTCTTCACATTATGGAGGTACCCTATTTTTGGTTCAGTTGGACCTGATTTTTGGATTTGAGTCTTTGAAGTTTTGAAATTTTGTGACAATGATTGGATCAATACGCCAGCCTATTTGTGCGCATTCCAGAATCTTCTGTTCCTTTCCTTCATCCCCACGATTCAAGGCTGACAGTAGAAAAAGACCTCGTTCGTGCCTTCGTTAGCTTCAATGAAGGCCGGATGTGGCTTGTGAGGTCGGTCCGCGGCGGTACCTTCATAGTCGGGTACTTGTGCGCTGTGATATTCCTAGTTGTAGAGATAAGGACATCCTAGTAAAGGAGTGGAGAAACTGAACGTCATGAAGAACATATTTCATTGTACAAGCGCCACTGCAGTTTGTGCCCACGTTCGAAGAGACAAGTCATCCGTACAAAACGCTTCAAATTGATATACAACACTTCTGAGAAGGAGTATGTCGGACCACCTTAAACCATGGTGGGGTAATGGTAGTCATGTGCTCCATCAGGCTGTGATGATAGAATATGGTCAACGGAGGGGCTCGAGCCACTCGTTGACTTCATCGAAAAGGCGTGCGTTCTCGACGAGACGTCCGGCAGTCTTAATGCCTTTGTAAACCTGATTACTAGTTAATATCGCAACAACTATTGCAGGTCCAAAAGAGAACTTCGGGGAACATACTGCATCCCATAACACGAAAGCTTTGTCGATGTTTTTCGCGAATTCAACGCTGTGTGGGAACCACTCGGTCGCGCCTCGCTCTTTCACCGACTCCTTGACCTCCGCTGAGCTGCGGTCGGATGCTCCAACGAGCTCGTCAAGGTACGATTTGACGGCGATCCCAAGTCCGCAGTCGTTGGAAAGGAGGAAGGGCAGCTCCAGGCCTAGGTCCGTAAAGTCAGATCGATCCCGCTCAGCACCGCCGCTTAGGAAAAACTGGGTTATGGTGACTTCCATCAGGTCTCGTAAACTGCCTCGGACAGTATTGATCATGGACTGGTAGCCTAAAAGGTGTTTGCTTAGTGGTCCCGTGAAACCGATGGTGTTGTGTTCCAGCTTGCCAAGACAGGCGACGCGAGAGATAAGGAGCGTATTTCGTCGATCCGTATCGGAGCCGCGGAAGGGTGCACCGCTGTACGTAGGGAACATGTTTTCCGCGTCGAGTAAGCCTAGGCGCGCGAGTTCAATTGCGACAACAGCAGCTTCTTCCAATCCTGGATGACTGGCGAGGGTTTCCAGCATGGTGCAAAGAGCTTCGCCCCATTTGGTCAATTTGTGTGAGGAAGGATCGACATAGCCGCGAAGTTGGAGGAAGCGCCAAAGGCAGTTGTATATTATCTCATCCTTGTCTGTGAGAGGCTTCTTATCAGCCTTTCCGGTGGTCGATGAAGCAAACGAGTGATCCTTCAACACTAAGACTGCTCGACTCAAGGAGCCATTGCCCTGCTTGCCGATTAGACTTTCCATAACGTTCTGATTAAAACGGAGAAGGAAATACCTTGAATTTCTCAAATGCATCGGCAAAAGAAGGCGTCTTGAGTGACCAGGCGATCACGGTAGGCGCATAGTCCGTTGTGTCACGGATGGAAATTGTTCGCAAATTATCCTTCTCAAACCAACACCGGAATGTAAGGTCTCTATACTGGTAGAAACGAGCCAAAGAACGCGAGAGGAGCGACAATGTTGTTGTGCGAACCTCTCTCAACTTCTCTGACACCAAGCTTCGATACTCTTCGGACTCCCCTCCATCAAGCGGTGGCAGTTCGATGATCTCCCCCGATGTCAGCCAATTGAGTACGCGCGGTCCAATCATGCCTTTGGAGAGATAGAGATAGAGTTCATCAGGCAATCGTTGGCCGATGAACTCGTGGACATCGTTCGGAACATTATGCGCGTCAAGAGGCTCGACTTTCCCTTCTACCGTGAGGACAATATGGTGCTTGACCGCAAGCTTGCTACGGCGGAATCGGTCTATGTAGTTTGTTGCTCGCATTTGTGGCGCGTCCTCGTGTTGCAGGCAAACCGCGTTTCCGGATCGAGTGAATTCGGATACAGACATTAAGTCCACCGCAGCTTTGAGTTTTGGTTGCTTGCGATTCGCGCCATTCTCGAGGAGGGGGAGGGTCAGAGACAGCTTCGAGCCAGCGAGGAGGCAAGCATCGACGAACATATCCGGGGAGATGTTCCCGAGTTCTGCGAAACAGGCACGTCGCTTAACCCATGTAAACTCTTCTTTGTTGTTGTCCCAGTTGGTGATGACGGAATCAACGTCGAAGAGAAGCAGCTCAGACGAGCCCATGACCGCGTCAATGAAACGTCGAGGGTGGCGCTCGAGATAAGCAAGCTTCGAAGTCTGTTAACAGAGATCAGGGATCGAAATGGAGAGCCCGTACCTGTGCCCATGAGGAATATGGTGCAACCTGAAACTTGACGCCCTCCTCTTTCAGGATGGCTTGCAAATATCTGAACATATCTTCCGCCTTGACGGAGCCTGCGGTCATTAGCACCTGTAGTCTTTCCCTGACGCCAATTCGCGCTCATACCCGACTTTCCAAACGTTTCCACAGCTCTCTCCGGTTCCTGGTGGTTATATAACTCCCACGCCTCCGTATTGACGCTTGACGCCTTCTCAGGTTCCTCAAAAGGGCGGGTGTTTTTTCCAATATTGAGTCCGCTAAAAACAAAGAGCGGAGTGATATCCAGGTCGCGGAATCGACGAATGTTGTTCTTGACGGTAACCTCCATGGTAAACGGATGGCCTGCTAAGGCGGAGAGAAGCGGTTCGCGGGTCGGAGGAGTGTTCATCATGCGGGTCAGGTAGTCGGCCGCCTCAATGGCTAGGACAGCACCACGGAGATCTTCCTGAGGTCGCGTGTCCGCGAAGCTCGCGCTCCATTCGTCAAATCCTTGAATCATGGTGATCCAGGATGCGAGGTCTCGCTACTAGTACCTAAGAATGGAATAGCACCTAGTAGAGTATCCAATAGGAAAGGAAATATAGACCACGAGGCGGGGGAGCGGGGGTAAATGTGAGAGTAAAGTGAGTGGCTTTGTGGGTTGAGATGTTTTGTAAAGCTTCAACATGAAGTTCAAACCGTCTGTTCAGTTGCAGTCTGGAACCGGAATGAGTGATCGCCAGGAACATCTGAGGCTGTAAGGCATACCACAAGCTAAGCTGCTAGGCTTGGCAAGTGCATGTGACAGGGTTTACAGCTTACTAGAGCACTAATTGGTTGCGCTTACCTCAGCAAGCTCAGGCTATTTCTCAGGGGAGTCTAACCTTTTTTGTAAAAGGTCACGTTACTTTAACTACTCCTCTGGTAAATAGCCTGAGGATTCTGTCAATGACGCGCACTGCTCTGCATAAATTTTGTATGTGGTTTGTATGTATCTCTGTGGATTTGACAAAATCACGATCCATTAATAACCACATCAAAACACGTCGTATGTACTCCAAAATCTGATCGATTGTGTATTAAAGTATTCTCTATCTCGTAATTGATTTTTTTTTACATGTCCATGCTTGTGTCGGGTGAAAAACGCTAATATGTGATGAACTAGACCACACCGAAATCACCATCCAGCCATCGTTCCGGAGCTTACGGTCGAATGAGCCTGGAAAACACCCATTGGATGTCATATAACGCCTTTCTCGGTCGGTATTCACACGAATATCTATTATTGAACACATTTTGTGTTCATATTTCCCATGCGAAGCAAGGCGAGCGTTCGAAACGGGCGACGAGAGACTGTGGACATCGCCAGAGATCTCGTCCACGATGCCTATAGCACTACGAGTATGCTAGCTATACAGCGGCTGGTCGAAATTGCAAGAGACGTGCCCGAGGAAGTGCAGAAGGTCATCATCCGAGCAGGCCTAGACCGCCATCTCTACCCATTCGAGCCTCGTTAGAAGCAGGTAGATGTTATATGGCATTTAGTATTCAAGTAGGAGGACCTTCCTCTTGTAGCGAAGATATCTTTTGGTAAAAGTGTCATATTCCAGGTAACGCTATTGCTTTGTCGCGGTGGCATCGGCTTCATCCTTATCCCTTTGGATCGAATTAGACAGGAGTATATCGACGGACCGTCCCCTAGTTATAATCGGTCGACGTCTATATACTAAGAGGCGATAAGGATGCCTTTGTTTATTCTGCCACGGTTTCGAGATATCTGTGGGCCCTCTTGTAGCCTTTATAAACCCCAAGCTGGTGAAGAATATCGAGGACACGCCGTTTCACACCATTTGAATGCAGAAAGGCGTCAAATACGCGGGGAAACCTATTGCTCCCTTCCGACCCCCGAGAATAGCAGAGAATTAACGTGACTATCGCAATCCTGTGGTTAAACTTAACAGGATCCCGTGGTAGTCGATCTTTTCTCATCTTAGGTGTCATAAGACTATTAAGCAATCTACATAGAAGAGGAGCACGAGTGCTAACTTGCTCGTATATCTGCCTAGACAGTATGTCGCCTAGTATACACTCGTAGTCCTCGATTTTCTAACCCTCTAACTGTTTCCCCCTCCCTACGCCGGTAGGTAAAGTCTTCTCCTAGATGCAGTCGACTTAGTAGGCACTAAACATATCTACGGCTTCTTCTAGTGCCTTCATTTCCTTCCTTAGACCCTTTATAGTGATAGTTCCTGCCGCACTAGACGCGGGATTCTTATAGTGCGTCTAAGACCTCTGGGCTCTGGCTAACCGTAGACAGCCTCAGCGAGCTATTTGGCTCGCGTGACAGAGCACTCTCTATAACCACCCAACCCTTAAGTCGTCGCGTAGATGTAGATAAATTCTCAAAATTTAATGCTCTTTTCTTCATGAATTGACATATCTCATTTATTCTCTGTGGCTTACTGCGTCTTTGAGACCCTCTTACTTTCTGATGTGGTGCATTAGATGTGTTTGACGCAGCACTATGCTGAGGACTTGGAGCAAGTAGCAAAGTGGGCGAGTTCAACCGCGCGCTCTGACGACGCTGGTTTCAGGCCGACATGACCCAAAATTCAATCAATTATGGAGAAAAAGCAGGGGAATCGAATGGTTATATTTAATTGACGGAGCACAGTGTGGTTGTGGAAGAAAATGGAGTTAAAAATGGTCTTCCATTTGGTATGAAAGCTCTCCACACACACCCAAAACCCATTGACAGAATCCTCAGGCTATTTGTTCGAGGAGTGCATGTGACTTACCGATTAGGTATAGTCCCACTCCGGTGCCTTGGCACGACCACAAATAGCCTGAGCTTGCTGAGGTAAGGTTGCGCGGCTGTTTCAGTATCTTATCATCACGTGACCATAATTCGTTCTAGCCTTGCTGTTGGCTAGCGCCTCAGGGCATCAAGAATTCAAGATACAACATCAAGAGGACTTTCGATATCGATATCTATATTCACGTCAATTCTCCCAGCTTACACAGTGCACCATATAGTGGGCAGGGAGTGAAGTGTCTATGAGAATATCAATCCTTTCAAGACGAGCGAAAGAGTGAGAGCCTAACAGCTGGTCAGAGCTTGATTGTTGGACATTGACGCGTTTCATCACGAAGTTTGCCATTTTCGTTGGCATCCCCGTTTCCGAGTTACTATCGTGTAACTCTTTTCTCCGAGTCACAACCATGGCCCAAGGCATTCTAGTTGCCCCAGGGCAAGTCCTAGGAAACCCAAAGACAGAAAAAGCTGGGCCAAACACCCATATACAAAATGGGCAAATTTGCGCCTCTGTTTTCGGTCTGGCAGATCACAACCAAGCACCAACTCAAGATACCAACAGTACTCCGGTGAAGACCACGGCGAAGACCACAGATCGTGCGACGGTCTCTGTAACGACCACGACCTCATCCATCAACCCCATTTCGCCAACAATCAACTCCATCGTTCTGGCCCGAGTCACTCGTCTGACCCTTAAGCAAGCGACCGTTTCGATCTTGGCCATCTCACCCTCGGACTCCGCAGCCTCCTCCTCCCTCGCCGTCTGCACAACCCCTTTTAACGGGCAAATACGACTTCAGGATATCCGCGCCACCGAGAAGGACAAAGTGAAGATGCTGCAATCTTTCCGCGTCGGCGATATTGTCCGCGCAATTGTTATTAGTCTGGGAGATCAGGCTGCGTACTATCTAAGTACAGCTCGAAATGACTTGGGCGTGGTCATGGCATGGGCAGATGATGGGGAGCAGCTGGTTCCAGTCAGCTGGAAAGAGATGGAAGGCATGACTACAGGAAAGCGAGAGGACCGAAAAGTGGCGAAGCCCATCTGAGCTCGCATTTTTCAGTTGTTGTCTGTTCACCAAACTCCAGCGGTCACTGTTTCGGAGAAGCCGGCGTAAGCGAGCGCGAAGAATGTTCGGTACAAAAGTCGATGGAAATGACCCTAAATTGGTCATGCTTCCGAGCCAAACAAGTTGACCTGTGTCGAATCAATACCACGGAGCTGGAGAAAACTCCATACCTTAGCCATGCCAGGATAAATACGAAAACGACGACATGGCGCGGGACTCACTGAGCCAGCAGCACCGCCTGCCTCTCAGCCTAGATTCTATGATTACGCGGCTCAAGCAATCGGGCATTCAGCCAGCGCACACGGAGCAACCAAAAGAGGTTAGTTCTGAACAAGAACCCAATGGGACGTACATTGAGCAGGAGGAAGATATGGCAGATCGGTATGGCCACGAGCTAGGTGTGGACGTGGTGAAATATCAAATTTAACATCAAGGCGAGCATAACGTTTGCCATGCAGTGTTCCTTGCCTATCTGGAGTCCAAAGTTTCCGTCAGTCACGAGGTGACTCCAAACTTTTGGTCTGCTAGGCGTTCTTATTTCGACACGAGTTGGCAGACAATGATAATCGGAGTGGGAGTATCGCAATACTCGCAATACTCGGCTAGAAGATTTTTTAGAACAGCACCGAGCAATCCATCGCTGGTTTAAGAGATCAAGGCTCGCCTTACCAAGTCATCTCTTCATTTTGATTGGTTGATACACAGCTCCCTATCCTTTGCGACCAATCTTGGGTTTCCCTCCTTTGGTTAGGTGGTTGGTGATCTGCCGTCCTCTATTCATGCAACTTCTAATATCCATCTTGTCTCTCTATGTGCCATTGATTGATTTCATATATTTGGTGTACAACGTGGATTATTTGTTTGTTATACCATACCATACTACCACTTCTCCTGCTTGATTTACCGCAACACGAAGCTACAGCCAATGATAGCTCATATGACGTACACCCATCACCGCTCAGGGGTTTATTAGAGGTGGTTTTCTCAGAGCACTCCCAAACTGGGGAGGCTTGCGAGAAATATGAACGCTGCATTTGGAGTTGCATAAACTCGTATACGTTTTGGCAAAAGGCAGAATTGAACATGTAGGTATGGATATAAATATTTCCTTTCACTACTGCCTTGAAGATGTCCATAGCTTTCTCCGAATCCAACTTGGAGTCGTTTCTTTCAAATTCATCACCACCCATATACTTGCAAAGCCATTGCGAGTCTTTATTGTTTTTTGCATAGTTAATTGGGTATCAGGATCAACCAAGTTAGTCGACACAATGGCTGCTCCTCAAGGTCGGGTGAAACACACCGCTATTGTCCGATTGTGTCTCCACGCCTCTCATGCTCTGGGGTTTCAAAAGACCTACAACCTCCCCTTGTGTACGTTCACTATATCATAATGTTCATGGGCCCCTTCTAATTTATTATTTCCTTCAGTCATCATTTTTGCTGGCGCCATGGTCGGCTTTGTGCTAGCCAGGTTCCAGTATCTCGATATCGCTAACAATTTCTCAAAGAACTCTGCTCCAGGAGAGTGGTACTGGCATCGACAAGGACATTATCGTATCGGTATCACCCTCCACCTTGCCACATGCCTCCCCGCAGGGTTCCTCATGGTGTGGCAGTTCGTGCCAGTTATCCGTCACAAATTCCTGCTCTTCCACCGTATTAACGGCTACATTGTCATCATCCTTTTACTGCTTTCTAATGTGGGCGGCCTGATGATCGTTCGGCGCACATTCGGTGGTAGTGTGGCCACTCAATCTGCAACTGGAACATTAGCTATATTGGTGTCCTGTGGATTGGCAATGGCTTGGTGGAACATCAAATGCCTCCAGATTGACCAGCATCGCAAGTGGATGCTGAGGACAATGTTCTATTGTGGAGCCATTGTCACCACGAGGTTCATCCTGGCACTCAGCGCACTGAGTTTGACAGCTATCGGGAGTTATTTTGCCGTCAAGAGTTGCGATGAACTCCGCTTCATGATTAGCGAGAAAAAGATTGCGGAGAGATATCCCACCTGCTTGGTTCCTTTCAACCAGTCATCTATCGGGGCCGCCGGCTACGCGGTCGTAAAAGCAGATTACAACGCAGGAAAAGAATCTATTGCAGCTGCACTGAACTTGAGCTTCGGCACTGCTGTAAGTGGGCGTTCATTTGTCACTGTCCATTGATTCCTCCTGACGTGAACCATCAGGTTTGGCTCGCAATATTTCTGCACCTTGTCGGGATTGAGATTTACATTCATCTTACTCCAGCGGAGAGCAGCCGGCTTCGGCAAATCAGCTATGAAAAACAAATCGAAGCTGGAATGAGTAACCCAGGGAGTGCTGGATTGACTGCTGATCGGTTTGGCGACGCTCCAAAATACCGGACGTAGTTCTGCGAGTTCAGCAATACCTTGTTGCAATCAATCAAATGCATATCCAGTTTCATCTGACGCTAGCACTACACGAGGTTTCGAGACCACGAGTGAGAGAGATCGACTCTCTTGGGCGAGAGTCTCGTTCAGGGGAGAGTAAAATTCGCACTTGGGGTAAGAATTGCTCAGGCAGAGGGATTTGACGGAACCCGATCAAGGAAATGAGCGGATGATGGTGCCGCTATCCATGTTGGTTCGAACTGTCAATAACCTCCCATTATTAGATGGCTTTTTCTAGGTCATGATCTGTCATGGTGAGAGCATGGGAGCATCGCTACAGTCAAACGAACATTCACTTTCTCAATATGAATTCTAATCGTTACTGGTGCTGTTTGGCGGCGTCCTGATTAGATTGCGTCGCTAGCGAGTCAACGAGGTTTGCATACAGTATTATGGAGATGTGGATAGTCTTCATAACAACAAACGATAAAGGAAACGCTGGTAGAAGCTTCGTTAGGTCTTGATTGATAGTAAAAGGAAAGGAGCCGGGTCGTCTCAGGAGTTCCCCCTGCGATCGGTTGCCCTTGGAGTGCCCACGCCAGCTATCTTATACGGGCACCCAAACGGGCGGGCCTAACGGCATCCCACCCGCCTGTATGCTTTACGTGACCCTATTATAAGGCCTCCCGTCGCGTAAGATCTGCTCCAAAAGGGGATGCAGGGCATTCGCGGTCAGTATATTTTTCTTGAGTGGACCAATCAGAGGGCAGAATTCCCACGGCAAATTCAGCCACGTGACTTCGGGTGTAGATCGATCATCGACATCTGGAGTTCGGTTTAAAACCAACCAACATAGAAGTTGGAATAGGAGAATTCCTCTCGCCCGTGAGTTTGTCACTGCTGCTCGCATTTCTGGTCTTGGTCTTCTGGTTTATCATTCTGACCCACGTCACAAATCAAGTCTTATCTTATATTTCTAAGCAGCTGGATTCTCCTCCGCGTCGTACGGAGACCAATAAGCATCATGTCCAAACGTACCGTCTTCACCCATATCACGCCCCTGCCGGCAGGCCTCAGCCGTGCAACGGTCATGGAAACCCTCCACAATCACTTCGCAATGATCGATCTGAACCCACTTGTCATCGGCCGCGTCCCATGCGAACCGCCAGTATATGCGACTCCCGAAGAACTCCACTGTAAATGGTACGCGATTACCGATCTCATTCATTACCTTCCCGGCGGTGCCATCTCTGGCAAGCTTACCTACCACGGTTGCTTTCACGACCTCGACAATGGCCTTCAGACCCACGTTTTCGCGCCAATGGGCCTCAACATCAAGGGGAAGTGGACATTGGGGGGCTCGTTACCAGGCGAGCCGCGGCCAATCGTGGAGTTGGGTATCGACGCTCCGAAGGAGGGACTCTACCTGCGGGAAGACGTTGATATGAAGTGCAATATCATGATGACGTCCTTTGTCAAGAAGACCCTGAAGAAGGCGCATTCGGGGTTGGTAGACACAATTATTGCCGGGGCACCTCTGAGCGAGACTCGTAAAGATGGACCACCGGGGTGTTTCACCGGAGCCGGCTCGTCATCACTAGGAGCATATGGATATCCGGTCGGATATACGGGCGTTGACAGGCCGCTCCCTGAGCTACCTCCATCACACCCTCCTGGTGTCGGTTCCGCGCAGAATTTCCCGGCCCAACGTCCTGGAGAGATGAATCAACCAAGGCCTTATCCACATGACAAACACCCTGCTGAACTTCCCGGTTCCAACTAGTGAGGGTGTGAGATGCGGAGGGCGACCTCAGTAGCAGAAATAGGAGCATTACCAAGGCTGTGCTGCATACTCAAGATCTTGTCCTTCAAGCGGCGGCGTTTCTGGTGTTCCAGTGTCGAGTTAGTTGACTACCCGTTCAGCATAGCGAGATGTCGGGCGTCCTTTTTTATCAATTCAATACTTTATACCCTTTATTAACGACGAGATATTGAGCACTCGCGAAATCTTTCCAATTCTTAGTCTACCTTACGATGGATTCTCCATTTCAAGTCAGACAGTGGTTGAAACTTTTTATTTGGTCGCATCCACCCTTTAAACGGCACCTGTCATACTGCACGAAGCGGAAAACTACATACATCGTCAAATCATTATTTAGAGCGTACTTCCAGTTAGCACAGAAGTCCTCGAGTTCCTCCTATCCTTTCCAGCCTCTCCATCTCTAGCCTCCGAAACGATCGCAATCTGTTCCTCCACATGCGGTTTCGTCTCCTGAAATCGGACGGTCTTGGGCACACGCACCCCCTGCTCTTTACTCTGGGGAGCTCTCTCCACATCCCTAGAACTCATATCATGCAACACGGTGTTATAAGGTCCAGGATACCCGTGGATGTAGCCGAATGAATCTGGATAGATTGGAGTCAGGGCGTCGGGAAATTTTGTCCCCATTCGTCGAGACCACCTGATCTGCAGCCAGATGACGAGAGTGAGCAAGACGAGGACGCCAACGGAGGCACCGATTACGATCCCTGCTTTGGCGCCATTGCTGAGGGACGCGGAACCGTTGATGTTTGCTGAAGCCGTGGTCATGGCGGTCGCGGATGCCATTAGCGCCCGGGAGATGGAGGATGTCGGTGCTGTGGTTAACTCAGACATCGTCGGACGGATTGTTTTCTCGATCAGTTTCGAAACCAGCTCAGAAAGCGACGGAGGAATGGCTGGGGAGTGGCAGCTCTCGAATTCGGGTTTGACCGAGCTGCTAGACTGTCGTCGAGTCTCAAAGTCCTGTTCTGCTTGCTCCGAGATGTGATTGTCTCCGAGTATGGAACAGTGCCAGTCCACATCAGTTCGGCCCTGATGATGGTTGGTTTCAACGATCTTCACAACCACCTCCGAACAGTTCATCGACGAGATAGACGTCCAGACTTACAGTTAGCTGCTTTTAAGATCGGTCTGAGGATTCTTCCCCTTTTTAATACACTGACTGGTCTGCCCTATGTGTGGGCCTTTCGCTTCCCTGTCTTATCAATTTGTATGCTAGTATCGCTACCCTTGAAACTAAGTCGGATAGAAACAGGTGACGGAGACAAAAGCTTGAAACATGGGGGGTGCAAATACGACCTTGTGGTCACCAGAGTGCGCTCTTAAACCATCGTGTTGACCGGTAACGTGACGGGATGGTACAACCATTAATAGATTAGGTCGTATTATCGAATAGTCTACAATTGTACACTGTGAGATTACAACAACTGAGGGATGATTGGTATGGCGGCTTGATCGACGCAGTTGCTTTATCAAATGTGCCAACAAAGCCGATCCAACTGAACATCTCCCCAGGGGAATTAATGGAGGAGCAGGTGGAAGCAGGGTTCGTACTGATGTGCTAGGGGGCCGAAACGTGGCTGATCCTGTCCGTAAATATATTGACTTGCCAAACTGCCTCAACTATTGGACGCACTGTCTGTCAGCATGCGCAGCCTTCTGAGGTCAGCTTAAACTATGTATGGCACAACAAGCTTTACTTAGTCTCTACTGGTGCTGTAGAATATAGACTATATGTTGGATCTTGATGGAAAGTGACCAAAAAGACTTATTACCGGTAGTTATCAATATTTGCGTCCAACCGTTGGTTTTTGGATGAGCGGCCCCTTGGTTTCACTGATTGTGTCCTGGTCTGCAGGATATGTCTCAGAGGTGAGAGATTCGGATGAATTAGTGTGAGAGGCGGACACTGTTCTCGCTCGAGAATACGGGTAGGCACTCAGTAAGACCGAGGAAACATTCGCTGCGCATCAGCTTTGTGAACGCGACGCACATGATTTTGCATACAGATCGACATCTGAGCGATATGTCTGCAACGGCATGCTTGGTATTGTAGAAGTAAACGCGCACTGCACTTTCGATGGCGGTAAACTACATGGTCGAAGGAAAAGGTTCGGCTCGGCGAAGACTTAAGGAATCGTGATGCCCGTCGAAAAGATGCTCAGATTGCCCATTAATTCTCCATGCTACCAAACTCCGCCGCCCGAGAAAGCCATTTAAGAGAAATAGGGCGCTTGAAAAGCCCACTTATGTGTTCGATGCGAAGCGTTGTTTCCGCGCCTCGGCCTTCCTCCGCTCGTCCTCGTTCATCCAGCTGCCTCCTCCTGACCGTTCCGAACTTTCTCCACCACGTCTGCCTTCGCCGCCACGTCTGTCTTCGCCGCCTTGTCGTCGGGACCGACCCCTTCCTCTGCCATTGCCGCCTCGCCTCTTCCCATCGGAATTGCCCACGTCATTCGCCTCCCTTCGGCGCTTGCGCTCCGGCAATGCCGAGTCCAGCATTGATGTGGTTTGTCCACTTGCCTCATCAGCAGTCGAGACGCCGAACTTCTTGGCTCGCTCCAACTTCTTAATTGCTTCCTGAGCCACGGGATCGGTGGAGGTATCGATACCGAATCGCTTGGCACGTTCCGCGCGCTTCGCAAGCTCAACATCGATAGCTGTGGTTGCGAGACCAGCAGTGAAATCGACCTCGAGCTTGTCCGCCTCCTTCGGTTCCTCAGTCACATCAGCGCCATTCGCAGAGGTCGCAGTATTCGTTGATGTTGGTTCGATCGTGGTAGTCTCGCCGACGGGCGCTGTTTCGACAGGTGCGGCAGCAGTTGTTGTGTCTGGCGCGTCGTCATCCCAATCGATCTGATCCTCGTCACCCTCCGGCTTCGTCGCGGCAGCGGGTTCTGGCAGCGTGGATGTCGCAGTAGGAGCTGGCGCATCGGTAGATTTACCCGCATCGTCTTGCTGAAGGCGCGCGACCATATCAGCCTTCTTGCCGGCATGAGGAAGACCTCTCGTCTTCAGCAGGGATTCGAGCTCCGCATTCTTGAGCTTCGCGTAGTCGGTCATGTTGATTGTTGGGATTGTGAGCGCGAAGTAGTGGATGAGACGGAAGGGTAAGTCGCGCAATGTTCACTTGCGTCTCGGGGTGGGTTCGAAATGCTTATGAGGCAATCTGTTCGAACTGATTCGTGGAAGGCTTGCCTCTTCACGAGTTGATTGTTCGACGACAAGCTATGCGCGGCGCGGAAGTTTTAATGGGGATTCGTGATTTCGGATTGTTTGCCAGATGAAGAATTATCTGTAGAACCGTTGCGGTGAGGGAGGAAATGGAAAGGTGGTATGTGTGAGAACGAAGGAGTGGTGATGGGGAAGTTTGAAGAGAGAGTGGAGTTCTTCACTTATTCACCCTTCAAGGTGGAACTTATTGAATATCTGGATCGCTCTATCGATACGAGCTCTCCTATTGTTGTGTCGAAGTCGAGTTATCAATAGCTATTGTGAGGGATAAAGATAATACCTGGTATCGACAATACAACCACGATCATCGTTCACTGGAAACGCGTGAGGCCCGCAAACGCCAAACAAAGATCAAGGAACTGAAAGCAGCCATGGGCGCATCCGAAAAGTCGCTAGTATCATTATTAAGATATTTAACCTCCATTTTGGATGATATTTTACAGTTAGCTCCAATTGCACTAACGCCTAATTAGGGTCCATGTTTGCCTGACGGAATACTTCGTGCTTCACGCTTGAGGCTTCAATTCAGCTCAGCCCTTCAACTTGGGGCCATAATTAAGGCAGCATATCCTTTTGATGTTTGTTCCATTCTAGTTAAGTTAGTTAGGTCAGTTAGTTAATTAGTTATGGAGTTCTGTGTGTCCAAATTCATTTTTGCTGTAGCGTAATTATTCAGGTCTTTCTGGTCGCATGCTGGTTTGCATAGACTGAACGCTCCTTATAGTATATGACAAAAGCATATTCGATTGCCTATGTCTGCCCATGTACTCCAGCGCGAGGCAGTTGATGTCGTCTACAAGGCCTGTCCATAAATCGGGAGACCTTGACTGGATATCCCATAAGCCGGGCTTGAGGTCGGGATAGCAGTCTGTCAAACATGGCCCTGGCAGAAACCCAGCATGCATGCCAGTTCTGGTACCGCGGTCTTGGGATATCATATCCAATCAGCCGAACCGACATATATGCCAACATTTCCGTGAAGACAGCCACCTTGACTTGGAGGGACACGGTCTCACAACACTGAAGGAAATGACCTCTTTCGAAAGCGCCTTCTTGTTCAAAACTGCGATACTCCGCTCACATGGTCCGGTGCCTGGGTAGATGGGTTTCACAACATGAAAACATGGGGAGGTGCGGAGGGCAAGAAGCGGTGGTATGCAAGCTAATCGGTGCTTCACGAACTGGTCGATTCCCGGCGACAGGAATTGCCAGGTCCTCGCGTGGCCGATCTCCTCTACCTATTAGTCGATTGCGGCCAACCGGACCGCTGAGGCTGCAGAATCTAGCAGCTGGGCGAGATATACTTCCCAACCGCGACGACGTCTAGCGCAATATCGTCTAACGTCCTGCAGATATATTGGCCAGTCGATGATCCCAGAGAAGAGGATGAGACGCACCTGGGCTGGCGGTGAGGGGAATTGATGCAGTATGAGAGAAAAGGTAATCCACATGCATACGACGGCGATGGTCTGTGGCGAATGGAGTCCGGAATGGTGATCTACTGGCGCTAAAATCTTCCCAAAACATGCAAGACGTCCACAGTCTAACCTCAGGTTCATGCGGGAGGAGCGGTGCTATCCCAGACATGCATGGGTAAGTATTTCCCATCGTGCCAACGACCGAAGAAACATGACCAGGGCTTCCCTCGTCGAACATAGGTCCTCTCCCACTCATTGACCAGTTCTCTGGTCTAGGAAGGCGGCCGATACAAGTAAAGTTGTTGTGATTTCTCTAGTCTAATGGACGTCCTATTTTGGAGTGAGCGGCGGAGGAGATTCTTCTCCTCGCACCATCGCGTTTATCGACATGGTCTGTTTCTCCTCGTGGTAATTACAGTTTGCCCTGAGCCTTCTCGATCGGTTGATCCCCAGGGGCCAGGAGCCAACCTTTTTGGGACTCCACCCATGTTGATCGCGTCTGTTCCAAGCAAGGTTCATTTATAATCTAGATGCAGATCGGTCTGTGATGGTCATTCCACATCAACAACAAACAATAGTTCGCTCCTGGCTGCAGAGACACCACCACGTCTCTCCCAGCAATGACATCTAAACGTATCGCGGAGCTGTCCAGGAACGATATCGGCACCGAATTCAGTCGAGACGTAGGAGCACGTGTAAGCCCGTCCAATATCTCTTCATATAGGCCGTTTCTAGTTGCATGGAAGCCGGCGAAATGTTCGGATTAGGCCTCAAAACCCCAAAGGTGCGCCCTCCTGCATATCCGCAGATTGCCTGCACATTCTTTCGGTGTTTAGACTCCATTTTGTCCGTTCCACAAGGGTTAAGGAACATTTTTTTTCTTCTCAATTCTGGGATGTCATGAGAGAATCCCAGCGCTATCGCTCTTCGCCTCAACTGTTTACGTACGAGGCATTTCGCCTCCCGCAGCCATTGGCGTTCCCTATTCCACTTTGTGATCCCATTGCTGCATTGAACTGCATCTTCATATCTGTAACAGGTTTAGGACGTAACGCCCCTTTTCTACGCTAGCTTGGCTGTCCTTACTACGTAATCGCAAAGCGAGCTGAACTGCTGGAGATGGTGCGATCGTTGCGGGCCTACTACGGATGCTGTATGCTCCATTAGGTCGATAACCGCTCCTCTGGGTCATTCAATGGACAGACCTTTTCGTAAGGTGTAGTCTTTCATAACCTTCCCTGGAGGGTGCTCGCGCCATCAACCACTGCTATGGGCCATATAAGAGCCCTACTCCCAGTCCCCCTTCTCGATTCACCAGTCATATCTTCGCATTGCCATTGGACTTGTTAAGTCGCTGCATATTTGTTCCTTTTATTCCTCGTAGGTTTATTAAAGAAAGAAGTTCTGATCAACTCCAAAAAAGGGATCACATCTGCTCTCCTGTGTTACCTCAACCAGATCTCTTCCTCCCACATTATCAGACGATATCGTGCTCCAAGGTGGTAGTCGAATCTCGAACCTAACGCAACTTCCATTTTTCAAAGCTGAGCGTACCCTTTTAGCATCTTCAGTTTGGGGCAGAATTCGGTTCCCCTTATCTCGCCGCAATTGGCCACAACCCGTGATTAAGGAGGATGATAATGAAACAGTGAAGGAATGCAATCTTGCAATTAAACGAACGACTCTCTTCGATCCCCAATATCGCCAGCCAAAATTCCTAGGATTAGCACGCGAGGAAACCGTTCCAGTCATCGTCATCGCTTTCCTAGCTAGGCAAAATGAACACCACTACAGTCGATCCTTCCTTGCAAGCTGGACTTCCGGCAATCACTCCGGGAATACCTGTACCTGTACCTCCTGGTACCAATCGAGACTCTGTCAAGAACCCTTTCGACGACCTGACGCCCCCTCAAACTCGGGACACGTCTCCCTTCTCCCGTCGAATGGCCAATCACTCCCGTGACGCACTACGCGAATGGGAGAGACTGCAGGCCTTGCTACATGGCAATGATGCTGTGCTTCTGGATGGCAAGAGCTTGGACATTGCGGGAGTTATCGCAGTGACAAAGTGCGTGACTTTTCAACTGGCACCGCGCAGTCCTAATAGCTTTCTTAGATACGGTGTTACTCCAGCGCTGGACGAGGAGACTGGGACTATCGATAGGATCAATGCGAGTGTTGATATTCTTAGAGAGCATTTGAAAAAGGGAGACCTTGTATATGGTGAGATGCTCGATCTCTTCCTCTCGGACACAGTTTTTTGGGGGCGAAGACGTGACTAACCTCCACAGGCGTCAACACCGGGTTCGGTGGCAGTGCGGATGTACGCACCACCTCCCTGGAAAATCTACAGAAGGCTCTGATCCAGCATCAGAACTCTGGAATCCTTGCATCATCTGACATATCAGGTTCCGCCCTCCCTGCTGCAGACACTGACTCGCTCTCGATGCCAACGTCCTGGTCTCGCGGAACGATCCTCATTCGTGTCAATTCTCTAGTTCGGGGCCATTCCGCCGTGTCCCTTCAGATAATTCGAATCCTCATCAAGCTTCTTGAGTGTGGCGTCACGCCAGTCATTCCTCTTAGGGGATCCATCTCGGCTTCCGGTGACTTGATCCCCCTCTCATATGTGGCAAGCGTCATTAAGGGAAATCCTTCCACGTATGTCCGTCTCAGTCAGAAGCACGGCTATCGTGTCGTTCCCTCTCCAGTTGGACTCGAAGTTGCGGGAATATCTCCAGTCACGCTCGGCCCGAAGGAGGGACTTGGTCTGCTGAATGGGACCGCTACTTCAGCTTCCGTGGCATCGCTGGTGCTTTTTGAGACCAACAATCTAGCGGTGCTCAGCCAGGTCATTACGGCATTGAATGTGGAAGCGCTCCAGGGTACTGCTGAGTCTTTTCATCCTTTCATTGCTTCGGTGCGTCCGCATCCTGGCCAAGTCGAGGCTGCATCCAACATTCTCTCCTTCTTGGAGGGTTCCAGGCTTGCCATGGGCGTACTAACGTCCAAGAGTATGATTGTATCTGGCCTTGCTCAAGATCGCTACGCTCTCCGAACTGCTTCACAGTGGATTGGACCTCTGCTGGAGGATCTCGCTCTTGCGACAAACCAAGTTCGCGTCGAGTTAAACGCAACAACTGACAATCCACTCCTTGATGCGACTGATGGTGTTGTTCATCATGGAGGCAACTTCCAAGGGCTGCACGTCACCATGGCAATGGAAAAGGCTCGCCTCTGTCTCGCAACCCTTGGCAAGCTTCTTTTCGCGCAGACCACAGAGCTCATCAACCCAGCCATGAACCGTGGACTTCCCCCAAACCTTGCACCCGATGACCCTTCTACGTCATTTGTGGCAAAGGGCATCGATATAGCTGCTGCTGCGTACTACTCGGAACTGGCATTCCTCGCCAATCCAGTAGTGACCCACGCTCAGAGCGCGGAGATGCACAATCAAGCGGTAAACAGCCTGGCTCTTGTCGCAGGGCGCTATGCAGAGAAAGCTGTTGAGATCCTTAGTGGACTTGCGGCTAGCTCACTGTGGGCAGGCCTTCAGGGGGTTGACCTGCGCGTGTGCCAGGTTCGATTCATGGATGCCCTTCATGACAAGGCACATACCCTTTTCAGGCGGGCTCTTTCAGATGATCTGAGTAAGAGTTTGGATTCTGCTGCTGACCCTGCTGTGTTTTCGGACTCGGTTTACTCTTCTCTCTGGTTCAGCCTCGCGGGTTCTTGGAACGAAACTACAAAGCTCGACCTCGAGCCTCGATGCAGTTCCGTTGCCGAAATCATGACTGGGACTCTCCTCTCCACTGTCTTATCGGATCAAACGAATCCTCAACCGACAATCGCTGGGCTTGCTACCTTCAGAACAGAGCTCAAAAGCTTGCTGCACGAAACACATTCGGCCACTATGGGCGAGATGGAGGACGATCACGAGAAGATCACCCCTCAGTATCTTAGTCACAACGGCCGGGTAATCTATCACTTTGTGAGAGGGAGTCTTGGAATAAAATTTCACCTTGGACGCAAAGACGACCCTTTGAACGACATCGCAGCTGGTGCATCTGCGAAGCTAACGATTGGAGGGCAAGTTGGTGTCATCAACCAGGCGATCCGTGATGGTAGGGTTTCCGGCGTGGTCATGGAGATTTTGAAAGAAATGGCTTGAGCATGCAGCGCAGCAGAGCTGTGGCTGATGCTCCACCAGCTCTCTTTATTGGTTTGCGTTTGGGAGGCGTCTCTGCTAGAGGCATAGACGATGCTCATAGTTTCTTCACAAGCGGGCCAGGGAACAATGTAGATACCATTCCTTCTATTGTGGCTTGTCCACTATTCATTACCAAAGGGTATATCTTCTTTACTCCATTCATTGCAAAAAGGAGCGTATCCCATAAACGAACGTTTGATCATGTCATCATATCTATCATTTCCTGCCATAAGGGTCTTCCCACCATCATAGGATGAAGCTCATCCTCTTTTCCTCTCGTATCTTCGGGAGATACCGCTGGTTGATAACGCTGCGTTGCCGTTTGTGCCGCCCCGTAGATTGCAGATGGGGCGGAAGGCTAAGATCCCTCGACTTCATTGCGTCATACTCCAACACCGTAGGATATTTAGAAGTCATCGTAAGGACTAGTGGAGATGATGTTGCATCGCCTAGCATTGATTGCGGTGTTTCGGCATACGGTACACTCATTGCGGAGCGGCAGGGTGATGGCTCACGGTGCCGTGTACTTCTCAAGCTGCTGTGCCGCGAGGGGAGGCCGGCTGACATCGTGAAGTCGGTCGTGGCGAAGGAAGGATTTTGTTCGAGGTATGAGGACTCCTGTACGGAATAACCGGATGTCGTAGAAGTAGAGGAGGAGGAGGAGGAGGAG